CTCTTTAACGAACTTTTTTCAAAATTGCCTACATTATATTATTTTTTGAGTTATTAACGAAAAAGTAAATACCAATTTCCGAAAGGTTATATTTTCAGGAGAGATTGATTTTTTACAAAATTGTTTATATTATTATGCAAAAAAATATGGGAATTCTTCAATATGTATATGAAACTAGTGAATATGGGTATTTCAAATGTTCTCAATAATTTACGAACATTATTTTTGGATTCCCGTTAATGATGAGAAATTTTATAATAAATATGTGTGTTTTTTGTAGCGTTTCAAAAGTCGTGAATAATGGATTCTGCAAGCGAACGATATGGAATATTGAGATATTTCTGTCGAGTATGAGAACTATGCTATAACTAATTATTCCAATCAGCAGTGCACAACCAGTAGAATTCCTGATAGACAGGTTCAATGTACTCACCCCTTGGATTTTGGATATGTCTTTATATCTTCTATATTCACATCATCCACATTGATATCTACTGATTTAGAAATCACTCCAGATCTTCTGCTGTCCATACTCAATGTTTCCAATTTGACACTGCTGGACCGACGTTTGGCCCTGCAAAATAGCATTTTATTTCGAAATTGAGTTCACCGTTATCACCTTTTGTTTTCTCTATTCTCGATCACAATATTTATCTTCATGCGGTGAAGTACTTTCAGAGTCTTGATTCGTCCTTATCGTTCCATTAATTCAAGTGAATTATATCTGATACGTTTGTTCGATACTGATAATTACCTCACCTTATCTTTGGGAGGTTACGCAGGAGTTTTTGTTCAAAGATGTGCTGGTTCACTCCTCGAGGGATTGAGTCAGCGACCAATCCATATTCTGAAGGAAATGTCATCTGGAACGCAGTTTGTTTAAAGCGAACTCCTTTTTTTTAGATAGCTTCCACCCCGCATGTTCAACTGTAGTTATATCCAGCAGTGTTCAGATATTTTGAACAATTTTGTATGTGCTTAGGTTAGGTTCAAAGTGAGTGGGTCTATTCGACCTTCCACCGCAACCCGCAAGGGTTTATTGTGGATTACACCTATTCTCACTCGACCAAATGAACCCAGCTTCTTAACGAAGCCGATTAGTTCATATGGTGAGTGGTCTTTCAGGTCAGATGGTAGGAGTACGGCTCTGTCGAACTCTAAAAATCTGATTCGGTCCCCATCGGGTCGGACACAGGCCTGGTGCTCTGCTGTTTCATCATTTTCCAAACACAGGCGACACACACTGTCTTCTGATAGTCCGAGTCTCTGCATATGATGATTCAAATGACAGTGACCTGTAAGAAGTTTCAAAAACTACACAAATGTAGTATGTAGTGTAGTTTTTGAAATTACTATGGATCTTCATCAAGTAACGGCCGAATCAATTAGAAAAAAAAACCTTATAAGAAGGCCTGTTAAACATCGTAGTTCATCCCAACTGTTTGGTATCAAGCTTCGAAGGGTGAATAAACGACCTTGGAGTGAGTCAATCCTGGAAGATTCTGCCAGAAGTCCATAAATCTTCTTGCCATCCAGGTGTTCAATCTTTGTTTTGCAAAGCCTAAAATGATGCCAATGACAGGTTCTGGTCTGATGAAGCTGTTTGCAGCACCCTCTTTTGCAAGGGAGTCAGCAGCCTCATTGCCTTTCAGGCCAGTATGGGCAGGAATCCAGACCAGAGACAATCTGTTAAGTCTTCGTATCAAAGAAAGTCGTTTTTGGTGATTCGCTTCCAATTAAGACGTTGCTCGGTAGGAACCAAGAGCTTCCAACGCCGCTTGACTGTCTGAGAATATTTTTATTGACTTGTGTGGGAGGTTGGATTCTTCCAATCTCACCGCACACAATTCAATAGCGTCAATTTCTGCATCAAAAACAGTCGCATTGGTTCCTAGGTAGGTTGATATCTCTGTCCTGGGTCTGCGACTCAAAACACCTGCACCATAACCGGTAGGTGTTTTTGATCCATTTGTGAACCAACAACTATCTGCTCTTAATATTTCCTTCTCCCGGAAGATCCAGTCCTCTCTACTTGGGAACAATAATTCTTTGCACTATGCATTAAATAGATTTGTGTAATTGATAATGTGCACAAGTCTGTATGCAGTCCATCTAGCCTCTCCCTCCAGAAAAATGTAAAGAGGAGGTAGATCTAGAAGGATTTCCATGACCGCTGATGGTGTGGTACTGATGGTACCACTGATGGCCAGACAAGCTTGTCTCTGTAAGCCAGAGAGCTTCGCCTGAGCCGTTTTCTGTAAATCTTTCGGCCACCAAGCAACTGCACCGTATGTGATCATTGGTCTGACAATCAACACATAAATCCAATGGATTCGCTTGGGACCTAAACCCCAAGTTTTACCACAAATCCTTCGACATGTCCATAGATGTAGTCTGTCTGGCTTTGTGTTAAACTTTTTCCAAATAAGCGTTCCAAGTGAGTTTTTATTAAGGACAATGCGAAGACATCTCACCTCCGGAATGACGTCACCATTGAGGGAAAGTGGCGTTAGATTGTCCAATTTTCTCCTCCTAGTGAAAACAATTCATGGCTTTTGCATCACGATAATGGACCTGCTCACCCGTCTTTGTTTGTTCGTGATTTTTTGGCCAAAAACAACACCGTAATCATGCCTCGGCCACCGTATTCACCAGACTTGGCCCCAAGTGACTTTTTTCTGTTTCCGAGATTTGAAAAACACATCCATGAAAGTACGACGTTTTGCAACGATTGGGGAGATAAAAACCGAATCGCTGAGAGAGCTTGAAGACATACCAAAAAGTTCATATTAGAATTGCTTCGAGGATTGAAAAAAACGCTGGCACAAGTGTATTATATCTGGTGGGGATTACTCCCAAGGGAACAAAATAGAAATTAATGAATAGTTTTCGGTAAAAATTGAAATCAATCTCATTTTGGAATAAACTTTTTTAATCTCGTGAACGGTTGATTTTTGATATGGGAATATTTCACGAAAATGAGTCAAAATCGCCTCGTGATTTCAACGCTCGTATTCACCCTTTGGAATCGCATTCACCATTGTAAATAACTTCCATCACCAGAACAAGCGAGGCTCTAAATATGACTTTTTTGTTTCATCTTCCATATTTTTGAGTTTTGTTTATGGGAGTAGAGATCTCGTAGTATTTTTTGTCAGAGTTACTAAAGCCATATTTATTTCCAATTCGTTTCAAGAAAATAGTAGTATTTATCAATATTGATAAATAATCATGTCGTATTTACGCAATAGCATGACGAGTCTATTATAAATAGACCCTCATCTGACAAAAAGAAGATTGAAAAATTTCCGTTGTTTACTTCAAAATCACCAACACTAGTTGGTGATTTTGAAGTAAATGATGTAACAAAATGATATCATGTAGCAAAATTTCATATCCAAATATTTTTATGGTGAATAACCTCTGATAGAAATCTGAAATAATAGTGAGAAATTTGTTGAACTATATTGAGTGTAACTTTATATTTATCAATTTTGGCAATGCCACAAACTAGGAGATAGCGATCACAATAATTCGGTTCAATTACGAAAACAAATCATATACATATGATGAAAAATATCTTCATATTTGTGACGTCTAGTTCAGTGCAAACTCCTCAAATTCAAATACATAGAAAATCTCTCTTTTGCCTAATACCTAAAGTAAGAATACGAAAAAGTACATGAATGGTAGGAAAATTCATCATGAAACATTTATAGATTTCTTCAGGATTTCTCCAAATTTTTTTGAGCTGTGCTTTATACATATGATGAAAAATATCTTCATATTCGTGACGTCTAGTTCAGTGAAAACGCCTCAAATTCAAATACATAGAAAATATCTCTTTTGCCTATGAATGTGTTTCATGTTGGCTATTTGTTAATAATTTGTAAATAAATACGAATGAGAGACTTAATACCAAGATGGTCCCATAAATACCCGGCCTGACCTAGAGATGGCGGTAGTTGTTTTAAAAATATGACTTTAGTAGAAAGTACACAGTCTATAAAGCATATGTTTCAAGTTTGAAGACCCTGTGCTGTTTATTATTTGTTTGTCAGCCATCAATAATGAACGTTTTCGGTGAATTTGGTCATCGTTATGTGGTACAATACTTAGTCTGGATTAGTCTATTCCTTTGTTTACAACAGTAAAATATTGGGTAACAGAATTTAAACTAGTTTAAACGAGACCATACGAGCTGCCAAGACGAGCATCATAGTGGTCGACCGAATGAGGTGACGACTCCAGGAACGGTGAAGAAAATCCACAAAGCGGATCGTCGACTGAAAGTGCGTGACCTAGCAGACTCAGTAGGCATTTATAAAATGAGGTACATAATAATAATAATAATAAATGCTTTTATTGAAAGATTACTCAGTACAGGAGATACTAATCATCGTATATTATCTGAAAATTTGGACATCAGAAAGCTGTGTATATAGGTAAATAGGTGGTCTTTGCTGACAAGTTAGAGACAAAATTACGCAACATGCAAAAGAAGGATATTAATTCCAATATTTCGACACTTTTTATTGTCATCATCAGGGAAACTACAAGGGTAAGAATATGTGCGTATTTACATTTTGCTTAAGTTTTGATAAAACTACTTACATTGTCTACATTTGTCTGCGCAAATGGTGGAAAAATCATCAAATATAAGTACAAAAAAACATTTTGGTAAAGTTGACAATGCAATATTTGTAACAGATTAAAATAATATTACTATGAAACACTCTTGAAACTTTCAGTCAATATTTGAAATAAGTGAATGATGTTGAAATTTAATAGGACGCAGTAACAGAATAACGAGAATATTCGAATATTGAAGTTGATGAACACTTGTGTTTTACATCAAGGTCAAATTTTAACAATGGTGCCAATCTAATCAGTTGAAGCAACTCAAAAACCAGTTTCATAGAACACTAAGTTGAGATGTATCATAAAACACCCAATGGAAAAGAAATTGACAGATGTCCTAACTTTTATTTGATTAAAATTGAAGATATATTAGAATATAAATTTATGAATTTCACAATATGAAATGCTTGGAATTGAATAAAATTGAAGCTAACATTTAAATGTATGTTAGAAATTTGACGAATCACTGGAAAGATTTTGGACATTAGACACTTGGATCAAGAAAATATCCAAAATGAGAGAGTACAGGAGAATCCGAGGCAGTCGATTTCGCGTCGCTCACAAAAACTGGTGACTGACCCAGGAACCGAAGGTAAACGACCATAGACAACGACGTGTGTTCGCTAAATGGGCTCTAGAGCTATTGGCAACTAACCCTAATTTCCATTGAAAACAGAACAGAGCAAAGCAGAACATTTATTTCCGTGAAATACTACTTACATGAATACATACACATTTATAATAAATACACTGTTTGCATTTGTTGCGGTTAGAGGGTACAAGGTATATAACACTGTTCAAGTCAAGTCAAAAATGTTTATTATTCTTTAGGATTAATAACAAAATGTTTAAATATCAAAAAAAAAATCACAAAATATTGTGAATGTCTGTTTTGTGTGGGGCCCTACTATAGGCTTATGCCTCTTCAGGGTTATAACAGAGGTAAAAATAAAGACTAAAATATATCTTTAGTATAGGATTGGTCCCGATGATAATCATAGAATGTAATGAATGTGAATACTATCAAATAATGAGTGATATCAAAATTCAACAGATTTCGCTTACGTAACACATTTTCATTGGTTAATTGGTTGAAATATTCATCCAGGCTGTAATAGGTGTACTGTTTCAGGTATTTTTTAACTTCGCGTTTGAATTTTTTTTGGGAAAGTGATTTGAAGTTGTCAGGAATTTTATTGTACACCATAGTGCCTGTGTAAAGTGACCCTTTTCTTGATCTGTCGTACCTGTATGTGGGTAATATAAAGTCTTGATTTCTTGTTGGGTAGAAATGTACGTTTGCAGGTCTCGTCAGTTCGATTCTCCTCTTATGAATAGTCGAGAACTATTTTAAGAATATATGTATTATAAAATGTTGGGATATTCAGTTTTTGGAAATGGTTTCTGCAGGAGCCTTTTTTTGAGCAATAAAAAATCATCTTCAGAGATGATATTCATTTCTGAATAAATGGGATGATATCAATCCACATAAGGTCAAGAGTATCCAATACATCCCAAAATGTCACTGTTTGGTGTATTTTGGACTGGCGGCGTCATCGATCCATATTTCTTCAAGAAATACGTTGGCCAGGCCAATGGCGAGCACTATAGGTCGATGATTACCAACTTTTGTTGACCTGAATTTGATGATTTGGACATCAACGACATATAGATTCAATAGAACGACGCTACGTGCCACACAGTTCATGCCACATTGGATATTCTGTACAAACTACTTGAGGGCATGGTAATGGTCATCTCACGTAGAGGTGATATGATCTGGCCGCCAAGATCGTACCCCGTTAGACTTTTTCTTGGTTTTCTTGAGTCGCAGGTGTATGGAATGAACCACAAATCACAGTGGTCCTCAAAGTCAATATAACCAATGCTTACGGTCAAATTCACTCTGATTGATGCGCTAGAATCAAGGAAAATTGGACGTTTTGGATTAGCCCCACCCAGAGAAGGCGTAGTGGACATTTGAACAATAGTTGAAAGTTGACCTCATTGGAATCTAAAAGTGTTTATAGTTTCTGCCATATTTTAGGAAACAACTTGTCATTTTGATAACTTTCAATAGACATCTTTCCGAATCAAAATTGCCCTGGCTCATATTTTAGTTCTAGTTGTTTCAAATTGCCACTTTTTCAAATGTTTTACCATTCTTCATGAAGGAAACAGCGAAAATGCAATGTGCGATTTTCTACTTCGTTTTTTTTTTAATATAAAAATTGTACAAACATTTTCATCAGAACTCATAATGCTATTTCGAATGAAAAACTCATTACTCTGTTATCTTAGACTAACATTAACAAGTAAAAACATGTTCATCGTATTTTTAATATTTGGAAGTTACTGGTGCTAAATTGTGAATCTTAGAAAAACAAACTCCAGGTTATCTCAAGACTATCGCAATTCAGGTAATGAAAAATTAGCTCCAGCCTACTCCGAAATACTTTTTTATACCTCTTCACAGAAGTATGCTCATGTCGCAATCACTCTGTATATTCTCCATACAGGGTAACAGCAAATACTCTCTAACAACGAAAAATCTATGATGTTTGCAATTGCAACGTTTTCACATCTGAAACACATCATCCCACCCAGAAGTTTCGGGAGGTGGAAACAGAACATTCTCCGACTTTTTGTCGATATATCTAGTGTCAAACAGTCCCTTGAGTTTTGGTATGAAAGGAGGCTTCAATTTAAGCTCCCGTAACTTTTTCCAATCAAACTCTGCGAACCAATTGTGCGATCGAATATCTTCAACGCCATTCTCACCCATTCCTAGCCGTTCCGTCGGTTCGAGTCGACACAACTTCTTTATAAGGCTTTGAGCGTTAAGGTCCACGAAGACAGGGAACCGAGTCTCATCTAACCCTCTCGTAATTTTTTCATAGATATCCATAGGGTTGTCCGAAAGGGAACGGAACGGTGTTCTCTTGCATAGCAATTCGAAAATGATAACTCCGATTTGCCAACAATCTACAGCTTTAGTGTATCCCTTGCACAGTACAACCTCCGGTGCCAAATATTCTGGCGTCCCGGCGAAAGTGAAAGTCTTATCGCCTTTGTTGAGTTTTTTAGCCAATCCGAAATCAGAGAGCTTCAAATACCCGTTGGCGGCTATTAGTAGGTTTTCTGGTTTCAGATCTCTGTAGATTATTTCGTTCGAATGAAGAAAGGCAATCGCCTCAAGTACACAAGCTGCGTAGAACTTGGCTTCTTTGTCCTCGAAGCGGTGATTTCTCAGTTTATACAGCAAATGCCACAGGTCTCCACCTGCAAGAAAGAAATATATTGAATAAATGATTCAATGATCTCTCCAAACATTCAAAATTAAAAAAAAACCTTTCCTCGTGCAGAAATATGCACTTCAAGCATTCATGCTTAGGTAATTTTTGTACAGGATTACATATTCTGTAACAACAATGTACATTGTAAAAATGACAATTACGGAATAAAGTTTATTATTAATATCAAGAGAATTATGGAAATAAATAGGTTTTTCATGGAAGTCCTCAAAAACCCAGCCGATTATGATTGTTTGTTAAGTAAAGGACATTGGTTTGTGGCGTACTACCTTGAGAAATGAAATTTCTTAAACAAAAAGTTTCAACATCAATTTTATCTACGTCACAACCAAGGCGTGGATTCGAATTCTTGAGATCTGATTGAAAATTCAAGATGTTCTTTAGTAAGCTGAGAGGGTGTCAGCCAATAAATATACTTATATAAATTGACGAGGAATGGGGAGTCAAACAAAATAAATGCAGATATATGAATATACATATATTTAATCTATAAATATATGATAACTTGCAACAAGGTTTGCTTATCTCTCAACTATGGCATAAATATTACTGAAGGATCAAACAAGTAGCAGGAAAATAAATTCACATGAAACACGGAGATTGGTTTCTAGTGGAGCCAACAAATATGAATAGATAATATGAACATCAAAATTTCATAATAATTATAACTCAATACTCTTAATCAATAGGGATTGTTCAATCAACAGCTGTCGATCAAATCACAAATAGGTATACATGAACAATTTTGAAGGGAAAGCATTTACAAGTTTAAACGATCAATAAATAATCATTCGGTAATAATAATAAATAAAACGCATAGCTTCTTCATTTCAATATAGTCCACTTGACATTGAAGGAGAAGACATGTAGTTACTCACTCTGTCTCAAGAAGTAGGTTTTCACGTACTTATATATCCGGAAGGGGTGAATTTCCACGAGTCTTCCTGAAATTGCAGACACGACCAGAACGAAGCTAGTTAGTGGTGTAACTCGCATCGAATTTCTTATAAAATGAACATCAGTTCTCAAGGTAGACAATCGGACAACGACGTAGCAGGCAGTGAACGATCAAGATACAGATGAAGCCAAATTTTCTGGATGGAGTTGAATTGATTGAAATTAACGTCAACTAATCTGAATCTGATCCTTCTTGATCTTTTTCCTTCTTTTAGGCCTGAAACGAGAACATCGTTTCTGCAAATCTACCGAAAAAAACTAGAAATTGTAATGTCTTGAATTATTTACCTTAGATTCTTTTTAGGCCTTTGAAGTTAAATAGGTACACGAAGTGTGAAGTTTATTTTATCGAACAGCACCCACCCTTTCTCTGCTCGATGTTCGTTCGCTGAAGCCTCGTACCGTTGCTTCAATTGTCTTCTGTCCACCTGTACGTCATTTCAGTTGAACTATCGAACCGTATATACAGGTTGTCCCAGTATCTCATAAATGAACCGTTACAGGTGGGACACCGATAAGCCATCTGTTCGTTCGCTGAAGCCTCGCACCGTTGCTTCAATTGTCAATTGTCTTCTGTCCACCTGCACGCCATTTCAGTTGAACTATCGAACCGTATATACAGGTTGTCCCAGTATCTCATAAATGAACCGTTACAGGTGGGACACCGATAAGCCATCCGAACACTTTCCAAAAGCGAAAACCCACCAAAAAAAGACCATGGTTACTTTATGGTGGTCAGCAATTTGTGCGATTCAATATTATTATCTGCAAGTGGCCAAACCCTTGTGAGTTTTTTTAATGTCAGCTACATATTTCAGGATTATACTACATTGGCTGAAAACTCTCAGACCTAACAACATATAGATAGCGCTAGTCTCATTGCATTTGTTGCTTTTTGAGTTAGTACTATCCTTCAAAAGAAAACTGTTGAAATTTCATGAGATTCTACTCATAAGTTGATCGAAAAAAATACCGTTCAAGCGAAGCAATAGCTTGGAAAGTGTTATAAGGACTCCACTCCATCAGAAACGACAATTAAACATTGGGTTGCTGACTTCAAACGCTGACTGAAAACATTAAAACAAATCCCCAAAATCGCTTTGAATGATCAAAAAGAAAAGTTGCGTGAGTCACCTGACATTATGAAGACATCAAAATAACGTGTTGGCTTTTGGCATGAGCTTTCGACTATGAGAAAGCTTGGTTCAAAGTGAGTGCCGCGCGAGCTCACTGTTGACCAAAAACAAGAACGTCTTGATGATTCTGAGCAGTGTTTGGCCATATTTGAACAAAACAAAGCGGAATTTTTGCGTCGATATATGACAATGGATATTTATTTATTTATACATCTAGCAGGCCCAAAAACCCATTCACAGGTGTATACAATTAGAAATATGATAATTATACATATAGTAAGATCAATTCTGAATGAAACGAAGAATCTCTTTTTTGAATTGTTTGAACGTTAGAAAAAATATATCTACATTAGGAACATTATTTATCAACACTTCTAGATATAGTAGTTATGGGAGAATGGAAATGATGCAGTGTATAAGAAACCGGGATATGAAATGTGTTACAGAATCTAGATGAAATACGGGCTACACTGAATAGCATTTGAGACAATAGAGGCGAGCAATCTATCGGTCCATGTATTATTTTAAATGCAAAACACATATCTCGGCTTTTCCTGCATTTTTTTAAGAGATATCATTTGGAACTTGTCCAACAATGAGTCACAGCTATAACCCCTCTCGAGTTAACCCATAACAGACTGGCGTTGCCATATGGCAATGCTCATCTACCTGACATCTATACTGTTTTTTGAAAAGAACATAATCAATTTTCACAGTTTTCTGCTATGGTGCAGTTCACGAATTGTTTACGTTACTTCTAAATAGGAGTAGATGATTCTGGCATGCTTTTTTCCCTTAGTGTAATTGAATATTCTAGCGTGTTATATTTGCTGACTGCAAAATGGATATAAACTTCATGTAGGTACAACAAAATATCTTCTGTTATGGTCTATAATAGCATGCAAATCTAAATAAATGATGATTTTCCATACAAATAGCACTTTTGACTGAAATAATTCGCTAATTAGATATTTAATTGATTCCTAACCTCAGAATTGCCATATGGCAATGCTAGGCTTCACAGGCTGCATGTTTATATGATGTTCCTTTTTGTTGTTAGAGGTGGGTTAACTCTGGAAGAAGCATTGCAAATGGCTTATTCAGACGACCTCGATGTTCGAAACATCTTTATAGAACCGCCAGATGTGAATGAATTGACTGATGAAGATTCTGGCGAGGATGAAGGAGGGCTTGTTGACAATTTGTCAAGAAATCAACTGAAGGCATCCGCTCAGTTAGAAGTTTTTCAAAACGATTCCCTCGAAGATGACGAACCAGTTACTCTCGACGAACATAATGAGGGGATGCGCGAAAATTTTGTAGAAGGAAACAATCGAGAAGAAACTGTTTTCGCGCAAGCAGAAAAAATTGATTATGACAAAATTGAATGGATCGAAGGTGATCTTATAATGACGGCGAAAGAATTTCCTAAGGGAAATTATGAGAATTTCAAAACTTTCACGCCTGTCGAAATGTTCGAACTGTTCTTTGATGACGACATGATTGATTTTTTCTTGGAAGAGACGACAAGATATGCCTTTTTCAAAAATCATCCCAATCCCCAAATAACTCGAGAGGAAATGCGGTGTTTTCTCGCAATCCTAATATTGTCTGGATATAACTGGATGCCAGGCAAAAAATTATTTTGGGATACTGCTGGAGATTTGGGCAACCAATTGGTTATAGAGGCAATGAGAGGAGATCGGTTTTTGACAATTTGGAAATATTTCCATTTAGCAAATAATAATGATATCGATCAATCCGATAAGTACTACAAATTGCGACCACTCGTAGAAAAATTGCAAGCCAAATTTATGAAATATTACGTACCCGAGAGAGATTTCAATTACGATGAATCCATGGTAAAATATTTTGGTAGGCATTCATGTAAACAATTTATAAAGGGAAAACCAATACGTTTTGGGTACAAGGTTTGGTGTATCAATGGTACAAGCGGATATCTTGCGAATTTCATGATATATCAAGGAAAGGATCCAAAATATAATGACAATTATAATGCGGTGTTTGGAACTTCTTCTGCACCATTTGTCACATTATTGAACGAGATGCCTGAGGAGAAACGAAATCTACGATATTCTCTATTTTGTGATAACCTCTTCACTAGTTTCCATCTATTGACTCACCTCAAACGAATGGGATATGATGCAACAGGCACAATTAGAGAAAACCATATCCCAAAAAGCTGTCCTCTAATTTCGAAAAAATCTATGAAAAAGAAGAACAGGGGAAAAGTCGGTTATGTATTGGATAAGCAAAATGGAATTATATTGGTGAGGTGAGTTGATAACAATGTGGTAACTGTTGCATCTACTTCTGATGGAGTATCTCCAATGGGCAGCGTCAAAAAAATGGTGGTGGTGTCTCTTCACTTGGTTAATAGATGCTACTTTACAAAACGCTTGGATTTTACATAAGAAAGCAGGAAATAATTTGACTCATCTGCAATTCAGGAGAGAGATTGTCAAAGCATACCTCATAAAATATCGCAATCTTCGGAAACCTGGTGGCAGGCCATCAAGCAGTGCATCAAGTAGATCTTTTAGCCGTATTTCTGATGACATAAGATTTGATAATGCGGGACATTATCTGACATCTGTACCAAATAATAAGAAAAAAATTTGTGCTGGTGAACAATGCAAGTCAATTATGAGAACAATCTGTATCAAATGTGGCGTAGGGCTTTGCCTAAAATGCAATTTATTGTTCTATACCCGTTTGTAAATCTTCCTGACAATTCTGACATTTTTTCAATAAAAACATTTCATTCAAGTCGTTATTTTACTAATTCTGCACCACTCATTGCAATGCCTAGCATTGCCATATGGCAACCGGCAATATTTTGAAGAAAAATGCATATTTCAATAATTGGTTGTTATTTTCTTGATCACTAGAATTAATTGAAGCACTTTCACTTGAAATTATCATTTTTTTGAAAAACAAGAAAACTCCGTACCTGATGGGTTAAGCACCATGTTTTTTGAAATATGCATATTTCAAAAATTTTTTAACATTTCCTCAACTAGATGTATGTTTCATATGGGACGGATTCCAAACGACACTGCAGTGCTCTAATTTACTTCTGATCAGTGTTAAGTAAACTGTTTTCAAAGAATGAAAGAAGATCTCAAATTCCTTGCAGTTGCGTAACAAGAAACCCAGTCTTCTCATTGAAGTTGATATTACATTCTGAAAATGATTGAAAAACGTGAGTTTTTGATCAAGCAAAACCGCCAGATCGTTTGATTTCGTGATTCGCGTTAAACTTTCACCATCTAGCACATACTTGAATGTTTCCGGTAATATATTACGTGTGAATTCGTGTTTAAATACAATTTATTACGAATACACCAATTAGTCAAAGAATTTATGTTCTCCTGCAATGTAAAACAGTCTGTTTCATCTTGGATTTCACGATATATTTTCATGTCATCTGCAAATAGCAATTTATGAGGAGGAATTTCATGGGCAATCTCATTTATAAATAGTATGAATGATAACGGTCCAAGATTAGACCCTTGTCTAATCACTTCACTCCGGAATCAAAACGACCGTCAACTGAGTGGAGAGCAACTAGTAAACCTCGTCCAAAGAGCCTGAAAGCACAACAATCGGCTGGAAAGGTGATGGGCTCGGTATTTTGGGATGTGCGTGGTGTAATATTCATCGACTATCTTGGGAAGTAAAATATAATAATAATAAATGCTTTTATTGAAAGGTTACTTAGTACAAGAGATACTAATCCAACCTAACAAATGGCAGAATTCAACGTCTGCGCATGATAAATCAAGGCAGAAATTGCTCTTCCATCTAACCAGTATCATCATCAATAGTGAATATTATATAGCGTTATTGGAGTGTTTGAAGGCCAAAAATGCAAAGAAACGACCGCTTATGGCAAAGAAAAAAATTGTTCTATCAAGACAACACACCGTGTCACAAGTCAATGGAAACAATGATAAAACTACATGAATTGAACTTCGAATTGCTCTCACATCCACCGTATTCACCAGATTTAACTGCTAGCGACTTCTGGCTATTCGCAGACCTCAAATGAAGCTCACCGGTAAGAAATTTCGGTAGAATGAGAAGGTTATTGCTGAAACTGAGGCCTATTTTGTGGCAAAAGATAAATCGTTCTACAAAAGTGCAGCACTGGAATGAATGCGTGGCTCTTAATGGAGATTATTACATTGATGAATGAAGCCAACTTTGAACAGAAAAATGCATTTTTTTTTCAGGCCCGGGACTTCTCAGCCCAGGCAGTAGCCCATTACCAGTACAGGTCGAACGAATTCAAACAATGAAGCTATCAAATCAATTCCACATGTCGGAAAATATTTTTGGAATTCAGATACTCACCAAGACATGTTTCCATCAGAAAATATACGTAGTTGTCGTCCCTGAACGTTCTAAATAGTTTCAAAATGAAAGGAGAACTGCAGCCTAATTGAATTTTACGTTCATTGAGAATGTGTTCCTGTTGCATACTCTCCACTATATCAAACTTCTTCAACATCTTCAGAGCGAAGGCAAGTTTTCTATCCATATATTCAACCAGTTCGACTCTACCAAAGCCCCCTTCTCCAAGAGTTGCCTTCCTCTGTAGATCTGACAGTTTAATATCCCCATATTCTCGAGTAGGTTTGATGGATTCTTTGGGTTTCAAATTTATATATTCCATAAGATCGATGAACTCCCTCATAGTGAGGGTCAGACATTCAACCCCAGGAGGATTTGCAATTACTGTTGCCTGTCTGGCGTTGATAGTCATCGTCAATGCCAATTCTCCAAAACTATCTCCCTCGTGGAGAATATTAACAATGCCTTCTCCTCTTTTCGTTACAGTTACGGATCCAGCATTTATGATGAAGAATTTATCACCTGAAAAATGGAGTTAACGGTGAAGTACACGAATCATTAGGTTTTTCACAGCTCAATCTAGCAGTTGATTTCTCGATTCTAGATTGACCGTGGGTCTTCCACACTCATCTACCCTGCAATAATAAGACCTATGTTAACGTACGGAGCCATTGCATGGGTGCTGAAAGTTCTACAAGCAACGGCCATCCAAAAATTATATCAAATACAGCGATTGGCTTGTTTAATAAATTACAGGAGCCATGAGAACGACACCAACCGCGGCAATGGAATTAATTACTGGTCTGACACCTCCGGACCTGTACGTTAAGGAAGTTGCTAATGGCCATGTTACGATTGTGCACGGCTGGTTTAAACCTCGTAGGAATGGGTCAATTGAGGCTGAACCTATGACGAGAAGCACTTACTACGCAACCTCTGCTGCAGACAGCCAGTGATGCAATTGAATCCAGGTTTGTGTTCAATAAACCCTACAAAATACAAATAAAACATTCAAATGCTACAAATGCAATCCACATATAAACAGACAGCTCCAAAACCAAAGAAGGCCCAGGATGTGGAGTGTACTCCAGATCACTAAGCCTAAGGATTAAGGGGGAATGGAAAAAATACCAGCGTGGTAGAACTAACTGGTATCTCAATCGCTACAAATGAAACAACCATGAAAAGAATTTCTGGCAAAAACATAAACTGCACTGATAGAAGACAAGCCCTATTAGCCTTGAATAGACAACGTGTTACCCCAGGGCTAGCACTAGAGTGCCCCGAAGATTTAGCCAAAGTCTCGGTAAAAAATAACATTATCTTGAGGTGGGTTGAAGTAAAGGTAATCGTATTGTCGACTCTTTGGCCAAGGAAGCGGCTGGACTAACAATAACTTCGACAATTGCGGAACTAGCCAAACGTCACACCCATGCTCAATACCTTAAGAGATGGGATGGAATCAAAGGATGCAGTCTTGCCAGGATTACTTTGGGCGATCCTGGGAAGCTGAAGCCGGAGAAATATCTGGCAATAATCAGGAAAAATCTACGCTTAACAGTAGGATTTCTGACTGGCCACTGTCAACTAAGGAAACACTTCCCTAGTATGGGGCTAGTGGACACACCTCTATGCAGGATGTGTGAAGAAACGCAGGATCTACCGAAAACATATGCACATGCATGAGAATCCGAGGCAGTTGATTTGCTCTGGAAATTTTTCGAAATATAGAAAATAAATTTGTAAACACACTTGATACTGCCTTCTTGGCGATGAGTGATGCAACAAACACTATTGTCTTTCTTCTCAAAAAGTGCTAAAAATCAATCTTCTCCTTCAAATTGTGTCCAACCAACAAAAGCTTAGATATATTACAAACTATTCAGAGTATTTCAACCAGCCCTAGATACCTACAAATGCTGTTTATATTTTAAGACATTTCCTCAACCAATAAACAATTTTTGGAAACAAAGGACCCGTCCCGGCTCCGCACGGATATAATGCTATAATGATATACTAATGATATACTACAGAATGTATTTGAAGTATCGTTATTTTCCTAGCTATGATTAGAAGCGATCGCTTCTAATCATAAAGTGCTATAGGGCGACGCGCTGCCGGCTCTCAGGCTGGTTTCGCCGCAACCGATATGTCCCTGAATTCTAAATCTGTAATATTCTCGAAAATATTCATTTCAATTACATGCTGTTAATGCACAATGTATTAACGGTATTTAATCGGATAAGACACTAGTTTACAGCCAATTTACGACTGTAATGCCAGAGGCAGTTCTTTTTTAATGTTTGGTCCCTAAATGCGAAAATGATAGTAAAAATTTCCTAACATGTGAGATTTTTGAGTTATGATTTTTTTCACAAAAATTCAATGAACACGACATTTCTTTTCCACTAAATTGATGAAATTGTTTCAAATTTGGCAACACAGCGTCTAAAACAAGTTCAAAAGCCGTTCTGCCCCATAATGTTAGTTAGGGTTAGTTAGGGAAGCTATATATTATGATGTAGACTAATCCTCCCGATATAGAAGGCCCAGACACTCAGTCGAATGAGACCCTCATGTCCCCCGTTAACGGACGAATAGATTTTTCATCCATCCCACCCCAGCCAGGTAGGGGTACCCCGTGAAGGGCGGTACTGATGTCTAAGGACTTCATGCCGCCAATATCCCCCCAGTCATGAACCCATTTGTCCTTCTTCGACAAAAATCAGCTAAAAGGGTAAGGAAGCTGGGCTCCAACCTGAATGTGCTCCGTGCGTGGTCATTGGTCTAACAGTCATCACTCATACACCGTATATTATTTGTGGCACCAAACACCAAGATCTTTCAGAATGTTCATATGGCGCTGAAATTGGATCACTTCAAAAAAAGTTAAAGCTTAGATATATTGCAAACTATTCAGAGTATTTCAACCAGCCCTAGATACAAATGCTGTTTATATTTTAAAACATATCCTCAACCAATAAATAATTATTGGAAACAAAGGACCCGCCCCGGCTTCGCACGGATATAATGCTGATACTAAATATACTACAGAATGTATTAGAAGTCTCGTTATTTTCCTAGCTAGAGAGCTCCGGTAAACACTTGCGATCGCTTCTAATCATAAAGTGCTATAGGGCGACGCGTCGCGGGCTCCCCGGCTGGTTTCGCCGCAACCGATATGTCCCTGAATTCTAAATCTGTAAGATTCTCGAAAATATTCATTTAAATTAGATGCTGTGGAGAGCCATATTGATCTATAGTTAATGCACAATGTATTAACGGTATTTAATCGGATAAGACACTAGTTCACAGCCAATTTACGACTGTAATGCCAGAGGCAGTTCTTTGTTAATTTTTGGTTCCTAAATGCGAAAATGATAGTAAAAATTTCCTAACACGTGAGATTTTTGAGTTATGATTTTTTCACAAAAATTTAATGAACACGACATTTCTTTTCCACTAAATTGATGAAATTGTTTCAAATTTGGCAACACAGTGGCTAAAACAAGTTCAAAAGCCGTTCTGCTCCATAATAATAACAAGTTAGTTAGAGAAGCTATAGAAACTCTGAGTGATTATTATGAAAAAAAAACTAATAAGGGAGAGGGAGGAAGACACTACCCCAGCCTCGCAGTGCCTCGTGTACACCAACCAAGAAGTGTGTACCCCGTGGAAGGAAAGGAAAGGAAAGTAAAGGAAAGGAAAGGGTGGAAGAAACGAGGAAACGATTACATATCATCATCTGAATTGAGGACTTCATCATCAATCAGGATGGGGGATGGTGGAGGACTATCTTCGATGAGGATTGGGGATGGTTGAAGTCTATCCTCGGGCAGTAGGTCATCATTATCAGAATCCCATTCAGAACCCCGCCAATCGTTAGGATCCGGATATTCGCTGCCTGATAGGTCCGCTCCATCACTACCGGTAACAAATTGCACCTGCAATCGATAATGCTGTAGAAGACCTCTCTCGATATAGAAGGCCCCGATACTCTGTTGAATGAGGCCCTCATGTCCCCCGTCAACTGACGAATAGATTTTTCATCCATCCCACCCCAGCCAGGTAGGGGTACCCCGTGAAGGGCGGTACTGATGCCTAAGGACTTTATGCCGCCAATATCCCCTCAGTTATGGACCCATTTGTCCTTCTTCGACAAAAATCAGCTAAAAGGGTAAGGGGTGCTGGGCTCCAACCTGAATGAACTGAAGACAATTGGGCAATGGTAACAAAACCCCCTCTATTCCTCTTGCATATGCACATATGCAGTTACCATGAAGGAAACACACGAAAGTATGTCACTTATTCTAAATGCAATAAGTTATAATACGTATAAGTGGCAAATATGTGATGACCTAAAAGTCGTAGGACTCACTATTACTTGGTCCTCAGGGCGGATTTACGAGGTTTTGCTGTTTTCTTTGCCTTTGAAACAGTAGGGCAACACAGAGCCATTATCAAGTAATGGAATGGCCTCCGAGATATAAATATATTCCAGGTCAAACTAACGTGAAGAATATACCTCTTGTTAATCCCAAAAACGTTTTGTTACCTCCATCACACATTAAACTGGGGTTACTGAAAAATTTTGTAATAGCATTAGACGTTTAAATATCTTAAACACTTTTTTCCAAAATTGAGTGATGCAAAGCTCAAGGAAGGTATATTTGTTGGACCACACATTAGAAAACTACTAACTGATCAACAGTTTGATCAAAAATTAAGTAATATTGAATTAGCTGCGTGGAGTTCTTTCAAAAGAATTGTTTCAGAGTTTAAAGGAAACAAGAGAGTTGAAAATTACAAAACACTTGTAGAAGAACTACTTGGAAACTACTGCAGAATCTCAAAATCTTTACGAGATGGAAAATTTTTGATGGTGAAGTTGCAGTCAGAATGCTTTAAACTCTCATGTATAGCCATTATAGCCGTAAAAAGTAAAGGATATAAAATGGTTATTGTGGGTTATCCCTGAGAGATATTGTACACCTGTAGCACGTCATTTTAATCTATCTTGTAGGGTTCAGCCAGCCTCTGAAATTATCACTGTTTCTCTACTACCCATATTATGCATGTTACACATTTGAACCATCCTCTTGAATCAATCTATATATTGTTGTAAATCATGCCCGAAAGAAAATAACGCCGGCCGCCGCTGGTAGCCAAAAACCAGGCGTGACGTGACCAAAAGCGCGCGAGTGAACGATGAGTATCCGACAATAGAGAAGCAACGAGAAAAATGCTACCGACTTCGATAGAACTTCGGAAAAATTTCGACAACATTCGACTACGAGATTCAAAGGCTAGCCACGAGGATATCGGGACACTCAAGTGGACGTTACAGTGTGGTACGCGAAGTGATCCACTAACCCGATAGACATTCAAATAATACTTAAATTATTAGTCGAAGTGTTTGTTGTATTTAAAGTGAAATGCGTAGTTTTAAAGATCTAAGCATACATAGGGACAGACACCGGGAAGCGACTTTGTTTTTTACTATGTAGGGATAATTATCTCACCTTTGTCTCCCTGCTTCACTATCTTATAACCTCCTTGGAAAAATTCAGACTTCAATGAGTTAACAACTTTTCTCAACCGGTCGTTATCCATATTTCTGAATATATCATTCTTCGTCAAAAAATTTGAAATCTGCTCATATTTTTCCAAAACTTCTTGAACCAAAATCATCTGATAAACATTACTATTCAACACCCAAACAAATCCTGATGTCACTGCTTTAATTGTTGCCAACCTCTTAGGGCAATACAGAATTGCTAGTTCTCCGAAGAGACGAACATCCTCAAAAGTGTCCACCACTTTTCTTTGCTGTATCACATTGAACTTTCCTTTTCCAGATATGTATATGTGATTTGCTCTGTCTCCTTCTTTGATAATGATTTCATTGGCTGATACTTCTCTCTTGTACATGGCCGCTACAACGGCTTCCAGTCTTTTCTTGAATATGATTTTTCTAATGAACTCATTTTGTTCAATAGCATTGCGGATCAGAAGTTCTTCCCTAAAAGAGATAATAATATAAAAGAATGATAAAGGAACAAGACCTGAAATGCTTCTTTGAATAAAACAAATTGTTCGCCAACATTTTCCCGCATTTGAAGAGGATGAATATAAGTTATTTTCATAATTATAACTCATAAAGCTCTCACATTTTTTTTTCCAAAATCCGACCTACTTGACCGACCAACCCTCTCTCTAAGCCAAGAGATAGCGCTGGCAGACATGACGACTTGGGTTTGACTACACAAAAGAATTCTTTCACAATAGAAATCACCGATGTATTGATAATGAACATTTCATTGTGGCCAGCTTATACTACAGGGTGTTTATTAAACATGCGGCAAAAAAACTATTCCTTGCACTATTCTAAGGATATTTTGTCCTTTGACATGTTGTCCATATCTCCCCTCTATCCAGAAAAATGTGTAGAGATGGTATATCTAGGTCACTGATGGTGCAAATGGCACCGAAGATGACAGGCCTATACACAAGAGAGTTTTGCCTAAACCGTTTGCTCCGTGCGTGGTCATTGGTCTAACAGTCATCACTCATACACCGTATATTATTTGTGGCACCAAACACCAAGATCTTTCAGAATGTTCATATGGATATCTCACTTCTGCTACAAATGACCTAAGCTCATTTGTGTGAATAATCCAGGTCACTCCTTCTGTTGAAGAGGTCTAACACAGTTCTACTAATGTTCACAGACATCTGTTTCCTCTGACACCAACAATGAACATCGTTCAACATTCTTTGGAAGATATTACACACTACCCTTCCCTATGTGGTAATTGTCAAGATGACGAGGTAGTTTACATGAACTTGCTGAACTATCTTTCTTCTATTGAGACATCTCTCTGAAGGCAACCCCAGGTGACCTTGAACCTGATAGCTTCATCTTAAAGAGTAACAGTAGCTGAGAAGTGAGGCAACTACCTTCCATTTATTGTTGAGAGATCAGATAATTTTCTCTACAAGGTTATCTGTTACTAAATCTGCTCCTTTGGGAGTTTTATGAGCATGTTGATGGTTGTTCAGTGCTGGTGCATATAAGGTAATCCTTTGGTACACGAATGAGTATTTTTATGAAATGTAATATATCTTATGGACATTCATTGAAAACATCCATGAAGTATTGTTTGGGTCTAAATTGAATGTCCATTCATTACCACCAAATTTATTGGGGGGGATGATGGTTCAACCTCAATATTTTGTATAGGGTTTTCCGAACTTTGACAATTGATAACGGCCATTTTGGTGAAGCTATATTTGTCAGATCAGTTGTCATTTATTCAGTCTGGATGAATGGGTACGTGAGCAAACAAAATTGTTGAATTTGGGTCGATTTTAATGCATCCCGTAAAAACGCTGAACAGAGAAGCCGTAGCTGACATTTGAACGACGTTATATTCCACACATAATGGTATCAATAGGTCTTTCAATCGAATAAAAAATTTTCAAGATATCTCACATAATATTTCTTTAATTTAAATTCAAAGATAGGAAGCGTTTAATGAGAGACCCTATTTACGGCTGAGTTGAAAGCAAAATAACTTACTCAGGTTTTTTTTCATTCACTGGTAGCTTGTCACTTACTATAGTTTGATAAATTATTACATGAGGCCGTCTAGAAACGGAAAGTTTCTCACGGGGCACTACGAATTTGCCCTTTAAGGAGCGGGTACAACTAGGCATTCTTAGAAAATATTCATCACTGTCCACTTCTAAATAAACCTCAAACAATACACCAAACAATGAAATACCACAGATGAATGAATCACTTGTGATTACGAAGTGCGTTTATCTCAATTTTTGATAGGTATTCTAGTAGAGATTAGAAGTTCCAATTTTACAATACAAATTATCAGGTATGTTGAAATCATTTCGCGAAAATAACACTTTCGAGTGCTATTGAACTATAATGATAATAATAATATTCTTCATTTAGTAGAACACAGAATTACAAAAAGGGTAAGATATATCAAATACGCTACAACATTTCCTATGCAAACTGAAAAGGCGGAGTTCATCTTGAGCACCTGGAGAACACAAAGATGTTCTTCTACCTTTGGACAGGCAGAACAAAAGATCGCAGACAACTGATCAAAATTGAGATAAACTATAGATATATGTGCTGATTTAAATAACCGCTTTCTAGATATTAGAGGATTTCATAAATTCAAACAAATGTTTTCGAAAGGAGGAGAGTTTCATATTCTTAAACTCATTTGGAATAGCATTGTAAGTGGTCGATATATTATAGGAAAAACTTCTCTCAAACAATGATGATTTGTGGATTGGTGGTGTTATAGTACCTCTCGATCTTATATTAAGATTGTGAACGTTAGTGCGGAACACAATCTTTCAATAAAGGTAGGAGGAAGTTTGGGTAGTAATTAGTTAATGATATAAAGTGGAGCAGTGAAGTTTTCGGCGAGATTCCATATTTAGCCACCCGGCTTCTCGTAGCGTATGACTGATAGGTTGACGCCTACGAATACCATAGATGAAGCTGAGCCAATAGTTTTGGATTTTCTGGATTTTTTGCGTAGATGTTGCCGTAAGACAAGAGCTATAGACCGTATAGCAATAAGTAAAGGTAGAAAGAACTAGAAACTCTCAAAATATTATCAAAAGGAGGAAATTCGTGGACATGACACTCAAAAAATATGGAGGCAAACCGCGGACACGTGTTTCTGGCTATTGGCCTCATCAGCGCGGTGCAGCCAATTGCAAAGGTGGACAACAACTGGTTACCAAAAATGAAAACAAAAAAAAACATCACTTATGCACGGTGTCATCAACAGGAGCCAACCGCACATTTGTGGTTTCAATTAGAAGACCCAGCATTCCCAGGCATCATCTAACATCACCACGTAGGCAGCTATAGCTACCTGCGTGACTTCCGGGTCCAGGATATAGATATTATTGAGTGTGTATGATATAAATCAAAAGGATTTGCAATTGGCTGCACCGCGCTGATGAGGCCAATAGCCAGAAACACGTGTCCGCGGTTTGCCTCCATATTTTTAATGCTCAAATCAGTTGGGCAGAAATCCTTCCGGTGTTTAGGACCAAAACTCTATAGTTTTCTTCCTGAAAATTTAAGATGCGAAACAAATCTTCAAAAATGTATGACAAAAATTAAATTATTTGTCAATAATATACCACGAGCAGAGATACAAAGACAAATATAAATTTAAATACTTACTTCCACAATTGTGGATATATATTGTGTATTGATTTGCTTGTAGTCTGGAATCCTCATGAATAAAATCTCTATATCCATTGATTGTTTGATTTATTTATATTATGTCCAAATGTGTCCAGTTCAAAGTTATGTTTTTATCTATACTTAATACCCATTCAATACATTAGTTTATTTTGATTCTTCATATTCTGTTTGAATATGTCCAGTTTAAACTTATATTCTTATCTATATCTAGTACTTATTTCAATAGATTTATTGGTTTTATTCATTTATATTCTTTTTAAATATAGCTATTTTGAATTTATATCTCATACTTAATTTAAAGAATGAATCTCATCCAATGTCATATTCAGTATTCTCATTCCTTACACACAGGCAGACCATTTTGCCTCGTAAGATGTATTTTATTTGTTCACTGTTCATTTCTTTATGTACATGTATATTTACTGTGAATAAATACATATTATTATTATTATTATTATATATTTTTTCGGCCTGAATTGGATGATCTGGATACCAACGACATGTAGTTTCAACGTGACGACGCTACGTGCCACACAGCTCATGCCACATTGAACTGCACGAGCGATTTGAGGACATGGTCATCTCACGGGAGGTGATGTAGACTGGCCAGCGAGATCGTGGGATTTGACCCCTTTAGACTTTCTCTTGGGGGGTTACCTCAAGTCATAGGTATATACGAATAAGCCACAAACCACAGCGTTCCTCAATGTCAAATTCAGACTGATTTATGTGCCAGAGTCGTGGAAAATTGGACGTTTCGGATGCATTCCACCCAGAGAAGCCAAGGCAGACCATTGAGCGATGTTATATTCCACAATTGATGGCATACCCAAACTAAATTGTAGTAAAACAGTTAATGATATCATATAATAATTCAACTCAGGTTTCCTGGTGAGAACAGTCGAATTATTCGAATCAATTCAATCGTTTATTTGATATTGGTATTTTTTTCACTTCAATTATTTTCATACTATTTCTATGTTTTTTCATGCGTGCTTCAGATGTTCTTCCAGTTTGACCTATGTAAAACATCGAGCATGGTCTACAGGACTATTCATGAATTCCTGATATATCTGAGACGAAACTCTTGTATTTGTGGCTACCTTCTTCGTAAAACTTAAAGACAGGTGGCCTGGTTTTTCGAAGTTGTAGCATTTTTTCCATACAACTGACTCAATTCAAAGTTGATTTGTCTGAATTCGCTGACTTCATCCTTCAACTTTTCTTGCAAACAAAAGAAAACTTTGAAAATATCGCGAATTTACAAATTCCCGTGAACAAACATCGAACCTTCGTTTCGATACGGTCCTGTCCAAAAAATAATCAGAATCAATGGAAATGATAATGTTCTTTACCAACCTTCACTGTTATACGCGTATTCGTATCTCGCTCCACCTAGATTCGTAATATTTGACACGTGCAAGTTTATTTTCGTTCCTACATGTTATTCTGGAATAATTTGGAGGTTATAGGATTTTGATATTAACGACAAAGGTGAGTTTTTTGAACCAACCAAAAAGTCAAAGCTAACTCATATCTTCGTTAAGTTGCAAATTACGGGTACCTTAACTGCTTCGGTAAAGTAAATATGACCGAGGCCGGTTTTATTTGTAGGACCGGCCTCAGGATATTTGAGTATAAGCATGTTATTTCAAGAGTTAACCAATATGTTCACTGTGAGAGAGTTTGTTGGTGAGAGGCAAAAAATTAGAAGTGTTTCACGTGTTCGGCGATTTTCTGCGTGTTTTATGTATAAAAAGTGATAATTGCTAGAAAGTCAAATGCTCCAAACTTGCGAATTCCAAAAGCAGTGTTTTGCAATTCTTATATTTCAACTCCACTTTCATTTCTTGCAGTCGATTAGAAGGTTGGACACTGTGAGAGAGTTTTTAAGTTTGTTTGAGAAATGAGAAAGTTTTCCTCAGCTTATTGTAATATTACTACCTGAAATTTATTTCTGGAATCAATTAACTCATAAATATATCTTACAGTCAGTTTCTATCCACCTTCCAAATCCCATTTGTGACTTCAGATATGCGAAGGCAAACTTTAATGCTTCCTATTTTTTATGTGATGATAAACTTCAGAAAGGTTCAGGTCATTAGTAGCTGTACCTATTTCATACATAATCAATAACATCTTCATATCTGGTTATATTAGACAATGGAAGTCCGAACTGATGAAATACACCACGAAACATTAAAAAAAAAAGATACCTATTGCACTTCTGCCTTTTTTTTTCAGATGACCAAACTTGGAAGAGTAGTAGGAGGACTTCAAATTGTTAAACATTTCTCGACTATACAAAATCAGGTGCTGAAAAAAGAAACCAAAGACGTTGGTGTTATCACACTCAACAAACCAGACACCCTCAATACTCTAACATGGAGTATGTCTGCGGAAATCTACCAAACTTTGAAGGAATGGGAGTCGGAAAAAAAATTGGTGATCATGAAAGGAGCTGGACAGAAAGCCTTCAGTGCTGGAGCAGATTTGAAATCAGTTTTTCAATATTTGGAAAAAAACTCTGGCCCAGCACAGGATCTTAGTATGTACATGAACGCTAATGTGTATTTACTTTCACGTTACAAAATTCCCTACGTTGCCCTCATCAACGGAATAACTATGGGAGGGGGCGTTGGTCTATCGATAAACGGAAAGTATCAAGTTGCAAGTGAGAAGACAGTTTGGGCCATGCCTGAAACGAAAATTGGTTTCTACCCCAACGTGGGAGCTTCCTACTTCCTCTCTCGATTGCCGAAGAGACTTGGTCGATATTTGGGTCTAACTGGGAAGTCCCTCATGGGATCAGATGTGGTGAGAGCTGGACTAGCTTCACACTTCGCGGACAGTAGACATTTCGAAGATCTGGAGCAGAAACTCATGTATTGCTCACTACCAAGGGAAGTTGTGGATATTCTGAATGAGTTCAACAAATCCGATTTACCCGAATTTTCCCTCGCTCCGGTGCTTGATAAAATTGACTATTGTTTCTCTGGTGAAAGCATGGAAGAAATAATGAAAAGGTTAGAAAAAGACGGTTCCACCTGGGCTGAAGATACAATCAAAGCTTTGGCAGCACTTTCGCCGACGAGTTTGAAGGTTTCGCTGAGGGAACTTCAACAAGGGGAGCATATTACTTTGAGAGATGCTCTGATTATGGAGTATAGAATGAATAACAACATTCTGAAGAAGCAAGATTTTCACGAAGGTCAGTATTTAACATGAATACTACTGCCCAAATTGAAAGAGACAAATTTTTCCTTAGTTTTAAGAAAAAAAAAGCTTTCTGTCTTTCTTTCATGGCTGAGATTGCATCAGATATGCGTATAAATGTGTTGCTAGTAGATATCCATCTAGAAGTGTAGATCAGGAGTATTTAGTGAATCGCTTCGGTGTGGAATGTTTAGAGGGTTCAATATATATTTTTCTACCCCCTCCATTTCAAACTATTCATTAATAGTTTGACAGCAGGTAGGTCATGGCTCGATTAGAATACATGCGGCCATTTCCTTAAGGAATTTAAAAAAATGATGAGATATGTAATATTTACTCTGATAAATATAATCTCATGAGAGAGAAGGTTGAGAGAGAAGAAGAACATAACTTCGTTTTCCAAAAACGTTCTCGTTTATTTCGAAGATTTGGCAACCGTCGTAGAAAAAGTATAGTAAGCACATCGAGAATAGCCAATTACGTCCACTCGAGAAATTGTTGCATTCGGCTGACGCCTCGTGCTTACAATTTTTCGCTTCTGTTATTCCCTAACTGAATGGCATCCCGCCGAGAGGATAAATGACTGAGCCTATCAGCTGTCTCTACGGAACCTTCGAGATACCAGGCGCCCTCTCGTCGCCTTGTCATGGTAATGCAGGGCTCTGCCGTGATTCACCTTCTTTCCCTATCTACTCGTGGGACTTTTATGGACAGAGTAAACCTAAAAATTTCTTCTGACGCTGAGTCTACAGAGGAGATGGATGTCAAGCTTACGACTTCAACTGATCCCCCTGTAAATTTAGATCAGGAACGAGAGCTTCTCAACTCTCCAACTCCTGATTCAATAACTGAACCTAAAAAAAAGTTTGTTGGTGCAGCCAGGAAACGACTTTCCAACTGTTATTTTATCTTCATTATGAACATCAGTACAATAAAAGCGTTAGAAAAATCATTTTAAATGTTATTTTCCTTTCGTTTCAGGTATCCGAGCACTCTTAATAGACAAAGACAAGAATCCTAAGTGGACTCCTTCCTCATTTTCAGAAGTTTCAGAAGACCTTGTTCGGAGTCATTTCTTGAAGGTTCCTGAAGAAGAGAATCAAATGAAGTTGTTGCAATGATTGTCATTTCTCTTCGAGATCTCTTCCTATAAAATATTGTGAATTTTAATCCAATTGAGTTCTTCACTAATTGATAATACTTTCTTTTAGAAGTTCAAGAATTCAAGGCCCTATGAGCTTTGAGTTCTGGCATCGGTGAAGGAAATGTTATCAAAAGCGACAAATACTTTTTGATATTTTTATATACGAGTACGAGTTTATTATTTACGTGAAACTCTAATAACTTTTAATCTAACAAATGCGGAGATCAAGCAAAACAGGCAATATAAAATCCTTTCAGTTTCAGGAACAGCAGCAATAACAAAGGAATAAATTAATGTAAAACACTTTAAAAAAAGCTTTTATTCGTGCCATAAATAAATAAAAATAAGATTCAAATTACATTCAACCTGTTAATTTTTCAATTACTTTACAAAATTCAATTGTGCGCAGTGCTGCACGATGTAAATTTGAGTGATCTTTTCCATACAGCACCCTATATGGAAGTCCTATGAATATTTTTAAGAGATATTAGGACTTTTTCCTTTCACGTTATTCAATGTTATTGTAAACGTAGTTATTTTTACTAGTTTGTATCTAAAAGCAACTGTATATGATCTACATATCTTTAGAAAGAGTTATCATTGTGGTTTCATCAGAAGTAAAAAATCAAAAAGCTTTCTGAGAATATATAGCTTGAGAAATGGTTCTTATGCAGATTCTATGAAACATGTTCTTCCTTACGAATCAGTAGAGAGTTGTCCTGAAAAACTTGAGAATAAAATTGGATTAGATAATTTAGGAAACACTTGCTACATGAATAGCATTTTACAAGTGTTGTTCATGACGATGAATCTCAAAAACGGGGTTTTAATGACGAACGAGAACGAGAATGTTTCCTACTTATTCACCAAACTCAAACACCTGTTCATGCAGCTGCAGTTTCGTAAAAATGTATCATCTTTTTCTACAACCGATTTCCTGGAGTCTTCGAAGTCCACTAGATACTCGATAGGACAACAGGAGGATTGTTCCGAATTCTTGGGGCTCTTGTTGAATACTCTCCATGAGCAAAACAATAGCAGAATCAATATTCCTGACCACTCTGGATTGAATGATTCTGTACAATCTATCTCGACTTGTGTTGGTGAATCTTTTACTGGAAAAAAATCCTCACTTGTTTACTTTGTAGTAAATGTTCAAGAGGTAGCGAAAACGTATGACTAATAACCAGTCCGTGCAAAGCTTACTGTTAAATCATCTGAAAATAGAACTTTAAACAGGTGATGATCAACTATATTGCCAAACATGCGCCAAACTAACTGACTGTTATAAGGAAACAAGTATATCTGAGGCTCCAGTCAATCTAATAATAACACTGATGATCTTCAAACATGACTCAACCTCTGACGGAAGCACCAAACTCTTACCGAGGTTCGAAATTGATGAGCACAATCTAGCAGACCACTGTTATAATCTTCATGTAGTCATTATTCACTGTGGTTCTGGCGGTGAATCTGGTCATTATTACGCCTTGGCTAAAGACAAAACGGACTGGTTTAAGTTTAACGATGTTCTGGCGATGTATTGAATTTACTGGAGCCTCTGGAGACACTCTACATTTAGTTTTATGAGAGAGAGGACATTGGCAGATAGAGATCTTCAGATGATGTGGTGCTGCAGGTTTTTCCTGCAGCTGAAAAGCAAATGCACCACTGGAATCAATGAAGTCGCCCCGGAGCGCCAATTCATTTTTGCTGTTGTTTTATAATTTCATGATTTGTATTTTGAGAAGAAACGATTTGAGAGAAATAAAGAAATTAATTTATTCTGATAATCCACTGGCAGATCTCGTTTCATGAACGTTGCTTGGCAATGCACCGCCTTCAAAAGCCTCGTTTATCATTAATATTCATAGATTGGGCCTTCTGCCATAGATGATATCTCTGTAGGGGAAGATATCATAGACTTTCCTTACTCAGGCTTGTTCTTGAAGGACACTACCAATGAGAACAGTACTGTTTCTTATTGGATCACGAATGCTTCTTTTTTGGGCTCTAGTTTTGAAGGTGTCTTGTAGTGAAAGCAGAAGTGGAAGATTAAAGACGAATTTCTTTCTGTGATCGATGTCGAAACTTTATTTGGACTATTCAAAAAGAGAAAAGATTCCTTCGCCTTTTCCTACAGTTTCAATTGTTATGTACTACTTCATTTATATTCACAAATATATTGTCGCAATAAGGAAGTTTCGGATTCTGTCTGTTTTCTGTTTTTCCATTAATCAGCTGTCGCCCTCATACGAACGACAACTCTCAGAAGTTGAGAAACTTGTGCGAGCTAAAGACTAACGAGGTCTTACCTTTTAACGTGTGATTTGTAACACGGATTACTTTAATAAACTTTGTTATTTTCAAGGAATACAAAATTTAAATGAAATGCATGTAAATTTTATTTATTTTCAAGTTTTCACATACGAATAACATTAGAACTGATGAATATAAATACAAGTACACAGATAAATCAGTTTTGGAATAATTCCCACTGGATTATTGAAAACATTGAAATCCTTGATAAGTCATTTTATGTGAGCATTTTTCAACATTTTCAAGAGAAAAATTAATTTAGCATTCGTTTTGAAACTACAAAAAACCTCGCAACAATCTTTGAACAACCGTAAAAATCGATAAGAATCAAACACTGAATAAGCAATTTTGATTTAACATCTACGATTTCTGCTGATATTGGGTATTACGACGAAATTATGTGATTGGTTGATAAGGGGCCGTTCAAGTATTAGGGGCACTATTGGGAACGGAGGGGTTGCTTTGCTCATTTTTGATGACTTGGGGGACGGGAGGTCTAGCTAGATGGTAATTACGCCAGCAGTAGTTATTTACTTTTTTACGCATATAGCAATCCACACATTGTCCATGTTTGAAAACGGAATGAATTTTTGGGAATTCCCACAAATATTGTTTACGTTTAGTCACTCGCTTCCCGATTTCCCAGACATTAAATGGTATACTGAACATGTGCTTGAAAGCCAATACTTGCTTCAAAATTGTTAAATGTAGAAACATAGAAAGCTGTCGTCCAAGAAGTGGCCTATTTAGATTACTGGACAACAGGTGTCTTCCACCACCAGTAAAAGTAATACAAACAGTTGATGACTTGGTTTTGCATGTTGGAAGGCAATTTCTCAGTCTTCCAGTCAATTCAGCTCCATGCTTAAATGCTTCACTCAAAGGTTACCTGCGAATGCCTTACGATTATTTTTGTCCGACGGTAAAGTTGAAGCTATCAAGTCGAACATGCAAAACATGGGGTTTTTATCAGGCTTCCGTCAAGTCGCTAAATCGCCACATCGGGAAGATCCATAAAAAAGTAAACACGCACACTGCTGTCAAAGTTGGTGTTATAAGAGACGCTGCTTGTCGTGCTGATGAGCTGATCTGCAGTATTCAAAATTTAGAGGTGAGGTTAGGTTAGGTATAAAGTGAGTGGGCTTATTCGACCCTTCACCGCAACCCGTAAGGGTTTATTGTGGCTCACGCCTATTCACACTCGGCCAAATAAACCCAGCTTCTTAACGAAGCCGATTGGTTTGAATATAGTGGTCTTTCAGGTCAGATGGTAAGAGTACGGCTCTGCCGAACTTACTCTCTTACTCTCTATTGAATACCGTGTCAATGAAGCTTGTTCAAATGAATATTATGTGGGTAAAGTCCTATATCCTTAATATTTTTTCTTATTTCTAGAATTAAAACTGCTGCTCATGAATCAATTCAAAGAAGAAACAGAATTCGTTGAAAAAACAATGCATATAACAATGTTTACGTAAGCATGGGACGCGGGGTAAGAGCTTTGATTACTTGTGCTGACAAGGGGGATGGTGAGGGGTTAATAGTTGTAATAAATACGTAAACCTTGAACGGCCCCTAACTCACATGCTAGATATGATTAAAAGGTTAGTTTCGGTTTGAAGTCGTTCAAAATCCTGTCTCCGTTCAAAGATATAGTTTCCCTGCCCTGTTCTGTAGTTCCTATAAATGAAAGATGCAAAGTACCGAAAAATACCTCAGGCCTGACAGATGAAAACCAAAATTCGAGTTGATCAAAAACTATCATCCCATCCAGAAAGTTCATCAGGTGGCGTGTCGTTATCTCTTTTGAACTGATCAAAATATTTCGTATCGATCGGGCTGCTCAACTTAGGTTTGAACGGAGAGGGCATTTGCAATTTCACAAACGCCGGCCAATCGAATCCCAAGTACCATTTATGATTCTTTATATCTTGAATCCCACCCTTACTCATCCCTAGTCGTTCCGATGGTACCGGTTGGCACAGTTTCTCGATGAGATGCCTCGCTTTGAGGTTTACGTAGGTGGGAAAACTGATGTTGTCTATTCCGCTGAGGATTTTGTTGTAAGTGCGCATATGGCTGCTGTCATCCGTCCTGAAGGGAGTCCTGCCAGTCAGCATTTCGAAAATGAAAGCTCCGTACGCCCAGTAGTCGACCGCCCTGTTGTGTCCCCTGTTCAAAACTATTTCCGGAGCAACGTATTCCGGTGTTCCGGCAAAAGTAAAGGTTTTGCTCTGCCCGGAAAGTTTCTTGGCAAATCCAAAATCTGTTAGTTTTATATAGCCGTTCAGTGCAATCAGTAAGTTTTCCGGTTTCAGATCCCGAAAAATGACACCTCGGGAATGAAGGTAGTCGAAAGCTTCCAATACGCACGCGCAGATGAATCTGGCGTCTTTCTCTTCGAATCGACGATTTTTCTGCTTCTGCAGCATACTCCAAAGATCGCCGCCTGCAAATGAAACCGATTTTTTTATTGAAAACTTTCCTGAACAGAAGTGGGATGAATGAAACAAGAAATAATATTTCTTTAACAGGAGGTTAACCGAAGAATCAGAAGCATTTCTTTCTAGATTAGACGATCGAATGGCCTCGGAATGAACAGGGAATTGAATTTGCAGATGTACTAGATAGAAAGTTCGTAGGCTAACACACAGATTGCGCTACTACTATCAAATCCATATGATTTTTAGGCAACCCTAACCTTCAAAAGACATGTATAAAAATTTCACAGCTGTCGGACTACCAGTTTATGGAACAGAACGTTTTGATTGAAGCAACTTTTGTTAGTGTAAAAGAGGTGAAATGAGGACCAACGACGATGCACGCAGTGGATGCTCCAAAGAGGCTGTTACCGATGAAAACATCAAAAAAGTCCACAAAATAATTTTGGATGAGCGCAAAGTGGAGTTGATTGAGATAGCTGAGGCTCTAAAGATATCAAAGGAACGTATTGGCCAGCCATTACGTGCAGGAATATTTGGGTGTGTGAAACCTCTATTCAAAGTGAGTACTGCGCGAGCTCGACCAAAAATAACAAAGAATTGATGATTCTGAGCAGTGTTTGAAGGTGTATCACCATGAAGAGAGACGAATTTATATGTCGATATGCGATAATGGATGAAATGTGGCTCCATTATTTCACACCAGGAAACGATCATCATCTGAGTGGAATGCACGTGGTGAACCGACTCCAAAGCGTGCAAAGACGCAACAGTCGGCCACTATAATCGTTGTATCACCCTCGAAGGTAACTAGGTTAGGTTAGGTCCAAAGTGAGTGGATCTATTCGACCCTCCACCACAAATCTAGCCTCTCTCTCCAGAAAAATGTGTAGAGGAGGTGGATCTAGAAAGATCTCCATGGCTGCTGACGATGTGGTACACCACCGATGGCCAGACAAGCCTCTCTCTGTAAGCCAGAGAGCTTCGCCTGTGCCGTTTTCTGTAAAGCCTTCGGCCACCAGGTAATTTCACCATAAGTGATCATTGGTCTAACAATCATCACATAAATCCAATGGATTTGTTTGGGACCTAAGCCCCAAGTTTTTCTACAAATCCTTCGACATGTCCATAGGGACAGTCTGGCTTTGTGTAAAACTTCTTCCAAGTGAGCGTTCCAGGTGAGTTTTTTATCAAGGACAATGCCAATATATTTCACATCCGTTCCAAATAGAATAAACTCACCATTGAGGGTAAGCTTCGTTAGATCGTCCAATTGTTTCCTCCTAGTGAAGGGGATTATCACAGTTTTGCTGGGGTTGACAGACATCTGCTTACTCAGGCATCAACTGTGAACAACGTCCATCGTGCGTTGAAGGATATTACAAGCTATCCTTCCGGACGTGGACCTTGCCAAGATGGTCATTTTGAAGGTAACTTTATTGGAAAACGAAATCAAATTTCATCTATAAAAAATATTTTTGCTATGTTAGCCAACGAATTTTTCAGGCCAACTTCTGTAAACCTTGAGAACTTCAGCAAATGAATCCAGGAGAAAATGGACATTTCCAATCTCACTTATGACTCTCAAATCTCAATCAAAAGTGAAATCAATATGACTCCTCTCAACACCAGCCGTTATTACCAGACTCGATATCGACAATGGACAATTGCGTTCTGCGTGAATAAATGCGGAAGAGACTACCATCTTCACTGAGTTCTGAAAATCGATCGATAAAAAACGTAAAGATGCTAGATTTTCAAGAAAAAACTTCAGAATAAAGGAACTGTTCTCTATATAGGGGCTATTCAAGTAATGGGAAATTAGTATTTTTTCAAGAACATGACTGAAAATCGTTGTGATTGTTTTCCATGGATCTAACTAAATAATCTGTCAATATTTTACCTTGTGCTGAGATCTATCAATGAGAAATATTGCGTAATGAGGAAAAATACATGGCTAAGTGTATCGATGAAATTGGCGAAATAGCAACAGACTAATTTAGAACACCATGTTTCAGAGGTCAATCAACAACATTGACATATTTTACATTCCAAAACAGCTTTGACATTTATCGATGACATTTCAAAAATGAAACAAACCTCCAAGAAAACAACTGCAACCATCATTAGATATTTTCCATTCTGAATCATGAGTACTCTAAGACTCTCCTTCAATATTCAAGAAATGTTTCTAGGGACGAAGAAAGAATGCAAAATGAGAGATAAGAACAAATGTAGAGCCTGAAATATTGTGTGACAATCCAAACACAAATACTTCGCTGGCGGGAACATGGTCCCATGGGCAATCCATCAATTCCGGCGGTATAGATAGATAGATCTTTATTTAAATAGGATATCCTAATAATATACAAATCAATTAGAATGGTAGAAATAAAAAAAAGGTATGTGTTACATATAGAAATGACTTAAATGTATGACAAACATAAGTTCAATAAAATATTTTTGAAGACATTACTACAAAAACAGCAACATTATACATTCGAAAAATGTCCATGCAATATGTAGAAAGATAAATTACATAATTATTTGAAATATATAACGAACATTAGATGAATGGAATTATACAAATTACAGCTACAGGTAACAAAGACATAATACATATCATATTTGTACATTTAAAACAAATTTCTTCAGTTCATTTTTGAACATGTTCAGAGATGGGCTATTTTTAATTGCATTAGGTAATTTGTTGAACCGATCAAAACCCTTGAAAAACAATGAGTTCATAGTATTTTTGTTTTTTGTTCTGTTAATATATAAGTTATTATTATTTCGAGTGAAGTGGTGGTGAATATCGTGATGAAAGACAATATACTGATTAAAATAAGATGGTCCTAAATTGTTCAATATTTTGTATACGAAGATCATTGTGAAGTATAGCAGCTTTGGGAAATGGATTGCCAATTTAAAATATTGAGCATAATAGTAATAGGAGTATCTCTACGGCACTTCAAAATGATTCTCATACCACGATTCTGAAGTTTTTGGAGTTGAGACAATTTATTCTGATTGAATAAATATAGGATAGAGGAACAATAGTCGAAGTGTGGCTGAACAATTGATTTGTAAACTGTGATACTTGACTCCGTTGAAAGATTATTGGCAATTCTAGAAAAAAAGAATAATTTCTTTGAAATTTGTTTATGAATATACTCAAAATGTTCATCAAACGATAGAGTGTTATCTATCTGGAATCCCAGATATTTAGTTGAATTCACTATTCCAATTTTGTCATCATCAATGTTGAGATTAATAGTTTTAGAGTCTATTTGGCTGTATTTAAACTTGGTGGTGATTATCATCGCTTTAGTTTTCATCACATTCAGCTTGAGTTCATTAATTTTTAAATACTTGTTGACACTTGCTAGAGTATTATTCATTTTATGTATAGCCATCGTAAGGTTCACATCGCTACATGCCAATAGAGTATTATCAGCAAAAAAGTTCATAAATTCACAGTCGACAAACAATGGCATGTCGTTTAAATATAGTATGAATAGAAGGGGTCTCAGAACACTACCCTGGGGAACTCCAACGTAATTGTCAATTTCACAAGAGAATATGTCTTTAACTCTTACCCGTTGTTTTCTGTTGGTCAAGTAATTAGATAACCAATTATACACTTTGCCCTCAATTCCATATATATTCAATTTGGCTAGTAGTTTTTCACACACTATATTCGGCTATGAAATTACATTCTATAATATTAATATTGTTAGTATTATGAAATTAAAACCAACAAAAGTTAGTCGAAGAAAAGAAAAGCATCAACAAGGTAGGGGTTGTGAAAATAGATATGCAAAATCTAAGTGTAGCTGGAAAAAAATGCAAAACATGAGATCCAATGGAGAGAAATTGTAAATCAAGAGATGCTGTTATGTTTCATTAAACCAAATATTTGGTCTTCAAGGCCTGTTGTTGCTTTTATATAATGATAACTTACCCAAACAAGATTCCATAAGGAAGTATATGTACTTTTGATCCTTGAATGTTCTATACAGCCTAACTATGAAAGGCGAATTACACGCCATCTGTATGGTCTTCTCATTATAAACGTGTTCTTCTTGACACTGCGCAACTACGTCAACTTTCTTCAGATACTTCAGGGCGAAAACAAGGCTCTCATCCTTGATGTGCTGAACTAACTCTACTCTGCCAAATCCACCTACACCCAGAGTTTTTCTGATTTTCAGATCCAACAGATTCAGTTCACCGTGTTCGGCTGCGGCAGGTTTGATGGAGTCTTTTGGCGTCACTCTGATATATTTGAAATTTTTTATCTCGCCTAGATGATCGATGAACTCCTTTCTCGTGAGGGTGAGGCATTCAACTCCGGGTGCGTCTGCAGTCACCGTGGCCTGCCTGCAGTCTTCTTCTAATAACGCCAGTTCGCCAAAACAATCTCCCTTTCTGTAAACGCCAACAACGCCTTCCTTATCCTTAGTTATGGTCACAGTACCCGCTCTGATTATGTAGAATTTATGACCTGAAATTATTTTGTTTTTGGAATTCTATAATGATTTTGATGAAGTTAGCGCTTATTGGAATGGAAATAAATTGTTAGATTCGAAATTATAGCGCCACCTTTTGGGATATTAGTTTTTTATGTTGGTATAAGCAATGTCATGTCATATGATAGGTTGCCTTATGTTTCGGGATTTGGCAATCCTAGTGTTGCAATCTGGCAACTGACAGCTCTATCGTAAACTTGGACATTTTTGAGCTTATACGTACTCAGAAAGTTTTGACATACGCGCGTTACTTGTGTACATTTTCGTGCGCATTTCGTGCACATTTTTCCAAACTCACAAAGTAATGATTTCGTTATCTAGGAATACCATGAGCATAGCATGAGGATAATATATCTCCGTATCGTGTATTTTCCTGAGGAATACACGGGGAAATCACGAAGATGTAATTTTACTCGGTACGTCTTACAATAGTACCTACTCGTAAACTGTGATGGAATTGGAATATCGTTCGGATCTAATATGGACGTCAGCAAAACAAATCCCAAGTAGATACTGAAAGCTTCCTCATGATGAAATGATGATGATGATTAGGGGATGATTGATCCCTCATGATGATCCCTCATCACGAGGGATCAATAATCCAAGATGTCTTGGGATCACATCCACAAATGGATGATGCACTTAGAATATCATGAGGAAGCTGTGTGCTATCTGGGTATGTATAAACCGTACCTAATTTTTTCGATAATTTGAAAATCAATATTGCTTTCAACAGCTGAAATCTCACCTTTGTCGCCTTGTCGAACAATTTCTTTACCAGTCGGGAAAAACTCAGACTTTAGCAAATTAGCGACCACTTGTAGAGCGTCTTTTCCCACAACTTTGAGATATTCGTTGTTCATCAGGAAATTCATCGTCTCGTCTTGTTCTCGAATATTGTGGCGGATCACTATCTGTTGGTAGACATTGCTATCCAGTACCCACACCATTCCAGAAGTGACTGCTCTTATTGTGGCCAAGCGTTTGGCATTGTACAAAATGGCCAATTCTCCAAAAACCCGAACGTTATCGAACTCATTCACCACTTTTCCTTTGATGATCGTTTGGTACTTGCCCTTGGCGGAAACATACATGTGCGATCCTTTGTCGCCTTGCTTGATCAGAATTTCTTTGGAAGATACTTTTCTTATGTACATTGCTGCTATCACATCTATTATTCTTTGCTCTGATATAATTTTGTTAAGGAATTCATTATTCTCAATAGCGGTCCGTATCAAACGTTCATCTCTGAAAATTAAAAACAGTTAATCAAAGATACTTTCTACAAGAATTTTAGGATAAAAAGGGGTTTTGAGTAAGGCAAAAGGGAGTCCTTGCTGTATTAATGATTCGATTTGTTTCTTCAGAGTGCTGAGGTTACTAGATTTGATTGAAATCGTTATGAATAACACAAAGTCACTTAGAGAGTGAATTATGGAACTTTGTTATGGATTTGTTACTATGTTTCTTATGGATATTATTCTGAAGACGTTGAGTACTGAGCTATGCAGATGGATAAGTCATCCTAGTTCAGAATGCAGGATGCAGGAGGCTCTGAACATTATAACAATATAGGTCAAAGAAGATAAGCTAAACATAAACCCTTCTGAATGGTAACATTCCCCAAGAGAACTACCAGAAGAAGAAGAGTTCAACAGAAGAAGAAGAGTTCAATAGAAGAAGAAGAAAAGTTCAACAGAAGAAGAAGAGTTCAACAGAAGAAGAAAACTTCAACAGAACCTCATCTGAATTAACCATAGAAATGTATACATCTAGAGAATCAAGGGATAGGGAGAAACAAGAACCTCTAAAATTCAGAAGTGAAGATATTGAATCTGGAGAAAAATATAGGAGTGGTATAAGATCCCACAGTTACCATAATCCTTTGAAGGAGGTTGCGTTAATGGACACGTTACGATTACGCACGGCTGGTGTAAACCTCGAAGTTGGAATGAGTCAACTGAGGCTAAGCTTATGGCGAGAAGCGCTTACTGCACAACCTCTGCAGCAGGCAGCCAGTGATGCAATTGAACCCAGGTTTGTGTTTGATAAACCATACAAAATACAAATAAAACAGAACACAAAAAACACAAAGTCAGATGCTACAAACGCCATACGCATATATACAGACGGCTCAATAACCAAAGAAAGGCTCAGGATGTTGAGTGTACTCCAGATCACTAAGCATAAGGATTAACCCTCCTGTACTCGGGTAGTCTCTGTGAGACAATTCAGTTCTGATTTTTATTGATAAATCTACAGTTGGTCTTCTATCGCGCTGAAAGTTCGTGTAGCTTCGGGATTCTTAGACATCGGCACGTGGCTTAAATGGTTAGTTTGAGTCAGATCGTGACAGACTTCTATTGTCGAAAATTGTCTAATAGACACTACTCGAGTACTGGCGTAACCAAATTCTCTGATGAGAGATTCGTTATTTTTGCTGTTTTTATTCCACTTGATGATATCAAAAAAACATGGATTCGTATTTGGAAGAACTTCAAAGACTGCAAACATTATATGACGAAGTTTCAACTGATGATGAGGTTCAACATGAGGATGGCGAGCCAGAATCAGATGTGGACCGTTGTGAATTGAGTGATTGCGATTCCAGATCTGAGGAAAGTGCAGATGGAGAGCTTGAACATGAAATAGTGAATAAGTAATCTTCAAACTACCTCCGCAAGTTCATTTTATGGATGTGAACGTGAAAAAGAAAATCATACAGAAGTAATAAAGTGGTCTAAACACGCACCTATGACTAGTGTTAGACATTGACGTCAGAATCTTGTGACACATTTACTAGGCACGAAGGGAAGAGCGAAGAATTTTAGAAATCCATTAGAATGTTGGTCTGCTTTCTTTACTATCGATTTGCTTGAATTGATCGTCGAGAATACAAACATATATATAGCAACAGTTGCACCAAAGTACAGACCCACCGGATGTGCTACCTACAAATATTTTAGAACTGAAGGCTGTCAAAGAGATTATCTACTTGATGGGGCTTTATAAAAGTGGGAGAGAAAATACCAAAGACTTTTGGGCTGAAGATGGCTCAGGCCTCGAAATTATTCGTGCAACAATGACCTATCGAAGATTTACCTTCTTATTGTCTTGCATACGATTTGATGATATTCATACGGGAAGTGAAAGAAAGAAGACTGACAAATTGTGCCCTATTAGAACTTTTTTTGAACGCTTCAACGGTCCGTGCAATATTTCAAATAAAACATCTCAAGTTGTGAAAAGAAAGTGTACTTTTATATATGATACGGGAAGAAATGTTACAATGGACAATTGGTTCACGAGCTTGGACATTGTAGAGCATATGGTGGAAAATCATAGGATAACCGTTGTAGGAACTATTCGCTAGAATCGATCAGAAATTCCTGCAGAACTGAAAGATATCACATCGAGGCAAGTAAATTCCTCCATGTTTGTATTTTGTAGAAATGCCACCTTGGTATTATATGTACCAAAACAAATGTGTCCTTTTAATTTCTTCCATGCACTTCGATGATAAAATTGGCGCAGCGGCAGGAGACCAGTGTAAGCCAGATATGATTACCTGTGATAACTAAATGCGGTGTTGATTCGGCTGACCAAAAGATGGCTGTATATAAGTAAGTAGAACCACTTGCAGGTGGCCGATGGCTATCTTCTATAATATGCTCAACATCGCAGGGGTAAATGCTTTTGTAATAAGTCAAAGCAATGCCCCTCCCCGTATAATAATTACAAACACCGGAGGTTATTTCTGAAAAAACTTGCTCACGACATAGTTATGGAAAATTTAACTAATCGAGCAATTAACCCATATATTAGAAAAGATATCAGGGGTTTGGCACTGAAGTTCTCTGGTACGACCACTCTGCCTCCGCGAGCAAGGCGCGAAAATGAGCAATGAAAAGTTTTTTTTTTACTTTAATCATCTCATTATGTTTTTTAAAACTGAAAAACGTGTCTGACAGACACCACCCGAGTGTGCACGTTAGTTTGCTTCACTTCACCCGAGTGCAGGAGGGTTATGTGGGGAATGGGAAAAAATACCAGCGTGGTCCAAACAGAACTGGCTGGTATCTCTATCGCCACAAAAGAAATAACCAGGAAAAAAAATTCCGGCAAAAACATAACAACCTGCACTGATAGCAGACAAGCCCTATTAGCCTTGAACAGACAACGTGTTACCTCAGGCTAGTACTACAGTGCCACCAAGATTTAGCCAAAGCCTCGGTAGATAATAACATTATCCTGAGGTGGATTAAAGGGCACGACAGGAGTAAGGTAATCGCATTTTTCGTCAAAATATTTCACATGAGGGGTCCAAGTGATAACACCATGGTACTGACAGCAGATAAGCCCTATTATCCTTGAACAGACAACGTGTTACCTCAGGGCTAGTACTAGAGAGTGCCACCAAGATAATAAACATATCGGTAGATAATAACATTATTCTGAGGTGGGTTAAAGGACACAACAGGAGTAAAGGTAATTGCATTGCCGACTCTTTGATCAAGGAAGCGGCTGAACTAAGAATTTTAGGACCCTTAAGAGATGAGATGAAATCAAAGGATGCAATCTTGCCAGGATCACCCTGGGCGACCCTGGAAAGCTGGCGCCGAAGAAATATCTGGCGATAACCAGGAAAAATCTACGCTTAACATTAGGATTTCTGACTAGCCACTGTCAACTAAGGAAACACCTCCATAATATGGGGCTAGCGGACACACCTTTATACACGATGTGTGAACAGGAAGATCAGACTGTCAGGCATGTCCTATGCGAGTGTCCGGAGTTATCGTCAATAAGAGGGTGTCTGTTCGGCGAGTCTTGGCCTACACCTGCCGATATAAAGGAGATATCTCCCAGTGACCTGTCCACCTTCCTGGAAAAGACAGGATGGACGATGATCTAGGAGGAAAACTCCTCAGAAGGATGTATAATGGGTCACATGTGGCCTAAGTGCTGTGGGCCTACACTCACCCTCCCTACTCTACAGATACAGAATCGCTTGAACGAAACCAGATCAGGAAATGAGTTGATAGAAAACAAACAATATTGGAAAATGTGTCTGGAAACGTACGTGGGTACTGAGGAAAACTGAAGAGCTGCTTCATCATAGTAGGAAACGACAAAGAATAAATATACTCACTGGGGATTTCTTATTGGAATAATAGAGTTGTATAGCGAAGACCTCAGCTGCTGGCAATACAAAAAAGGAGATAGTTACATCTAGTCATGTTTTGTGCGAATTTAAAGTTGTTTCGCGAAAAGCAAGCAATTTATACATCCTAGATTATGCAGAAGATCAGGAAAAATATCTTGTTGAAGACCTGTAATGAGTGTGATGAAAAGATGATATAGAAACATCATAAGCCTATTTTGGGACTTGGATGAATTTCTGCTTCCACGCAAAAACAAAGTCCAAATCCTATTTTCCCTCTCTTCTTTTCTCATCTGAAAACTCAATAAGCTATTAACTCATCAAATCACCAATGGAAAAAATGTTAATTCGTAATTTGAGGTATGGAATTTATCTTATCTGAGTGCTAAAATATTCCTGGTAATGTGAAATAACTTACTCTGGATCTTTTTTATGAACTGGTAATTTATCATCCTCTTTTGGGACGAATCGAACAGGTGTGACTCCAGATCGTCGTCTTCCTAGAAGGTCTTTCTGTAACAACAACCAATAACATAATTTTAATGAATGTATTGAATTGTTAGGTAATGTTGAAATATCTAAACATCAAAAGCTTCAACAGGAAACAAACAGAAATATATCTCAAATGCAAATGTAATAATCAAGTAAATTAATTTTTGAGTTTTTCTACATCTTCGTTCAGTATATTTTCAAAATTGTCATTAATTATCCTTCTTCAATCACGTTGGTTTCGAAGGTCAACATTACGTTTTGATGGTGGAAATTGGAATCAAAAAATATAAATACTCACTTGCGAATCTGCCGATGGTCGCGATACCACTGAACTGATATCTGAATTCATTGTATCTCTTGGCAAGGAATTCCCAGGCTGGATGGATTCATTCTTCTGTTGAAATATTAGAAACAATGATTATCTGAATAATAGCATTTGCGAAAATGAAAAAAATGCATGTTCAGATCAGAATATTGATATTGTCAAATCTAGGTTTGACTCTGGTCTGAAATATTAAACAAATATAGATTCAAATATAGATTGTTTTCGAATAAAAGATGTCGGTATTCGTCAAAAATTACAAAAATTCAAAAATTCCTATCTTGGCTCAGTTTAGAAGATATTCAAGAAATTGCATGTGAATATCAATGATGAATGTTTTTTATTATTATTAGTGCAATTCAAAGCAAAAACAAAATATCGGTCCAGTTTTATGTTCGTCGTAACAAAAAAGAATATCATTTGAAAATAATACTTCAATTAAATCTTTGAAAACGGTTTTTTTCAACGACAAAACACAAGCACTACAGAAAAATCCTTAAAGCGCTCTAGAAGCGGTGCCTGTGCGAAATATGGAGATAATTTTTTAAATGAAATACCCAACAACTAAAAAAATTAATCATACGAAATTCAAGACACAACTGAAAGAATATATATTTTGGAATAGATTGACAATACCTTTTGTACTATAGTACCTTTAAATCTCACATTCAAATGGAGAATATCTGGCCTAAATGTTATTTGCCTAAGTAAGTAAGAGAATGGGAAATTCTTCTTATCCCATGAATATGTCTCAAACAAGAATTTCGTACATTTCGATTTTTTTGTACTGGCTTGTAAAACTACACACATAGAAAGGGATAAAATAAACGTTTTATATAATTGCAATAATTTACTTTTATGTTTATCCAACTTTCAACTTTATTAACCATGTGGAGTTCGTCACAATCGACCATGATTTTGATATCCGAGCAGACTGGCTAAATCTCTTCAGAAGAGGGAAATATGTAGTAAATGTCGGTGTCGTCCGTATTAAAATGAATATAATTTTCATCAAGACACGTTACAAGAGGAGATGTGTATATATTGTACAGCAGTAGGCCCAGAATAGATCCTTGTGGCATTGGTTTAGTTTTCCATAAAGCTCNATTGTCTCTGGTCTGGATTTCTGGCTATACTGGCCTAGAATATATATGTATAAGTTTACGTACACAAACAAATATATGAGAATATTACTATCCACGGTCAAAGATTGAATTCGTACGAATGAAATTGTTACGAATGGAACAATTATGACCTGTATATTCACGACAAGATCATTTTAATGATTTGCCCTGTTTCTGAATGCTTCTTGAAGAAATGACAATGGAAGTAATTCATTTCGACAAAAAACTATTTTTTTTCTCACGACCTGTCGAATTTTTTGTTGAAGTCATCAATTATGGAGTCGTGCTTCCTAGATCAAAAAATTAAAGTGTTTTATTTGAATATGAGACACATTGAAAGAAAAATGTTACACTTTGAGTATTAGTTATGAGTTTATCCAGAGAATGATGAAAACTCCAAAATATAATAATAAATAGGGTGTCAGATTCGAAAATGTTAAATCAAGCGAACTATATTTCTAGGTACTCACTTGTTTTGGTGATGATTCTCCTACTTGTCTTGTGTCGGATGTAGAAGTTGTTGAATTTGTGGTGTTTATCAGCTCTGATTCACTTGGCCGCAAAATACCATTGTGCTATTTGAAACAAAATATTATATAATGATTCAGAATGAATCAATATTTCAATTTATTTTTCAGAAAATATGTTTTAGGGTAGACTCAATCGAATAGTGGACTATTCAAAAAATAAGGACACTGTTCAAATCCTGCTGGCTACGTACATTATTAAAATCTATCCAAATCCAAGATAGAGTAAAACAAAACAAAACCGAGGCGTGATGTTCACGTGATCGCCCAGTTGATTATCACGAAGAAATGAAGGGTGAATCTTTCGAACAGTCGTTTTCCAAAGTTCTACCCCATCTGGAGGATAATGATGTGATTGTAATGGACAATGCACCTTATCATTCGCGACGGTTAGAGAAGATTCCGACAACGTCTTCAAAGAAGGTTTAAATCCAAAATTGGCTGCGATCAAAGAATATTAGCTTTGAAGACTCAATGCTAGGAGTACAGCTACTAATAATTGTCAAGGAGCGCAAGCTTGAATACCAAAATTATATAGTCGATTTGATGGCAGCAGGTCCAAACAAAATTGTCCTTCGCCCGCCTCCATACCACTGCGAGCTCAATCCCATCGAGTTAATATGGGCGGATGTGAAGAATTCTGTAGCTCAGCGTAACACCACGTTCAAATTTGCAGATCTCAAAGTACTTTTTGATGAGGCTTTGAAAAGACTCACAGCGGAAAAATGGGAGGAGTATGTTCGGCATGTGATATCGGAAGTCGAGACAAAGATGTGGAAGCTTGATAACATAATAGAGGCACAAATCGAGCCACTGATAATTCAGATTGGTGAGGATGACACTACTGATGAAGAGACAAATTCATCCAGTTGAATAATTTTGATTAATAGTCCTTTTGATTTTACATAAAATAAAAATTATCAATAAAGATATAATTACGTCTCTTTTCATATAATGCTTGAGTGCGCTGTGGAAAATCCAATGAAAATCTTTTTATATTACACATATTATCTGCATTCTTCCCGTTAAACTGCAAAATTTGTGCATTTCACTCTTTATCATAAAAAAGTTTTCCTAAGTATGATATAGCATTTGCGATCAACAAGATGTTGGTTCTGAATACGATCCTGGCCAATTCTTGGGATTTTCAATATCACGTGCGTAGGGCATGTCAATGTTTACATCCACTCTATCTTGGATTTGAATTTGTTTCAGGTCCCAAACAAATCTATTGAATATCTAGATGATTGTCAGACCAATGCTCACTTATGGGGCAACTGCCTGGTGGCCGAAGGCGTTACAGAAAACGGCTCAGGCGAAGCTCTCTGCCTTACAGAGACAGGCTTGTCTGGCTATCTGTGGTGCCATTAGTACCACACCGTCAGCGGCCATGAAGATCCTTCTGGAACTACCTCCTCTCCACATGTTTCTGGAGAGACTTGCGTACATCGCCAATTGCACAGTACACTAGACTACTGGTTGACCGTGGAAGTCACAGCATTCTGGGAATGACCTCTGGCATTATGCCACCAACTGTCAACTACGAACTGCCGTATACGGTACTTTTCCCGAGTAATGAGGATTGGATCCTCCGGAAGAGGAAAATTTTATGAGCAGACAGTTTTTGGTTCACAGATGGACCAAAAACACCTTTCGGTTCCAGTGCAGGTGTTTTCAGTCGCATATCCAGGACAGAAATATCAACCTGCCTAGGAACCTATGCGACTATATTCCAAGCGGAAACCTATGCTATTGAATTGAGAGATTGGTAGAATCCAACCTCACATACAAGTCAATAAAATTTTTCTCGGACAGTCAAACGGCGTTTGAAGCTCTTGGCTCCTACCGAGCAACGTCTAAGTCGGTAGCAAATTGCCAAAAACGACTCTCCTCGATAGAAAGACTCAACAAATTGTCTCTGGTCTGGATTTCTGGCTATACTGGCCTAGAAGGCAATGAGAGTGCTGACTCCCTTGCAAAAGAGGGTGCTGCAAGTAGCTTCATAGGACCAGAACCTGCCATTGGCATTGCTTTAGGTTTTGCCAAACAAACAGTGAACACCTGGATGGCAAGGAGATCTAAAGACTTCTGGCAAAGTCTTCCAGGATTGGCTTGGTCCAATGCGTTCATTCACCCTTCGAAGCTTGAAACCAAACAGTGTTTGGACTACATTAGGGATGAACTACGATGTCTAACAGGCCCAGGTCACTGTCGTCTGAATCATCATATACAGAGACTTGGACTGTTGGAAGACAGTGTGTTCAACACAGTGTGTGTTGAATAGGTGTGAGCCACAATAAACCCTTGCGGGTTGCGATGGAGGGTCCAATAGGTCCACTCACTTTTGACCTAACCTAACTTACCATTTTTTATGTTGGTGAACTCTTTTTGAACATATATTCACAGTTTCATAAAAGTTAGAAGTATTCTACGTGTTCGACGATTTTCTGTTATCAGAAAATAATAAATCAAATAATTTGCATAACATTTAGAGTGAAAAAAGAAATTAAGTGCTCAAAAACTCTTGAGATGTTGAAAATGGCATACGGTGATTGTACTCTTGCGTGCCATGCAATTTTTTCGAAATTTAAGGCATGAAGTGAGTGGCAGCGAAGTTCGTTCCAAAATTGCTGAATTGCTGACCAAAAAAACCATCGCATGAGAATCGCTCAGGAACGACGCCAACAGCGATCCAAATTTGCTCAAAAAGATTATAAGTGGTAATGAATCATGGGTATACGGTTATGACATCGAAACCAAAGTCCAATGGTACCAATGGAAGAGCCCAGAAGAGCTAAGACCAAAAAAAGCATGCCAAGTTTGATCGAATATCAAGATTTTGATTACTGGTTTATTCGATTATCGTGGCGTAATGCATCATGAGTTCTTGCCACATGGTCGTACGGTCAATAAGGAGTATTATCTTGGAGTTAGGCACCACTTGTGAGGAGCAATGCGAAGAAAATGTCCGGTATTGTGGAAAAACACTTTATGGCTTTGGCACCACGATAATGCACCTGCTCATTCGTCATTGCTTGTTAGTGATTTTTCAGCCAAAAAACAATGGCGTAATCATGCCTCAGCCACTGTATTCACCAGATTTGCCCCACTGTTTCTTTTTTTGTTCTCAAGATTGAAGAGAACAATAGAAGGGCGGCGTTTTGGCGACGATTAAGGAAAGCCGAAGAGCTGAAGGACATACCAGGAATGCTTCGAGGATTGGGAAAAATACTGGCACAGAAAGTGAAAGTAATGAGAACTATTTTGTATGAAAAATACGACTACCAACTCCTCTGTTAAGAATACTGAAATTAGTTTTCATTGATATTGATATATTTTTCGTAAAATATCGACCTCATTACCAGATTCCGTGACTCACTATGGCAATTAAAACTTAATTTTTGTATTGGTTGAACAGAAGTTCCACCAATTTTGTTGAAATTTGAAATATGGAAACGAGTTCATGGATAGCGAGACACGCTGTATAATTTTTCCATCTATAAATCTGGGAATAGAAAGTAAGAAGCAGTAAGTACCTGTCTGGTGTTCGAATTCACAGGTTCCTGCGGATACAGCTTACTTAAAGTTATTCGTTGTCCAATAACAACATTTTTTTTCTTCTTTTTGTCCGGTTCATTGATGATGATGGTGTGCCGAAAACAAGTTTTTCCCAGACACCAAACCATTTCTCATCTGAAATACAAATAACTGAACAAATAACAATTGAAAAAAAGGTGACTTTTTCAACTAGATTGTACCTAACAGAATTGTAAAATTTCACAATTTTATCCGCTTATCTACCCAGATAAGGCATCATTGAACTTATCTTCCTAGTAAATTAGAGATTTGAATAAATCAGTTGTCTTCAGGAAAACTTGAACCACTTTGTTATTGGTAACACAAACACAATTTTCGTATTTCCACTGAGATTTCTATAGACAGGACTAACAAAAACTGTAAATACTGGGTTTATTGAGGAGTGACTTTGAATGGTATCTCAGGTTAGAAGATAAAGAAACAATTACATTAGTATTTTATAATCAGAGATAAGTTTGAGATATCAGGTTTTCCATGAACATGTTCACACGAAATTTATTGACGTACAGTGTTTCAAAATTGTCTAATTAGATTTACTCTTAGAGAACATACAAACAAAATTTCACCAAATTAATATGAATATATCAATATCAAAATGTATTTCTGCTTTCACTTGCAGTATACTTTATGTCTGGGATGAGGAAGATCATCTTTGGAAAATCGGAAACCGTGAGACATTAAAAGTTAATTGAATAAAAACAAGTTGACCGTTTCGAAGTTGAAATTTAGGAAATTACGATTCGTTTCAAAGATATCACAAAAGAACCGAAATTCGGCGATTTATTTTTTTGAGTTTTCTTTTCAAGATGGCTTCCACAGATTTTTGGTTTCCGAGACACCAATTTTTATTTTTTATGGACCGGAAAAATAAATCACCCAATATAAGTCGTTCTTTTCAGCGACAAATTCACTGATTTGTTACACAAATTTTTTTTTTATTTCAAAACATCATTTAAATAAGTTCCAAAAAGGGCAACTTTTTTCTCAATTTATGTTTCACTTAGAATTTCCAATTTTCCCAAATTGACCCTCCTTGGCAAAAACATTTCAGTAAAGTGATCGGCCACGTCGATTCATCATTTTCAAATTGACATTTGAAGATGTAATTTTCAAAATCCTCACCCTCAAAGTTGAGGTTTCCAGCCTTCAAAAGTGAAACGGTGGTAATGTTGGGAATAAAATATGCAAATGTCAATTTGGAAATGGAAATCAACATGGTAAAATACCCTTTAAAATCTACCCCGCTGCGGAGGGGCGTGGTGTGGTGATGAAGTAGGATTCCTCCTAAATGACGCCTCATCTCAAGGTGGGCGTATCTGTATTTTAGAAAACCTTGTCACGGTGATGCGGGGCTCCGCCATGGGAGAAATCCAATCCACAAAAACTCGTGGAACCTTTTGAGGGCCATGAAGTAACCAAAGAATCCAACCATGAGTCTACAGTCTACTGAACAACTCCAATTGTAGTCAGTGCAACATCAGATCGAGCAAGAGCTTCTCAGTTCTCTTGATCTTGTTAAAAACCTATGGGGCTATGCGGTGCAGTCTGATAGCGAATCATTGTCTCTCAAGAGAAGGACATTCTTGAGCAGCAATAAAGAAATCTGAATTCAAAGAGGCAACAACCTTCCCCTCACTCTACCTTAACCAGATGCGAAAAAGCTCTGCATTGCTGAATCTAATGTATAATCAGAAATAGCTGACTTACTGATACTCTCATATAAAAAAGGTGCCATGGTCATTGAGGTGGTAATCTTGCACCTTGAACATCCGATAATCTCACTGATTGAATGGAATCTCTCCAGAATGCCGTCGGATATATTCTGGAAGATGGTCAGCAGATAGTCCAGAGCTGCACATTTTGGCCTGGATGGGATGTAGGTTACATGGGAGGATCATATGTGGTTCTTCTGCACTGTGGATCCAGTTGTACCTTACAACCTCCGTGAAATGCATCACAAAAGGCCTACTTCCCAAGCCAAACATTCACTGACCTATCAGCCCCTCATTGGATCAAGGAACATCTATCATGGTCTGCCAACCTTGGAGTGGATTATTCTCCACAAAAAACCTCAGGCTCTAGTAATAGAACACATAGTTTGTGCCTGACCCGTCGCAAACTGAATGAAGTTTTCAGCGTACAACAAATTCCCACTTTTGCCACCCATCCTGAATGATCACTCATCAAATAGAGTAAACTGTACTAATACCGCTGCCATCACTGTCTAGTCCCTGGAAGCGTTGCATCAAAAGCATTCAAAGGAAGGAGGTTCCGTTCCCCCCAGCCAGACTCTTAGGACCCCTGGGGAAGATCCCGGACGATTCCAATATATCCTGGATGAAGTAGCATACAGTGCCACAGCCCAAAGCAACTCTTAAACTCTGAATCCAATCCTCAACCTAGGATACATCGGTGAAATCCCGCCTACAATCGACCCTAGCTATTGTACCCAGAACACTCCATTCAACCAAGAAGATGCATTTCGCCAACTGAATCACGAATCACGAAGAAGAGGCCCACCAACCCACTTACTGAGAATAAGAGAATCGTCACCACTTCCAAACTCACTAGTAGCAGAATATAAAAGTACTAACATAGACAAACAAAAACAGTGTAAAACCAAACCCCACAAAAACTATTGTACACTGCTCCCGAAGAGGCATAAGACTATAACTGGGGCCCCACAAATAAGACTACTCAAAACTCTAGGTTCTGGTTAGTCTCTGCTATAAAACCAAATAATAGGTCTACTGATTCGGCCCTTCACCATGTGGTTGGCACACCCCTTCTTTGGAACATAGTTCAAGATACCCTAATTAATCACCTCAACAATAATGGATTCTACACAATTGCATATGCAGATAACATAGTTATAATGCAGACAGGCAAATTTGTGAACACACTGTGCGATAGAGCGCAGGATAGGCTCAAATCAGTAGAAACATGGTGTAAGGAACAATCCCAAGAAGAATGAGATAGTCCTTTTCACCAGGAAAAGAAGTTTATCGGGCTTAAAACCTCTCGAAATCTCTAAAAGCAATCTAAACTTCTCTGAAGAGGTACTATCCTCGACAGAAAGCTAACATGGAACTCTCATCTACAGAATAGAGCGAAAAGAGACATATGTGGCTTATGAGCAATGTCGGAGGACAATGGGACGCGCATGGGGTCTTTCACCTCGTGTGGTCACCTGGTCTACACTGCAAAAATAAGACCTGTGTTAACGTACGGAGCCATTGCATGGGGACCGAAAGTTCTGCAAGCAACGGCCATCAAAAAATTATAGCATATTCAGCGATTGGCTTATTTAAACATCACTGGAGCCATGAGAACAACATCAACCGCGGCAATGAAATGAATTACTGGTCTTACCCCGCTGGACCTGTACGTTAAGGAGATTGCATTAATGGCCATGTTACGATTGCGCACGGCTGGTGTAAACCTTGAAGTAGGAATGGATCAATTGAGGCTAAGCCTATGGCGAGAAGCACTTACTGCGCAACCTCTGCTGCAGGCAACCAGAGATGCAATTGAACCCAGGTTTGTGTTTAATAAACCCTACAAAATACAAATAAAACAGAACACAGAGTCAGATACTACAAATGCAATACACATATATACAGAACGGCTGTGGAGTATACTCCAGATCACTAAGCTTAAGGATTAAGTGGGAATGGAAAAAATTCCAGCGTGGTTCAAACAGAACTGGCTGGTATCTCAATCGCCACAAAAAAATAACCAGGACAGAATTTCTGGCAAAAGCTTAACAATCTGCACTGATAGCAGACAAGCCCTATCAGTCTTGAACAGACAATGTGTTACCTCAGGGCTAGTACTAGAGTGCCACCAAGATTTAGTCAAAGCCTCGGTAGATAATAAAATCATCCTGAGGTGGATTAAAGGGCAGGACAGGAGTAAAGGTAATCGCATTGCCGACTCTTTAGCCAAGAAAGCGTCTGGACTAAGAATTTTAGCACCCAGTGGCACCTACGGTCTGATGACTTCGACAATTGCGGAACTAGCCAAACGTCACACCCATGTTCAATCTCTAAAGAGATGGGATGAAATCAAAGGATGCAATCTTTCCAGGATCACCCTTGGCGACCCTGGGAAGCTGGTGCCGAAGAAATATCTGGCGATGACCAGGAAAAATCTACGCCTAACAGTAGAATTTCTGACTGGTCACTGTCAACTGAGGAAACACCTCCACAATATGGGACTTGTGGACACATCTCTATGCAGGATGTATGAACAGGTAGATGAAACTGTCCTATGCGAATATCCGGAGAGTGTGTGTTCGGCGAGTCTTGGCCTATGCCTGCCGGTATAAAGGAGATGTCTGCCAGAGACCTATTCTCCTTCCTGAAAAGGACAGTATGGACGATGACCTAGGTGGACAATTCCTTGGGAGGATGTACAATGGGTCACATGTCGCCTAAGTGCTGTGGGCCTACACCCACCCTCCCTTCTCTACAAATACAGATACAGAGAAAACCAAATAATAAACGTTTCATTCATTCATAAGGGCTCTCAGTCCTCGCTTGGAAGTAGTCAAATTAAGATCCCACCATCAAGTCACAAAACCCCGTTTCAGTTCTTCGAAATTGCTCCAAGATCGAATCCGAAACGTCGAATACACGCAGTTCAACTTGAACTGCAGAAACTCAAATTGCTGACCTTGGGAACTCATCTGAACATCGCTACTATGACTATAAAAATTATTAGAAACATCAGAAGGAAACACCCTGTAGACATTTTTGACGTCCTTTGAAATCAAATTCGAGCGAGTAGCGGAAAATGATAATATATATACTACGCAAAACCACACGAGGATAGGCCGATGCACAGGGTCTTCCTCAACAGCAAAGTCGTGTGCTTCAATTTCGAAGCACCCAACTTTACCTTCATCAGGTCCAGTGGGCTTAAGTCGGAAAATGAGGAGTTCAGCATGGCAAGTCTTTGACATCTTGGTTTGCTGTAGCCAAGTGATAAATATAGAGGTTCCTGACACTAGATGCGGGACCTGCCGCAATGTACACGAGATCATCATGCATTTGCTATACCCATTGACGAAACTCGGCATTTCGAGTGATATGATCATCCAAGACGATGTTGACGAGACACCAGTTCCAGAGAAGAATGAGAGATGCTGGAACCACTCATTTGCCGCCACCAGGCACCAGGAAGGTCCGGAACTCCGGGTACAGCGCCTGACCAGGAACCATTTTTTCAATAATAATATAATATATGTCCAATGAAAAACTACTCACAATCCTCATTATATATTTCATATTGAATTAAATTAATTCTGACTCAGTCAACATACAAAGCTTCTGGTCTTGATGAAGCACCTGTCATCATACGTAAACAATGCACAAACGGATTTACTAGTGTATTATAAAGCCTTCATCCCTTCATGGCCAATAAAAATGCCTGATTTGAACCTATTGTATTTTCAGCTCGTGGGTATTTAGAAAACTTGTAATAATCTCAAATAGCTACAGTGTTGAAGTGTTACTTTTTTACTTCAGTAGTCAGTTGATAGTTGGAAAAATTACAGCTAGCACCGTTACCTCAAATATCAAAAATGATATTTGAATATTTTGGAAGTCAACTTCCTTTCCTACTCATTCCTCTTGAATGCTCCTGATTTTAGAGACAACAGCATTGTTTTGAATGTGCACTTGTCGAGCATAAACTATTGAAAGAAATGTGTAATTTTGAATAAAGCAATGGCTCACATTCAATGACAAAGGGAAATGTTTGGCAACGTTGCCAACATAAATTTTATTTCGCGGTATTCAAAAAAAAGTTTTATCTTGGATTTGCTACTGATCTGTTTCGACACGATGTGACTCGGATGTGACTCATTACCTGAAGAAGCAGCGTTATGAAATATCCTTTCAGTTTTCTACTTAACTTTTATGAACAAAACAATTGGTAAATATTCAAATAGAGAAACACATCTATACAGATGGCAAAATATTTCATTTTTGTTGGAATAGCTAATGGAAACGATTAGCTGCGACAAATCATTCAAGTCGTAGAGATTGGTCTTACCCCGCTGGACCTGTACGTTAAGGAGGTTGCGTTAATGGCCATTTTACGATTGCGCACGGCTGGTGTAAACCTCGAAGTAGGAATGGGTCAATTGAGGCTGAGCCTATGAGAAGCACTTACTGCGCAACCTCTGCTGCAGGCAACCAGGGATGCAATTGAATCCAGGTTTGTGTTTAATAAACCCTATAAAATACAAATAAAACAGAACACAGAGTCAGATACTACAAATGCAATACACATATATACAGAACGGCTCAAAAACCAAAGAGGGCTCAGGATGTGGAGTGTACTCCAGATCACTAAGCCTAAGGATTAAGTGGGAATGGAAAAAAATCCAGCGTGGTTCAAACAGAACTGGCTGGTATCTCAATGGCCACAAAAAAATAACCAGGAAAGAATTTCTGGCAGAAGCATAACAATCTGCACTGATAGCACACAATGTGTTATCTCAGGGCTAGTACTAGAGTGCCACCAAGATTTAGCCAAAGCCTCGGTAGATAATAAAATTATCCTCAGGTGGATTAAAGGGCACGACAGGAGTAAGGTAATCGCATTGCCGACTCTTCAGCCAAGGAAGCGTCTGGACTAAGAATTTTAGGACCAAGTGGCACCTACGGTCTGATGACTTCGACAATTGCGGAACTAGCCAAACGTCACACCCATGTTCAATCCCTAAAGAGATGGGATGAAATCAAAGGATGCAATCTTGCCAGGATCACCCTTGGCGACCCTGGGAAGCTGGTGCCGAAGAAATATCTGGCGATGACCAGGAAACATCTACGCCTAACAGTAGAATTTCTGACTGGCCACTGTCAACTGAGGAAACACCTCCACAATATGGGACTAGTGGACACATCTCTATGCAGGATGTATGAACAGGTAGATGAAACTGTCCTATGCGAATGTCCGGAGAGTGTGTGTTCGGCGAGTCTTGGCCTATGCCTGCCGGTATAAAGGAGATTTCTGCCAGAGACCTATCCTCCTTCCTGAAAAGGACAGTATGGACGATGACCTAGGTGGACAATTCCTTGGGAGGATGTACAATGGGTCACATGCGGCCTAAGTGCTGTGGGCCTACACCCACCCTCCCTACTCTACAAATACAGATACAGAGAAAACCAAATAATAAACGTTTCATTCATTCCTAAGGGCTCTCAGTCCTCGCTTGGAAGTAGTCAAATTGAGACCCCGCCATCAAGTCACAAAACCCCGTTTCAGTTCTTCGAAATTGCTTCAACGTCGAATCCGAAACGTCGAATACACGCAGTTCAACTTGAACTGCAGAAACTCAAATTGCTGACCTTGGGAACTCATCTGAACATCGCTACTATGACCATTGGCTTAAAATTTCATAAACTCGGGTAACATTTTTTAAACTACTACAAAAATTTTTGTTTTTTTTACTTTGGATGGGTCAAAATGCAAATGCAACATGATTTTCTCTGTAGAATACACATAGTTTATTCAAAAAAACCAAATTTGGTATAAATTTGGGTGATTTCTTCGAACTTCTGATACATTGAGTAACAATTTTTCAAACAAAAATTACAGTTTACATAGAAATAATTTATGAAACGCTATATATCAAAAGCTATCTACTTTTTAATGCTGAATTATGCATATAATGTTAAAGCAAATGTTTTTATAAAATTCACAAACGATAGTTGTGATACGTTTAAGATATATTGTTAGCCATGCTAAATAATCAATTTTGGAATTTTTATGTTACCATGTGATTACCTGAAGATTTGTCAAAATTTGACTTACATGACAGTACAAAAAAGAGCAACTAACTCCTAATATGAAATCTTGAATACTTGAATATAATATAATTTGAGGTGTTCAATGTGTAATGCAATATCATCAATGATTTCAACATTTATATCAACAAAGCTGTAAAGTGTTCAAAAAAGTTTTCTCAGCGGTTTACGACTCAAAACATTACCTATAAGTCCCAATACAGTATTGCATGCCTATCAAACACAGAGAGAAGTACACTCACTGCTCTTATTTAAATGATTTGTCACTTTAAGCTATTAAAACTCAAGGTTAAACGTAATAAGCAAGCATGCAAACTAGTGTTTTACCTGATAAATGAGTGTAGTCGGCAAGATTGTAATTATATCGGTCGACATGAGTCAACCTCACCTCCTATCGAATTGCAAACAAATAGGTAGGTAATATTCATTGTTCAAGTAAACACAGTCACGGGTAGCAGGGAGTATATGCCTGCTTTTCTCTGTCATAGTGCCGCATGGACATGTAACTGGTAATGATCTTTAAAAAATGTGGTAGAACTGACCGTTACTTGATGAAAATTCGTTATAATGTATTCAAAAAACACTTCAATGATGGATTTACACTTGACAGTTTACAAAACCGCGACACGTGTTTGGCTATACAACACGAGGGGCTATGAAAAGTTCCTGACTGCAACATGAAGATAGCTGTGAATAAAAGCTAGTGAATTTCGTTGTTCAACTGTTGACAGTTACTATCCAAAGTTTCAGCCATTTTGGACGGGCAATTGTTATGTAACAGTCGTTTCAGTGAGTTGATGTGAGTGTTTTCATGAAAATGGACAAAATCGAGGATCGAGCTGTCATTGAATATTTGTTTTCGAAAGGCAAACGTGACCGTAAGAATTTGGAAACGATGAACGTTCGAGACGTCAAAAAACTGCTTCAACTACCGACGAAAACATCGCCAAAGTTCAATAAATGGTGCTAGATGATCGCAGAATTAAAGTGAGAGAGATAGCAGAGGTTATGAACATGTCAAAAGAACGTGTGTGTCATCTGTCAAATCAACATTCAGGCACGTTAGACCAAATCCGATTAACTACTGTAGATGTACTGTAGACCAAAAACCTGTTAGAATGAACATTTCCCACGCCCTGTTGGCGATGTTTGGGCCCAATAAATCCTAGTTTTGGCGCCAATTAATCACTGTAGATCAAACTTGGATTCACCATTATACGCCCGAAACCAAAATACAGTCCAAACAGTGGACTGCAAAGGAGAAATCTGCTCCAAAAAAGCAAAAACTGTTTTTCGGCTGGAAAAATCATGGAGTTATCTAAATCAATTATCCTCAAAAACGAAAAGCCATTACGGGAGCATGAAACGCATAATTACTTGACGGGAGGGCGCGCTAGCATTATCAACCAATGACCAATCCCCAAACCGTGGGGTAAGTGATCACTTGGTCCGACAAGCATGTGTACCGAGCAGACGCAATGAGCCACGAATGGCAGCCTTCTGCATTCGCTTGGCCGGAATGTCTGCCTTTGTGCGGCAAACCGGCATGATTTTGAGATTAGAGAGTAGAGAGAGCATCATTGCATCATAATTATCCAAAGGGTGAACTGGTCGGGCCCTACTCCCGAAGCTCCGACACATTCGGGAGCGTAAATGGGTTAAGTGATCACTGGGTCCGACAATCCTGTGCCCTGAGCAGACGCAGCACAGAACGACAGCCTTCTGAATTTGTCCGGAAAATATATCAGAAATTATTATTATCATCATTACTATCAAGAAATATTCGAATTTACATTTTGTGGTCAGAATGAATATAATTTTTGACTGAATGAAATGATTGATTCTACTGAAATTATCAGGTACAACGCATCAAAAATTTGCTGTGATGAAATGATTGAAAGAAAAATCAAATAGCGGAAATAATTTATTAGGAACTAGAAATTGCAACGTTTATTACTCCAAGTGTCTTAATATATGTATATATATTCTTATTCAAGTTCCATTTCGCCCTCTGCTCTTCCTAATCTAGGAGCAAACATGGCCCTGCCTAATCTAGGAGCGAACATAGAACGCCCCAGTCTAGGAGCAAACATGGATCTCTCGACGACTTCAGTTAAATCTGCTTCGTTGATGCCATCTGGAGACTCCTTGCTAAACTTGGGATTGTAATTCACAATATGTCCCCGACCTGTAAAAATAAAAATTATTAGAAAAATCAAAAGAAAACACCCTGTAGACCTATTTGACGTTCTTTGAAATCAAATTCGAGCGAGTAGCGAAAAACGAAAATATACTACGCAAAACCACACGAGGATAAGCCGATGCAAAGGGTCTTCTTCAATAGCAAAGTCGTGTGCTTCAATTTCGAAGCACCCAACTTTACCTTTGTCGGGTCCAGTGGGCTAAAGTCGGAAAATGAGGAGTTCAACACATTGGTTTGCTGTAACCGAGTGATAGATAAAGAGATTCCTGACACTAGATGCGGGACCTGCTGCGATGTACCCGAGATCCTCATGCATTTGCTGTTAGCATCTTCAGTATACGTGGCCGCAGCCTAAACTCATCGACACAACTCGGAATCTCGAGTGTTATAATCATTTAAGGCACTCCTACGATGTTGACCAGACACCAGTGTTGTACTACGTTCCAGAGAGATGCTGGAACCACTCATTTTCCACCATCAGGCACATACATGCCATGGGTGTGATGTAATCTTCTTCGACGATATTTGTCGTAGAGTTTTCCCCTCCAGATGGTTCGATTTTTGTCCGGGAAAAGAACGCTTGATAGAATGGTTGTTCAACAATTGGTAAATATTCAAATGGAGAAACACATCTATACAGATGGCAAAATATTTCATTTTTGTTGGAATAGCTAATGGAAACGATTAGCTGCGACAAATCATTCAAGTCGTAGAGAAATCAGTAGATTCTGGAGTCGTTGTTGAGGAAAAATTGCATCTGTGAAACTCAACCAGAGTCATAGTAATTTCAAAATATCAAATATTTGAACTGAAACTAGTATCCACTGAAAAAACAATAAATTCTGGGGTGAATTTATTCTGTATTGAAATCGAATTCAGTTCTAAGAAGTTTCAAAAATATATCGAAGATCTATATACAGGGTGTTTCTTTACTACGCTACGAGAGGGTGATTCGTTACGTCGTTTCAAGAAAAAAGTTTCTATGATCATATGTCCGGAGTTGCTTCATTTGTAAGATACAAGGTGTTGAAGTTAAAAAAACAACGGGATTTATAAAGTAATCATAAATATCCTTACACCGATTTGGTTGGAATATGCTACAGTTATTTGAAATAGCAAGGAAGTTTTTTTAGAACTGTCCATACGGTTTTTAGGCTAACTTCCAGCTGCAGTGCAATCTTCCTGGTTCTTTTTGAAGGATCTTCTTCTGTCGCATCAAGTATAGTTCCTTTTAGTTCAGCCGTTGTTACAGTTTCTGGTCTTCCACCACCTGTATTATTATCAAAACTTCCAGTTTCACATAATTTTGCATATAGCGTTCTAAAGGTTTAGCACATGGAATTACTGTGTCAAGATATCTGTCCTGGTAAATTCTCCGTGCTTCTTCCTCATTTCCACTTGCTATTCCATAAATAAAGTACATGTCAGCCATTCCAGCATTAGTGAAATTATTGGTGATGGAATTACTGTTAATTGACAACTGTGACTTTCACTGATATGACAACACTATCTCTGTCAGCTGGTCTCCAAAGCAGGTGTTCATGATATGCTTCGAAAATTTGAACCCGCTGTATGTGATATACGTATGGAAGGTTTCTGTTTAGAACTGTCCATACGGTTTTTAGGCTAACTTCCAGCTGCAGTGCAATCTTCCTGGTACTTTTTGAAGGATCTTCTTCTATCGCATCAAGTATAGCTTCTTTTAGTTCAGCCGTTGTTACAGTTTCTGGTCTTCCACCACCTGTATTATTATCAAAACTTCCTGTTCCACATAATCTTGCATATAGCGTTCTAAAGGTTTAGCACATGGAATTACTGTATGTCAAGATATCTGTCCTGGTAAATTCTCCGTGCTTCTTCCGCATTTCCATTTGCCAATCCATAAATAAAGTGCATGTCAGCCATTCCAGCTATTTTGTAAAATTATTGGTGATGGAATTACTGTTAATTGACAACTGTGACTTTCACTGATATGACAACACTATCTCTGTCAGCTGGTCTCCAAAGCAGGTGTTCATGATATGCTTCGAAAAGGAAGCTAGATATGAAGAAAATACAAGCGATGAAAAGGTTGTATTTTCAGTTGATCAATCTAAAAAAACTTTTTCCCCAATATTTTTGGCTGTGATACCTACTCAGACTCCACTGGACCTAATGATTTCCATCTAGTTTGGGCTAAATAAGCGCAAATATCAACCAAATCGATGTAACAATATTAACAAATACCGTTTTTTCTAAACCTCAACGCCTTGTATTTCAGAAACAAAGCAACTCCGGATATATGTTCATGATACCTTTTTTTTAAACGACCTAACGAATCACCCTTTGAAGTTTCGTATGGTTGTTAGGAAACAAACTGTATTTATTTTTTCTCAGTCGAATATTGAAAATATGTTGACATGAGAAATTACGTTGGTGGTGGTTGTGCAAAAACTAACTACCACTAAAAATCTGTTTGGAAAACGTTTAGAATTATGAAGAAACTTGTCACACTGGAGGATATATTCTACATATTAATTATAAGTTTATTTACCATGATTGAACAGCATAATCGTCCATGGGCTTTTCCTGATGAAATCCAGAAGTTCTTCAACATTCTCATTATCAGCATTTTCGTAGGATTCGTCTATAAGGTTTCTCTTCCTCCTACCAATCCGGGGTCCGAACCAGAAAGGCGAATATTTGGCTGCCTCGTCTTTCCTTTTTTCATCGACTTCGGCACTCGCTACACTTTTGAAGTACAAAATAATAAAAATAGCGGCAAAGGTAAAGACTGATAACTTCGACATGGGTGATGACTTACTGGAACACACGACTGCAAGAACAATGGATTGCTAGGGATTCATTCGAGTTTATATAGCTGGTCCTGGAATTCTAACAAATAGCGCGTCGTCACAGGGTGGACGCCACAAATAACAACCCCTGCTGAGTTATAAATTTGAATTTGAGACTCGGAGATTGAGGTGAATACCAATCGCGATTTATTCGAGTCTTAGGTAAACATATCAGGTGGGTATGTTGTGAATATGTGATTTATAAGGGAGAGAAAATAATAATGAATATTGTGAATGTGTACAAAATGGGCCAAACACTTATAGTTATATGGAAACTAATCGCTGTATCTGAGAGTCAAATTTTATGACAAGCCTAATGGTGAAAAAACCGCATATCGATATATCTCATCTTTTCTGAGTTACAGCATGTTTTTCGAAAATGTACATTTTCAAAAAGTTTCTGTAACTTTCTTCGTGTCAAAAATTTCTTGTTTCTATGAAAAAAAGCGATTTATTTCCAACAGGAGTACCCAGTTACAGGAAATGCTATTATTACAGAGTATATATGGAATAAATATTAAAAATAATGGAATATAGAAATGTATAAAAGTAAATGCTTAAACAAAGTATGTATAAAATATTCGTATAGGTAGAATTTCAAAGAGGAATGAAAAATTGAGTATATAACACAAAAAGTAACAAATCATGCAATGTTACAGTACTAACACAAAAGCTATTTATAGTGTTATTACAAGTGATTATGGATACAAGATACCAAGGCGTTCAGAGAGTCGAAATGAATATCGCAGTGTTCACAGATTATATTGAAGCTACTGCACATAAAATTCAATGGTGATCGTAGCACAATATTTGTGCGTGATGCTTCGCAATAGAATTTCAAATTGTGTCGACCTTCACTTTTTGGTACTAAGAAATATATCTCGGGTAAAAAAACCGTACTGTCAATATTGTTGTTGAGTAATTTATGCAGGAATTTTATACCAAGGATATCTCTCCTATTTTCCAAAGATGTCATATCAAATCGTGTCAACAATATGTTATGATCGATGCCTCTCATGGGGTATTGACCATCAACTTTAGACATATGTCTAAACTTCCTTTGTACGCTCTCAAATGATATTGATTCCATCAATAACTCTAGCAAAGCATTAAGTGTGTTACATTTTTGGAAAGGTAATTTTACGTTCTATCGAAATATGGAGGAATATTAAGGGTGTCTCATTGAAAACATAGTTTTCCATCAATAACTATTGATATCTCATTTGAAAAAATGAGTTTTTTACACCATTGAATCTGAGTTACAGCAACATGCTGTAACTCAGAAACGATGATAGATATCGATATGCGGTTTTCACCATTAAGTTCATCATAAAATTTGCCATCAGTCTTCATTTATCCAGTTTGAAAACAAGAGTTTCTCTTCAAAAGTGTCCAATTTGACCCACTGTGTACCTCCGTATCAAAGGCATGGTTTTTGAAGGGTTCAGATGAGACTGATTTCATCACATGGAATTATTCTATTGTTGACTTTGCAATAACTTTCAGTTCTTTTTTTAATTTATAAATTTCCTTCAATGCACTCAATTAACCCATGTAATGATAATTGCACCAGCAGCAGCCGGCACTGCTCAACAGAAGAGGTGCGATCCTGTTCCACGGCAACATCCATCCGCACGTTTCACAAATCACCGTTCGACAAATAAACGAATTGAGCGTCGAAGTTCTCGCCAGCCGACTACCATTTTTGCAAACACTTCGATAACTTTCTCAACGGTAGAACCTTAGCCGATCAGGACTAGGTAGAAATGGCCTTCGTAGACTTCATCAAATCCCGAGCACACAATTTTTATGCTGACGGAATGGATCGACTTGTGTTACGTTGACAAAAGTACACTGATTCAAATGGCGGTTATCTCGATCGATAATGTAGTAGTAGCAGTTTATTAGTCACCAAATTACATGTATTTATAAAAGCATACAATAGAAAAAATGAGCGATTAATAAAGTAGAACTCCTGTGAATGATATCCGATTTTATTCCATAACGAATGTTTGGAATACAAACTGAGTAGAGAAAAGTATCTTCTGTATAATTCAGTGTTTATATAAAAGTATTTGTTTCGAAAGAATTTGTTTTCTTTCGTGTAATTCAATGTTTATATGAAAGTAGCTGTTTCGTGAGGGCTTTCTTCCAGTTTGTGTCTGAAAGTTGCTTCTTTGCATGATCTACAAATCCATGTATAGAGTTAGGTACTTATTTTCTTTCTTTGGAAGATTTCCACATATTTTTGTATCAAGATGTAGTAGTAGAAAGCCAAAAACTGTCTTTCCCAAAAATTAAACACTCCTAAAAATATAACCTCTTCAATTCAAACTGAGAAAATTATTCACTACTTTTTAGGAAAAAATATCGATATTGTTAATACTATTTAGAAATATATATAGAGTTACTTATTTTCAAATTGATTACTTCCTTCCAGGGCCGTAGCGAAAAGAAATACCGGGGAGGGAGGAAATCCAAATTTTCCCAACCCCACCAGCAAAATTTCCCAACTTTCGAAAAAATGAAAGCCAAGGGATTAGTTACTACTATAATATATTAATTTTTTTACTTAGCTATCCAAAGATTGGCTGAATGCTTATGCCCGTTAGAGGATGCACAAACAACAATAAATTTTGGTAATTATAAAAATTATAATGGAAATTATTCTACTTGGGACCAAGGTCTTTGTTCTTCCACCATGTATAGAAATATTCAATACAAATGAAAGGAAACAATACCTACTTAAATAATATTGTGCTTATTGTTTTCTACTATTATTTTTTCTATCTTCACGGCCCGAAATTTCCCAACTTTTCCAAGTCGAAAAAATAGCGAAAAGTTGGGAATTTTGTAAAATTGTCACTTCAGAATTTGTGGACTGTTCAGGACTGTTCTCTTACTTGGGAGAAATTGAAGTTTCCAAACAACTCAGAATTTCAAAGTATGGGATCTCCAAGTTATGCATGTTGGGAAATCCCAAGCTTCTCCTGGTTCTTTCCCTTTTCTTATCACCTCTCCCTTTCTTTTCTCTCATTTTTATTTTTTTCATTTTTTTTCTATAATTTTTTTCTATCTTCTTCACGGCCCAAAATTTACCAACGTTTTCCCAAGTCGAAAAAGCAGGGGGGGGAGACCCCCCCCCCCTTTCTTTGGAAGATTCCCTCATCCTTTTTTTGTAGTGGAGTGGTAGAAAGCCAAATACTTTTTTCCCAAAAGTATACTTAATATATTACAAAAAAGACACGTTGAATATAAAATCCAAAAGTATAAAATCTCTAAACGTGTAAATAATGTAAAACATATAAAACGTAAAAATTTAAATGTGTAAACGTATAAAAATATGAATGTTACAACATAAAATACAAACTCGTCTTAAATTAAAAGTATTCAGAATGCTTGGTAGGGATGAAAAATATATATGAAAATTGAGACATTAATTCACTAGACTTTGTTCATGGTGATGTTATGTTTTCACTGTTATGTTACAGTTTAAAATAGGCCTATGAAAACGGCCCAAATTTAACAAAAAGTCGATTAGTTTTCCCTTCTAATTCCGAATTATAGTAATGAGTAATTCAATTAAACAGAGCCACCTTGTAGGTTTGCATATATGAAAGTGTACAAACCCCATCTCATTGCTGGAATGAAATTGTGGATTATAACATTACCGGCAATTGGACATGTTCCTGCATACGATGAAAATATCTCTTGGCGCCTCGAATCTAAACACAATGTCAATTTAATAATTGAAAATAATTCAATAAATCTAGTGTGGCTCTTTACCTTGATTGTTTCAATATTATTCCATAACTGAGGCGTATAATGACGTTTTTGGATATTAATGGTTGATGAAAAAATATAAATGAATTTCAGTTTTCAAAATATTGCTTCCATTACAGGAAAATACAAATGAAAACGTTTATTACAATGTATAAATGATGACAATACACAAACTCTCTGAAAAATAAAACAAAATATTAGATATTTGTAAGGTGTTAAATATGTTTAAAAAATCAATCAACGACGTTTGCATTCTAATACGAGTGAATTGAGATAATGTTTTTTTTTTATAATAAAACTGTTGAGTCATTTTTTTTTGTTTTTGGCTCTTTGTGATCATATCGCACACTCCATTTTGGCTGTCATGAATACTCGGGAATCAAATAGTAATATGAATATGGACTTTAAACTGAAATTAAAGTGGATCACGGATTTACTGTTTTTGGATTCTGGTTTCAGCCATTGAAAAGTATGAAAAAATATGAATCGGTGATTATTATGAAATGAACTGGTATTGGTTTCGTCTCCTAAATGGACTTATCTATCCTAATTTGGAGCTTATACAAGTTCCTGAGTTACTCGAAATATGAATGTTACTCGAAAAATTCTTCAAAATGAAAGATATTAACAAATCTAATCCTGAATTTATTTCTGCAGTATCTTCGAAACGTAACGCAACGTTAGTTTCATTATTGGTTTCTGGATTATACAACAAAATACAAGAGATATTCATTTAGAATTTTAATCTCCTATTCCCTCATCACCAACTTTCTATGTTGTTTTTCAAATCAGTGGGTTTTTCTAGCTTTGACGTCAAGTATCGATATCGTTTGTTTGATATCCTACACTTTCTGCAAATTTTGAACTCACAACAAATTCATACTCATTTTGGACTACTCTATCATACCCCAGAACAATGTTTTCTTCCCTTCTGAATTAAATATTCGGGTGATCACTTCAGACACTCACAAAGCTAGTGATAGTTACCCAAATAATCAATTCAATCGAGGAGTAAACAAATGTTCAACAGGGTAGTGAAGGAGACTGAAATAAGCCTAAAATTTTGGCTAGGTCAAAATTTACAAAAAATTATATATTTTGACTTGGTTCTGACAGCTTAACAGTAAAGCTAGCAAAACCACTGGTTGAAAAAAATAGCGTATGGAAAGTCAGCGATGAGGGGAGAGATGATCCTAAAATGAGACCAAAATTTCAAATATATTTTTATCTCTCCCACAGCTGAGACTATTTTCCATTGTATAAAGTAACCACCCAAAGGAGCAAAAAGTTATTCAATAGCTTAACGAAAGAGCCCCAAATAAACCTAAATTTCCTACAAAATCAAATTTTCCAAAAATTGAAGGGTTTCGATTTAGTTTTGTCATCCTTGACTGTAAAACCAGTAGCGATAAAAGGGATAATATAAGTCTGAAATAAACTTAAAATCATAACGTAGTCTGATTAACCAAAATGGTTTTTCTATGGTTGGATTCTGTCACCTTAATGTTAGGCTTCTTTGCATAATCTACATATCTTTGTGAAGAGTTCATTTCGAACTAGATTCCTTTCTTTTTTTATTTGGAATATTCCCACATTTTTTGTATATGAAGATGGGGAGGTAGAAGGCCAGAACGTTTCTTTCTCTGAAAGTTTATCTCTTCTTAAAATATAACCCCTTTCAATTCAAACATAAAATAATATCTCATTCAATAACAAAAATGGAAGAATTATTTTGAAGCTCTAATTGAGGTATGCATGATTTTAATAAGAAAATCTCAAAATCACTATATATTTATTGAATGTTTTAAAACGACTCAATTGGGATATTTCCAATTGACTGCATAGAGACGTTTCAATTCAATTCATTATATAGCTGATGGTCGAGTTAGCGCGAGTGGTCCGTTCTATTCATTTATTCATTCATTTGTTCTATATGAAATGATGGTTCGATAACTGCGGCCAGATGGACAATTTTCACAGTATATCGTTCAACCCTTGCTTCCATAGAACTTGACATGAGTATCATCAAATGTAATCGAACATTCGCGATTTAAATGAATGGGAAAGATATGAAAATCCCATATTTTGTTTTCTTGAGCATGACATCCCCTGCAGATTACCCTGGATCCGCTATTAGATTGTGTGGGAATCCTTCGATAATGTACTAAATTCGTCAATCTATCATGTTTCTGTGGAATGTTGTCTAATGTCGGGATATCAGTCACTTCCTATAAAATGAAAAACCTCAAGCTGGGATACTAGTCATTTCCTGTTTTTTGTTCATTATGTTGACCAACCTGAATAAAAAGTTTTATCAGCTGTCAGAACTGTCAGTGTCTATTGATTCTGCCAAAATTAAATGGACAAAATATACATATTGAATAAATAAATATTGTTGGTATTAGTATTATTGCACAACTTTTTTGTGATATGTGTTTAGTGACGACGCCTAGACGCAGGCTAATCAAATACTTTTTCGGCAAGTTGAGGAATATTCAATTACACTAAATTTCAATATGCCTAGTTCTCTTCTTTTTGGAATTAATAACGAAGGCCGTGTGCACACTCTCAAAACTACTGGCTCCATTTGGAGAGAACTACCATACGGCGGACAGGAGTTCAAGAAACTATCTACGGTGCCCCATTTCCTCTGGGCCCTGGGAGGCGATCACCAGATCTATGTTTACGTTTATGGACTTGATGTCCCTATCAGAGTAACGGAAGAAGCCTATGAGAATGAGGTAACAGCATTATCATATTAATAAATTAAGGAGAACGGTTTTAAGGGTGGTAACGAAGATATCGAGATAGGCTATGTTACGTGTGAACATACGTTTTTGGTGCTACAGTTATTTTCATTGCAGCATTGTATCCCAGCATTTTTTTCCAATTACAGAGATGGTTACCAATCGAGGGATTTTCATCTAGACTCTTACCTACCGATCGATGCCACTTTTCGAACGCGGATGGCACTGTAGATAGATCAATTGACAAAATCAGACTGCCTTCCATGGCCTGGCAGTGGGATGGCGATTGGCAGAAAGAATTGACTCTGAATGGTCAGCCTCTTGACCATAATGGCTGGACGTATGCTGTTGATTTTCCTAGTACCTATCATTCCCAAAAACAGTGGAAGAGCTGTGTACGAAGAAGGTTGTGGGTCAGATCTAGGAGATATAGTGCCATGAATTCTTGGTGTGCTATAGCTCCCTTGCATAAAGATGCTACTACGGTAAGGACATTTTTTCTAGTGGATTACAGTGAAGCTTTCATTTCATTACATTTTTTTCTACTTTCAGGAACCCTTTATTGATATCTGCATTGGTGGCCAAAATGTTGCAGGAGCTGATGCTGGTACTATGCTAGTTTGGGCAGTAACTTCACACAACCGAGTAAGTATTCCTTTTTTTAAGATATCGAACCGAAATTTGACACAATTGAGGAATCATAAAAATAATTTCTATTTCGCTCAAAAAGGTTATGTTTCGAACATGCGTCAGTACCAAATCCCCAGAGGGGGCCAGATGGAATCACATTCAAACGCCAACGAATTGCGAGGTCAATCAGATCAGTGTTGGCCCCACTGGGCTGTTGTGGGCATCTTTATTGGACGGACGGGCATTAGTTAGAATAGGAGTAACTCGTGATAATTTGCAAGGGGAAACTTGGGTGGAGGTCAGAAGCCCAAGTCCTGATCTGAAAATAACACAGATTTCTGTTGGAACGTGTGCCGTTTGGGCCATAACGCAAGATAAACAGATTTGGTTCAGGTGAGTTACACATTTGAATGTTTGAAAGGGAAATTTTTCCATTACAGGGGTCATATTTTTTCAACGTATTCAAAATACATACTTCAATGTATTTCCAGTTGAAGGTTTACAAAACCTCAACACATGTTTCGCATGTTTCTTGTCCAAAATTTTATATCGGACAAACCGGAAGAACTTTTTCCAAAAGAATAAAAGAACATAGGAGTAGTTTTTTCAATGGATAGACCAACTCAACAAACAAAATACTTTTTGAACAAATTCTGTGTTGTGCTTTTGTAGTAATTTAAATCTTTGTGACTATTACTACTCAACAAATGTCTACATGATTAATTCATTACATACAACATTTACCATTCTAGGAACAACTCATAAAACTGGAGAATAATGAATACAATTTTTACCTGAGATATCATTTTATATACATTTGAGATCTATTCCAATTACCAATTTTCTCATTGCAAACTGATTAAATAAAGAGGAACAATTCAAATATATTTGATAATTGAGAAATAATTCCGAATTTTCAACACTATTGATTTATAAACTTTCCAAAAGGTTGAGTTTTGAACCTTTCCCGTCCAAATGCAATACGTCATAATTGTGATCAAACTTGTGCCTCTCTGCCAAAAAATGGTTTGCAAATGTTGAATTGGTCAATTTTGGTTTATTATTATTCTATAGGAAAGGTGTCAAAGGAGAAGCAGTTAGCATGAGCGAAGATCTATCTACTGGTTGTGGTTGGGTTGAAATGGTTGGTAGAATGGTACAAGTATCTGTCGCAGCCAATGATCAAGTTTTTGCTGTGGGTGCTGATGATCGACTGATATATCACAGAACAGGAGTGTGTCTTGAGGATCTAACTGGAAAACGTTGGCGGGCTCTACGAGCTGCATTGCAAGTCAGCCGAGCTAGTAGCAATGCTAGTTTGAATAGAGACAAGTTCCATCAGAGCTTCAGTAATTTAGTGAGTATGTTATTGAGAATGAGTTATATAATGTTCACGACGTCTTATATCAATGAAGTTATAATTGTAATAACGAATTTGTCTCCCAGGAAACATACATGTTCATGGAAGGGAGAAACTGATTCAAACTATCACACAACGGAGGAACTCAACCTTAAGATAAAATAAATTGAATAGTTGAGAAAATGCCTATTACGAATGATTCAATAATTTTCAAAATCACAAGTCAAAATACAAAATGAAAAATTAAACAAATGCAATCAATACGCCTATCCAAAATTACTGAAATTGATTTTGAAATGTTTAGAATAACCAAATTTTTTTGACATTACACTCTAAACTCGTCCACAAGTATTTCTACATTCAAGGTTAGAGTTTTTGGTTTTGTTCCGTGAGTGTCGTTCAGTGCAGGTAGCCACTCTTTAGTGATGTTAATTATCTCTTTTTTTCAATCAAAATTTTAATTGTGTTTCTGAATTTTCATTGCCTCCCTATATAGTCTTGGGCAGTAAGCTCTAAATCCTACAAAGCATCTATCTTCAAACACGATAACTTAGGTACCCTTGTTAAGTGCATGTTCCACTACAGTTGACTTGTCAATATGCCCCATGCGATAATTTATCTTGTGTTCAGAGAGCAGGTACTAAGACTTTTCATGGTTCCCATATAGACTGATCCATAGACACAAGGAATCCAGTAAACCGCAGGTTTTGCTGAAGACCTGTGGGTCCCTGACTTTACACTTTCTCTGATGGTTTTTATTGGCCTGATTACCAGAATTTTCTCTTGGCCCATTTTTCACATAGGACAGGAACCCTTTTACTTTGAAAGACTCGTTTGGAGTTGCTTTGGCATTCTCTTTTTTGAGTTGTATTGCCTGCTTGCATTCTGCCTCGACTGCTAAAGTTTTTTTATACTCCCAAGTAGTTGTTTCTAAGTGAGAAATTGAATAGTGAGGATTAATTACTTTTTTCTCTTAGGTCCAGCCCCGACCCAGCAGTATGGTCGAGCAGTCAGCTATAAAGGAATGGCAAGACCATGCTCATTCAGCTCCCAGTGCTCCTGCTTCACTGCCTGTAGGAGACTTGGGCACTAAATATGAGATTCAACCAAAAAACCCAAAGGCTTGGAGTCCCGTACATTCGGTCGGTTCCATAGTTGGTATGGAAGTACATCCTGAAACGGACGAGAGTGTTTGGAGTGAATCCAGTAGAGATTCCTGTATTTTTGCAGATGACGAAGAACTTGGATGGGCGGAATATGAGGCCCCATGGTCCTGCGTAAGTATTCGTCAGTTCAAGTTAATAATAGTGATGAGTAGATGAACAATGTATGTTCTGGCTCACAAAACTGACAGAACAAGCCCTCTGAACAAAAGCATTAAAATGGAAGTATCATTACAGCGCCATCTTCACTTTTTTCTCAAACTTGAAGATCAGTCTAATCTTTTACGTCACTCTAAATTGTTTTGGATCGGTGACAACACAAGTCTGCTTATTGTGTGCACTTTTGTAAACGCTCTTTTATAGCTTAGACATAGTGCTACTTCAGCAATACGGTGCTATACAGTATTTGTAAAACATAGTTTCTCTAATGAATCTCTGTATAGAAACAACACAGTTACACAACTTCAATTTTATCTATATATTAATTTATTTAGTGTTACTTTGTTCAATTTCATTAGGAAGCTTGTTATAGTCCAAGAGTCCTCTGTGAAAAATAGAATTCATTGTTCTTGCAAGGTTAGTTTGTGGGACAACAAAGTCATCTCTTCCTCTTGTATCGTATTTGTGTATCTGATGGTTATATGTAATAAACTCATTGAAGTAATGTGGTGCTTTTCCAGTGAGGATTTTGAATATGAATATCATAGAAAAATATTGTAATCTATCTTTTACTGTCATCCAATTCAGAATATTAATCATTGATAATATAGAAGTATATTTATATTTTAATAACAAGCGGCATTCCTCTGTTTTATAATTTTTGTAGAGTAGAGATAGAGTTACCTTCTAATAATGATATCAAAGTAGCACAGTAATCAAAGTTTGGTAGGATTATTGTTTTATAAACAGTCAAATTAGATTGGAATGTTAATTGTCTACTAATTCTAGTAGAGAAAAACAATTTTTTAGAAATTTTATTACACATTAAACATCTTCATTAACTTTCTTTAACCGGCATAATTCTGTCTGGAAGTTTTGTATCGAATGAATAAGTGAAATTTTTTGAAAGAAAATTTAGAAATTACAGTATCTTTTATACTACAAGTATTTAAAAATTAACATTTATTGATTCCACAATAATAAGAAATAAACAAATAGTTATTAAGAAAAATATGAACGTTGAAAAGAAAAGCAATAATGAAAAAAGTCAATTGAGATTGTGAATCTAATGTACAGTGCAAATTCTGATTTTATGCATATGTGAAGGTGGAATCAGGTGCCTGCACAATTGACATCACTCAACTTCCGAATTGGTTCGGAGAATCTGGCTGCGCTAATACTTCCGAGGAGTTGGATCAACCTTGGAGGGAAAAGATATTAGAAGATTTGAAATCCCGGCTTCAGTCTTCAGATTCTTTTTCCAAGTACGAACCAGCTGTCGATACAACTTCATGGACACATTCTGGTGAAGCCAGAGTGAAGATGGGTTCGTCTGGCTTTGTGGATTGTATCTTGCAAATAGAATGGGTTCAAAACACTGGAGCTTTGACCATTTTGAATCCGGATGGAGCATCTGCCATGGTGAGTAAAGTAAAAATCAGTTTATTTTAGGTGGTTTCAGATAATATTAGCCTAGGACTGTTTTTCATTCAAATATTGGCCACGTTATTGAAATTTCAACTAGTTCGTTCTCAGATTTTGTGAAAATTTCTGTATTTTTGTGGACTATTTTTAGAAAAACTTCACCTATCAGGGAAACTATTTGGATTTGCATATTATTTATTCATTTGCAAACAGGAGAACTCGAATTACTTTTAAGAAATATGCAAGAAGAATGAAACATTCCCTTTTGTTTTTTTAATCTGTTTTTCCGTCACCCAAGTCAAAACTTGTGCGAGCTATGGATTAACAAAGTCTTATCTATTAACGTGCGATTTTCAGCACTGAAATCTGATTCAGTTGAAAGGATTTGCATACAGTCATGTGTAGTGATAAAATCAAAGACCTCTCAAAATTGGTTTTGATGAAATTAAAGGTTCGTTCCAACCTTGAGTCACAAACAGATTTCTAACTGTTTGTAAATCGTTGTCAACGCGCATGTCTGGTAAATATTGGTTTCTGATTAATTTGAAATTTCTGATTGGAACAGCTGATAGTTCAACTGAAGTTTGGCATGGAATTTCAACATAACCTTGAAAAATAAGTCTAATCAAGTGTATTTCTGGAGAGTAAAAGAAGTTTGCAGTATTTTATATCTCTTTTCTATTTACTAATCAACATGGAACTGGGAGGTCACCGCAATAACTAATTTGTGTAATTAAATATGTTCATATTTTAGGTTCACCTAAAGAATTCCTATTTTTCCTGCGCCAGCAAATACATAATTTATTTTATAACAATTTTTGCAGGTTATGTTGTTTACAAGTTGCATGAACATAAAACAGAAACAGTAATATGGAATACGCATGCGTCAGAATAATGGTTAGAAGATAATCCTCAAACCATTCTGATAGATTTCGAACAGGTTTGAATCTTGAATGGAACAAAAAACTGATAGTTTACTAATGGTTGGAAACTCGCGTTGGAACGCAATAACATTACTGCGCAGAATCCTGACTGTCAGAAACTGTTTCTGACGCTGGTTGGAACGAACCTTAAGTCATCAGTATAGAATGAATATTTGAAAAATTCATAAGGTTCATCTTTTCAGGCCTTTTTCATTGCGATATTATCAATTTATTATGTTAATTGCATTCCTCTATGACTAACAGAACATTCACGTCCATTTTCTAACATGTTTTTTTTGGAAAGCTTTCGGCTTTTTACTTCTTCTTCATCGGAATTAGTTGATGCTTGATATCTTGTTTTCCTAATCAAGAAAGAGTCAATGATTCAGAAAAATGAAGAATCACCTACCTCATAGATTCATTGTCAGATTTATAATAAATTCACGAACAAGAGGCTTTCCTGTTCAACGTATCAGCTGTTGAATTTTCAACGTCTTGAAATTCCTTTTGAAAAACTAGATCTTTCGAAGTATCTCGAAAAAAAATCAAGTGGAATGAGGTCCAGACATCTCACGGGCCACCAAACTACTCCTTGATTTACTATGTATTTGTTAGGAAAACGTCTATTCATAAAATATCAAGCTATTATTCTGTTGTGAGGTGATGCCATCATGCTGAAACAACATTTACCAAAGTAATGCTATTTGAGTATATTTCAAATAGTTCATAAAGGTAGTTCCCTCCAAATTATAGTCATTGATGAAAGAGCTGAATAATCGGTTCTGGTACTCTCCTGCCTACACATCGAGCCTCTGAAAGCTCTGAGATTCTTTGGCACCAAATATGTGTATCTTGCATCACTGAGTTCTATGTTGTGTTTCCTTGAGGTCTGGTTTTAAAATGTTATTGACCTAATAAACTAATAAATTTGCTCACAGGAAAAATAATATTTGTTTCATTATGTGACACAACTGACTGCTATCCTAAACCAATTGTTTTGCGCAACTGCAGTTGTTCGAATCACCCAACCAGTTATATTTTGAAATTAATACTTATTTTCAGAAACTCAAAGCAAATATCAAGTATAATAAACACACTAGCGCTCTAATCATTTGTAAAAAGCTTCTAGGCTTCATTGGGAATGGTGGACAGATGAATCAGTCGTTTGAGAAACTTGTCTTGTCCACAAAATCGATTTAAATTTTTTCAAATGTTTTGTGCAGTGTAATGCAGGTCCACTTACGCTATTGTTCCGGCTCAAGAAAGCATTGCGAAACTGGTGATATGTTCTTGTTATCGAAATTTGGCAGGTTTTGAAACACTTAAAATAAAATTGAATACGCCCTACTTCAAACACAAACTATACATTAGCAATGAAACCCCTCCACATACGTGAACTGTTCAAAAAATAAACAAAAACAGCAACGTAATCATGCCTCAGTCACCGTATTCACCAGATTTGGCCCCCTTTGACTTTTTCCTGTTCCCGAAATTGAAGAGATACATGAAAGGACGGCGTTTTGCGACGATTAAGGACATAAAACATGTGTATTATATCTGAGGGGGAATACTTTCAAGGGGACAAAAAGAAATTGATGAAAAATAAATGTTTTTTGAAAAAAATTAGAATTCACTTCATTTTTTGAACTGACCTCATATTGATATTCAAAATGTCATTTTCTTAAAGATAAAATAGGGTGGGTCCTAGTATAGATCTCTGCAGTACATGACATGCAGTGGGTGCCATATTTGAATAATTTGTTATTGTAACCATCTGATACCTTTCTGACTGATAAGATTCTACCGATTCTACTCGCAAACCTTTTTGAGTAGAATCGGTAAGAAATCACAGAATGCCGCAGCGGAAGCTGCATCACTGTGGACGAATGAATACAATTTTTGCAAAAGAAAAAAATGGCATTGCTTGCATTTTCATGTTTTTGGTAATAATTATAATAAACGGGCTTAATTCATTTACATACATCCCTACTTGATATTATAAATGTGAATGTAAAGTTTGTATGTTACGGTTTCACGCAACAACTACTCAACTAATCATCATAATATTTTGTGTAAAAAAAAAATTGTTTGTCAAAAAAATCTCAACTCAGCTACTTTGTTAGTTAGGTTAGGCTAGGTTAGGTTAGTTTAGGTCATGTTAGGTTGGGATATGTTTGGTTAGGTTTGTTTAGGTTAGGTCAGGTTAGGTTTGTTTAGGTTAGGTCAGGTTAGGTTAGGTAATAATTTTTAAAAATTGATAATTCCAGCCAAGCAATAAAATATAGTTCTCATATAGATTCATTTCTATTGTACTGACACTTATTTAATGGCATAAATGCGAGCGAAGCCGCGGGTAAAGGCTAGTTGTTTATAAAGAAGAAGTAGATACAAAAATCAATGATAAGGCGAAGTTCAGCCGAGGCTGTTGATTTGTTGGAATTTGATTAATTTTTTCCACAAAATTCAGTTTGCGGTCAAGTGGCTTTTTCAAACGACTGATTCAAATGTAGAGAGTTGAAAACATAATCTGATTTTTCATCTTTTTTTCAGTATTCCTTCAGTCTCAGCGACGTAACTTGTGTACAATTGTGTAGCGATCCTGGAAATCCTCGTTTAGCGGTACATATTCCAAGACATCAGACACCGGTTATTAAACTGCAATTTAGCAGTGATGCTCTGCTTGAGGAATGGCAGTCACATTTCTCAAGTACCTGTGGAAAAATTCATGAAACTTCAGGTAAATCTTTCGTCTAGAAATTCGACAGAACTGACCGATACTTGAGGAAAATCCATTATAAAGTATTCAAAATACTTCAATGTGAGATTTCCGCCTGATTGTTTACAAGACTGTGACAGGTGTTTCGGTATACAATGGCATTTTGATTCAGAGGGAGGAGGACAACTAGTATTCGTTTCCACACTGTATATGGATCCTCCTGCCAAAATTTATTTTTGCCATGTAAATTATTTCTATCAGAGCAGTATCACTTACAGATAATATTAATCCCTTAATGCTATGGTGTGTACAATAGTTTTCGTTAGTCCATGTTTAGCTAACACAAACAAATTGGATGCTTTGCCTACTCGAGAGGGTGCCACGTATAATGGGGAATGTTCCTCCTGACAAAAATCAAGTAGTTTTCATAAAAGAGTTCTAAAACAACGCATTATGAACTTATCATTTCAACCTTTCCCTTTAAAAAATTATTCAAATACTTAAAATAGAGGAATGAAATAATGCATTCAACATTTAAAGGGATTCGTTTCTATTTCACTATTTTGTAACATCGGTTATAGCTAATAAAGGACAATGAATCTGTTACCTGTATGAGACAAACAAAGATGACATATTTCAGAGGCGTGCTGTTCTGTTTACTTAAGTTCCGAGTTCCGAGACATTCTGTAACATATGACATTTTGTGCACCTAACGTATCTTCCTCTATATAAATAAATAACAAAACAACTGTTGTTTATGTGGCTTGTAGAGGTGGTATTGAACTATAATTTATATTTTGCCTTAATTGTTGATTTATAAAGAAAATTTTCCTTTTTCAAAGTAGAATATCTAGGTATGTATAAATTACGTAAAATGTAAAAATTAAAACTTAACATTTGAAACATCAATTTGAATACAAAGTTAATTTGAAAAACTCATGAATTAAACTCAACTTTATTTTGTTCAAACTTGCATTTGCTGTAATAACCCAAATTGAGGAACATTCCCCATTGTCCGTGTGAAAAACATGGTGTGCTCGGACGTTGTTTGGCCTCGGGACTTATTAATAGTTATAGTCAATCTAATTGAAGTTTCCACACGTTTAAAATGAATTGGAACATGTGTAGGTATAATAAGAATTCGTGGTATTAATATATTTTCACCTCGAAATGCTGGCTTCGACAACGTTTTTCAATAATTTTATAATTACTAATCGTGTGCCGTTGCACAGCCGTGGTGGATTCAAGTTACGGGGTGATCCAACCTTCAGTTGTAAATTATGCTGTGTTATGCCTGGCAAATCCAATGAGTTCAAAATTCTGTTGGATAATTTATAGCTTTGGTGGCATTGCAAACTGTATCTACGCTCGATGAATAGACAATAATAGTGACCGAATGCTGTTTACTGAATGAGAAGGGACACCGGTAGACGCTTGGCGGGAATAACTGATCTATGATCAGGGTTGAAAATGATAAAATTACTAAAATGTGTATTTAAAAATGAGGGTTGGTGGTAGAAGGGTAAAAATTTGTCTGAAAAATTGAAAATGTTTGAGGTGGAACACCCTTGTCACTTAGGAGTATGAGAGTATGAAAAATAGTTCGAAACCTATTCTCAGATCTATCGAATATACGTATGAAATTTCATGAAAATCGGTTGAGCCGTTTCCGAGGAGTATGGCAACTAACACTGTGACACGAGAATTTAATGTATTAGATTATTATTATATCAAACATTTCCTAGTCTATACTTGTAGGATTTTGAATTTCAACGAAAGTAATGAAGCAAAAATTAAAATAAGTTTATTATTATTATAGGTAAACCAAGTGATGAAAGTATATGGGCAGTGACAGGTCTTGGAGATGTATTCGTTTGGGATCCCACCAAATTAGAATCCAACCAACTGCGAGAAGATGACTTTTACGTTCAGAAATATGATCTTAGCAAAAAAGAATCTCCATTCAGGGTCGCGTTACATGTCGGTTGCATTCCAGGCACGGTGATAACCCTGACCGGTTATATTTCCGACAAGGCAGAGCGTATCGCTATAAACTTAGACGCTCCGGTAACTTACAAAGTCAAGCACAAATCCCATGCCGAGCTAGAAAATACCTGCCTGCACATAAATCCACGTTTCACCGAAGGAGTTGTAGTTAGGAATTCGATGAGTGAAGGAAAGTGGGGTGCAGAGGAAAAGGATGGTCGTAATCCTTTCGTACCCGGTCAAGAATTCCATCTGAAAATTGAGACTACTGAAGACGCCTACCTAATTTACGTGAACGATCAAAATTTCACGTCCTTCAGGCACCGGTTGCCACCACATTCAGTATCTGTTCTGAGCTACTGGGGAAAAATGCAGCCCCTCAAATTGGTTATCAAAAGCCCTGTGCTGATAATTGATATGTTGGACTTGTATTGGAGGCAACTTGGTGGCGGACATTTGAAAAAAGTGGAAAGTTGTCAGGTGGGGGTGACTTGGGGCATCGGTTATGATCACACAGCGTGGGTCTACACGGGCGGTTGGGGTGGAGGATTTTTAGGTACCTTGGACAGCCTCAATGTTCATCCGATGACTGATTCACAGGACTCCAGGGTTTATGAAAACCAGAGGTGGAATCCTGTTACTGGTTATACTTCAACAGGTGAGTTTTTTGTTTCGAAACCAAAGACTATTATTGTTCAATGAATCTCTAAACTACGCTGTTCACAGTCAAAGCATTAACGTATACAATACCCTGTTCAGTAGTAATGTTCGGCATTTGAGCACAAGAGTTACGTCGATGCCAAAACGTGGATAACCAATACAATACCCTTTTTTGGTAGGGACGGATTTGTAAGATCAGGCGCCAATATTTATGTTTGCCTTTTGAGCACAAGGGTTACTTGAATGCCAAAACGTGGATAACCAATACAATACCCTACTTGGGTAGGGATGGATCTGTAAGATCAGGGTTACTCAGATGCCAAAGCGGGAATAACCAATACAATACACTACTTGAGTAGGGACGGTTTTGTAAGATCAGGCGCCAATGTTAATGTTCAGCTTTTGAGTACAAGGGTTACTTGAATGCCAAAACGTGGATAACCAATACAATACCCTACTTGGGTAGGGATGAATCTGTAAGATCAGGGTTACTCAGATGCCAAAGCGTGGATAATCAATAGAATACATTATTTGGGAAGGGACGGTTTTGTAAGATCAGGCGCCAATTTTAATGTTCGGCTTTTGAGTGCAAGGGTTACTTGGATGCCAAAACGTGGATAACCAATACCTTACCTTATTTGGGTAGGGACGGATTTGTAACATCAGGCGCAAAAATTAATATTCAGTATTTGATCGTAAGGGTTACTTATATACCAATACAATACCCTACATGGGTAGGGATGGGTCTGTAAGATCAAGCGTGAATATTAATGTTCGGCATTTGAGTGCAAGGGTTACTCAGATGCCAAAACGTGGATAACCAATACAATACCCTACTTGGGTAGGGACGGTTTTGTAAGATCAAGCGCCAATATTAATGTAGGGCTTTTGAACACAAGGGTTACTTAGATACTAAAACATGAATAACCAATACAATACCATACTTAGGTAGAGATGGGTCTGTAAGATCAGGGTTACTTAGATGCCAAAACGTGAATAACCAATACCATAACCTATTTGGGAAGGAACGGGTCTGTGAGATCAGGTGCCAATATTACTGTTTGGCATTGGAGAGCATGGTTTACTTAGATGTCAAAACGTGGATCTCTCCATCCTTTTTTATATGTTGGAGTTAATGTTTTCGCTTCAATTTCCAGTCTGTTTCATTATGTCAATGAACCGAAACTTATTTTCATTCTTTACAGGTTTACCAACAGATAGATATATGTGGAGTGATGTTGTAAGATCAGGGTTACTCAGATACCAAAACGTGGATAACCAATACAATACCCTACTTGGGTAGGGATGGATCTGTAAGATCAGGGTTACTCAGATGCCAAAGCGTGGATAACCAATACAATATACTACTTGGGTAGGGACGGTTTTGTAAGATCAGGCGCCAATGTCAATGTTCGGCGCATTTGAGTGCAAGGGTTACTCAAATGCCAAAACATGGATAACCAATACAATACCTTATTTGAGTAGGGACGGGTTTGTAAGATCAGGCGCCAATATTAATGGACGGTTTTGAGTAAAGGGGTTACTTAGATGCCAAAACGTGAATAACCCTTTACAATACCATACTTGGGTAGGGATGGGTCTGTAAGATCAGGGTTACTTAGATGCCAAAACGTGGATAAACAATACTATACCCTATTTGGGTAGGTATGATTTTGTAAGATCAGGCGCCAATAATAATGTAGGGATTCTGAGCACAAGGGTAGTTACTTAGATGCCAAAACATGGACAGCCAATACAATACCATACTTGGGTAGGGATGGGTCTGTAAGATCAGGGTTACTTAAATGCCAACACGTGGATAAACAATACTATCCCCTATTTGGGTTGGGACGGGTTTGTAAGGTCAGGCGCGAATATCAATATTCGGCATTTGAGCTTAAGGATTACTTAGATACCAATACAATATCCTACATAGGTAGGAATGAGTCTGTAAGATCAAGCGTGAATAGTAATGTTCGGCATTAGAGTACAAGGGTTACTCAGATGCCAAAACGTGGATAACCAATATAATACCCTACTTGGGTAGGGACGGTTTTATAAGATCAGGCGCCAGTATTAATGTAGAGCTTTTGAGCACAAGGGTTACTTAGATGCCAAAACATGGCATGACATGACATGAAACCAATACAATAGCATACTTGGGTTGTGATGGGTCTGTAAGATCAGGGCTACTTAGATGCTAACACGTAAGGGTTACTTAGATACCAATACAATATCCTACATGGGTAGGGATGGGTCTGTAAGATCAAGCGTGAATAGTAATGTTCGGCATTTGAGTGCAAGGGTTACTCAGATGTCAAAACGTGGATAACCAATACAATACCCTACTTGGGTAGGGACGGTTTTGTAAGATCAGGCGCCAATATTAATGTAGGGCTTGTGAGCACATAGGATACTTAGATGCCAAAACATGGATAACCAATACAATACCATACTTGGGTAGGGATGGATCTGTAAGATCAGGGTTACTTAGATGCCAAAACGTGGATAACCAATACCATATCCTATTTGGGTAGGGACGGGTCTGTGAGATCAGGTGCCAATATTAATGTTCGGCGTTTGAGCGCATGGTTAACTTAGATGCCAAAACGTGGATCTCTCCATCATTTTCTATATGTTGGAGTTAATGTTTTCACTTCAATTTCCAGTCTGTTTCATTATGTCAATGAACCGAAACTTATTTTCATTCTTTACAGGTTTACCAACAGATAGATATATGTGGAGTGATGTTAAAGGAGTACAGAATGTATAACTCTTTGAACTCGTCACAAAATATAATATAAATTCAGTATTTAATATAACATATTAGTATAAAAACATATCAGTTCATTTCTCTAGAAATTCCTCCAACGAGTGAAATGCCCTGGATTCTAAATATTTGTACAGATCCTCAGATCTGAAAGATCAATATTGTTATCAAACAAACCTATAAAACTATTATAACAAAGAATACCTTTATATTTGTGTGAGTTTTACCCAATGGTTAATCTTGAGTATCGTTGATGTAGGTTATCACATTTTCTTGTAATGTACTTGTGTAAACTGCTATTTTTAAGAATGGAATGAAATGGAATACCTACCTTTGGAAAAATTGATTTACAAGATGTATTAGGTATCAATATTTAAGCTTATGATGGGATAGGATAGTACCTAATTTATCGCTGAACAGGAATGAGGATAAAATAAATATCATACCTAATACCAATTTGGTCATCCTGACCTGAAAGACAAAAAATATTTCCATTCAAAATGAATAAAGCCATAAAAGTCATTTGAAAAATCATGAGATACTCCATCTTCGCAATATTACTGCAAATATGGCTTTGAATCATTCAATACTTCAATTCTACTAAGATGGCGGAAAGTAAAGATGTGGTGTTAAATCTAGAATGTGAATATTGCAAAAAAAGTGTAATAAAAAATCCAATGTCATGCCAAAACTACTTTTTGAAAAAGCCAAATTCAAATATGAATTTTCATAAAATCCCCCAAAAAGTACTGACACCCAAATTGAGATTGATATTTTCTTTTTATAGGGTCATATATGGGAACACGTAAATACCGATCAACCCCTGAACAGTATCAGTTGTGGTCCGTTCAATAAAGTTTGGGCCACAGGTAAAAACGGCTGTGCATATTTCCGAGTGGGTATAACTGAAGAAAAATTGGAAGGCGAGAAATGGATTTGCGTTGAAGCTCCACATAAAGGACAATTGAAACAAATTTCTGTTAGTTCGATAGGAGTTTGGGCTGTGGATTATCGAGCAAGATTGCACGTCAGGAAGGAAATCACGTCGAGTGCTCCCGGGGGGACCCACTGGCAGACTCTTGAACCTGATCCACCTATTTTGAGTGAGTTTTGTAATGTATTCAAGAAACACTTTATTGTGAGATGTTTACTAAACAGTTTTACAAGGTGTTTTGCTATACAATTGCTGTGTTAGGCGTGTCTATGCTAATTGAAATCTACATATTTGATGAAGAGAAAGTATACAAACTCATTTAAATGAAAATTTGATGAATGAAGTAACCTGAGCTTATGTATCAGTTGATTAACTGATCCACATTTGAAAAACTATTCTTAAATCTATTCATTTCTAAAAGTTCTAAAAGATTGAGTTTCAAACTGTTCTCTTATAAATGTAACATGTCATAGTCGTGATTGAACTCATGTCCTTCTGTCAAAAGATGGTTTGCAAATGTGGAATTGATCTGTCCATCCAAGAAACTACTTCTGTGCTCTTTAATTCTTTGGGGAAATGTTCTCCGCGTTTGGCCAATATAAAGTTTTGGGCAGGAGCCACAAGATATACTCCTGATCTATGTGACAATAAAGTGTTTCTTGAATATGCTATGGATTTTCATCAAGTATTGGCCGATTTCATTGCACGAGTTTTATAATTTGAAAATTTTGTATGCAGGAATCGTTATGTAGTTTTAAACTGGTTAAAAAATGTGACGATTTGAGTCCCATTAATATTTATCAGGTCAGCGACGAGAGAAAACTTTTACATAAAAAACACGAGGGTAACAAAGACCAGGAGAAAAAACTGAAACAAACTTTTTGAAATATTCGCTTTCAAGATTTATACAATTTTTCACATATTCAAATCAACTCTCACAACAGATTTTCTACTCTCTCTCTGTCTATTCGATTACATCTAACAACGTATAACGTATACAGATTTTTCAGTTTGTGAGTTGAATTTTTTGAATATTTCTTCGCACCAATTAACAGGAGCTTTTTTAAGGAACAGTCCTCACAATACATCCCAAGCACGTCTTTTTGGACCATCTTGCTCATGGCATTGATGTTTTTACAGTTGTGACCGATTTTGGCTAAACTACGATTTATTTCTGAAGAAAGCATGACCACAAAAAACACAAACCGCTTTCAGGCATTGAATGATGAAGGAAGCAATTCTATACACTTGCAATTTTCTTGGCAATAACTGTCTATCTACTACGTTGTCATATCTAAACCGCCGACAATTCTATGGTAATAAATGGCGAATTTCATGAACATACTACATTTTTGCAGCGCCATCTAATGGTGGTTGGCAGAAACATAAAAAGTATCCCCTAGTGAAGAATATTTTGACTTGATTATAACTTAACCTCAAAGTGCTATTCAACTCAAGTTGATATGTCCATCTGATTTTCAGATTCGGCACCTAATACAACGGGTTTCAAACATGTTAGTGCTGGAAACAGTCAAGTTTGGGCAACTACAAATGGAGGAGTCATTGTCCGACGAGAAGGCATATGTCCAGCAAACCCTGCAGGATCTGGCTGGGATATTGGAATACCTGTAAGTGAAATTGAATTTCAATTTACTGATTTTGCTACCTTTGCCCTCAGTTATGAGTAATAACCATCACTTCTGCAGGCACCTGAGAAAAATTCAGTATATCTTACAAAAAACATGCGATAGAATTGCAACACTCTTATTGATAAGTATTTCATTATCCAAGTTGGCATCATCAGGTGATGGCGTATAGCAGTATAGTTCATCTCCTGCTGAGCCAAACTTTGTTGGTGACAAGAGACTTACAATTCGTGTGGTGGAAGTGTTCTTTCTGAGCCAAATGTTTTAGTTCTGCCTTGCTCTATAGGGTATGCACAGTTCAAATAAACTTAGTCTAATATGGGATGTTTTTATTAATTAAATACTTGAGTGATGGCCGCCCTTGTTATTCACAAGATCTCAAGTCTAACTCTCAATATTTCTTCGGTACTTCGAAGGCTCTCATTAGGGATTATGGGTGTGCTTTTTTGGAATACAAGATAAATTAGAGAGTTCTTGAGTATGAGCCGCGTTAAATCAACATTGTTCGAACAAAAGCTACAACTTTCAAGGATGTGTTACATACAGAACTACTACTGTTTGTTGGAGTGTATTTCTTTAATTTTTCATTTTAATTTCAGGGCAATTGGCAGCATGTGAGTGTGAGAGCCTTCAGCTAGACTATATTTGAATGGAGAATACAAACAATGTGATGAATTTTATCCAAAGCTAGTTCTAAGTCTGCTTTAACAATTTTAAAGAATTTTATTTATATGAGCTATAAGTTTTATTTAGCTTCAGTTTATTTCTATTTAAAAATATATAGCTTTTGCAAAACTTTTTCATACTTGTATACTTGTCTTATTTACTGTCTCTCATTCCTTTCTTCGTTTACCTTATGATATTCCACTCTTCACCTGAATATAAAACCATACAAAAATAATTGATTCATTAAATGTGTTTCATTTGTAATTATGGGAGCTGAACAACTTACGTAGTATTCCCTTCAAGTCACCAAGCAAACCATAATCTTAATGCTACAAAAAAATGACGTAGAGGTTGATCCTAGTCCAAATTTTTCATGAAGTTATTTCAAAGTAATGAAAGGTATATTGTTGACATACTTCTATCAAAACATGACAATTCAACACTATATTATATCTACCACATACCATCTGGAACTGAACCCTATAGAAAAAATATAGACACAAGTAAAAGCCTATAATATCTCAAACAAAAGTGAGGAAATCAGGACCAGGCAAAAACGGCCTTCGTCATCTCCGTCGAACCCCGAGCATACTTGTCGACTTGTCTTATGTTGGTAAAAGTGTACTGATTCAAATGGCGCTTATTTCGATTAAATTGAATAAGTATTTAGTGAAGTATTACAGTTTAAAATAGTGTGATTGATTACTTGACCCTATTTAATAAGTATTACCAAGATGGGGATTAATTTTGCTCAAAATTGGGAGACATTGTTTTCATTCAGGTACCTGCTTATGAAACTCCCTTGGAAACTTATAAGCATAAAAAAACAACAACAATTAATAATTTATATATTTTGTTCATATAAACATTCCAAAAAACCCAACACATATAAACAATAAACTGTTAACTGTTACAAAAAAAACTATTATTATTTGTACAAATATGGGATGCTGTGAGAGTTGAGGTAAAATAAATAAAAACATTCAAGGGGTAAAACAATCATTAAACTTGAGTAAAGAGGTGCTATTTTCTGTACACAACGGTGATATTGTACTAATTTACACTGGTACATGAGGCTTGTTAAGACTAGTATATTTTCTTCTAACAGACACATTCCGTCAGTTCTGAAACAAAAAAAAAACATTAATGGATACTGTCAAAGTTCAAAGAGAGATAAAAAAGAGTTTAATGGACAGTTAGGATTGATGTCTAATGCTGACAATCATTGTCAGCCCAGCAGTGTGTACTTGCAATCATTACTTATTTATTTATTTAAAATCTGTTTTTCCGTTAATCAGCTGTCCTAATTCACTAGGTCCCCTAGCTCATATAAAATTATTTATTTATTTATACAAACTCTACAGGCTATGGCCCAGTTACAGAATAGGAAAGGTGAATATCACAAATAGATTTGTACACACACCAAAATGACAAAAAATTGAAAAAAAATATTCAACAGTTTGATAACTAGCGAGCTTTTGGAAGAATATATTACAGTCATTTTGTATAATATTATAGGTATTGCACATAGCATTTAATGGAGCATTTTGATAATAATTTGTTCTTGCCGATTCAATATACGATGTAATTTCATAAGCAGGTACGTTGAAATTGATTTTTGATGAGGACAAGGATCATCCCCATCACTATGTATTATTTTGTACAAATATATTAGGTATGCAAATACTTTTCTTTTCTCGAAGGTTTGTATGTTGTACTTTTCAAGTAGCACTACTTAGGGAATATCAAGGTCATAGTTATCCGTTTCTTCGAAGTGAAGATATCTCAAGAACTTGTTCTGAACTCTTTTAATGCTATACTTATGACAGATATTGAGGACACTATATAATGGAGGCATATTCCAAAATCCTTCTAATAAGAGTGATATAAGAATGAATTTCACTAGTTCGGACTTCCATTGTCTACTATATAAAATGATTTGAAATCCCTGAAACAATTAAAAAGAAGAATTGAAAATGAATAGCTGAAAATAACAATTATATTAACCAAAATAAACCTGAAATGAAATAATAGTGAAATAAAATACAAGTAAAAATAGAATAATTGAATAAATAAAAATAAAGGAATGAAAAAAGAAAATAAAAATAAAAAGTGGAGAGATTCCAAGTCACGTTAGTTCACGACGTTTCGATTGTTAGTATCTACAATCGTCTTCGGGTGATGACTGGACTGATTCCTCCGAGAGATGACTATTTATAGGTCGTTCGAGTACTTTCACTTATTCCCGTTTTCCATTTTCCGCTTCACTGGTTCCGTGGGAGATTACCGTTTTTGCGGGAAATGGCCATTTTTCGCTTGATGATGGGTTTCCATATGTTGCGTATTTCTACGCTGGCTTGGCTGAATACGTTGTTGGACAACATGTATGCGGCTTCCTTGAATTTTCTCCTTAACCAATGTTCCTCTCTGTGCAAGATCTCAGCTTGGGACCACTCGATGTTGTGTTGATGGGTCCAAACATGGTCTGCTATTCCTGATTTGCTGGTTTCCCCTTGCTGTGTGTGTTTCTTGTGCTTGGCAATGTTCGCATTGCCAGCAATGCGAGTCTGAATAACTAAACTATCCATTATTTTTAATAAATTTGGTGGGGTGGACGTATCATCATAATTTTTAGTATAGATATTCAGTTACAACATTTATACTGAAAAAAGATTTCATCAAAAAAATCTACATGATTATTACCTGCATTGACGAGATCTTGGGGTTACGTTCCAGCTTCAATATATGCTGTTGGGCATGTGCCAACTGCCTCGTGGCGCTAGCAAGTTGACCTTCAAGAGCGGAAGCTTCCAGAGACTTGACGGAAAGTTTTTCAGACAAATCAAAGATGTCGTCCCTTTTTTGCCTTATAAACTCCTGTTTGAACTTGGCAACTTCTCGCTGTACCTCCGCTTCGTGAGCCTTCTTCATCACGTCCAAAGCAGCCAGAGTGGCTTGCGTTTCCTCCGCCAAGGCTTGTTCTTTGTCCTGCTTGAGCATCTCGACTTCTTGGTTGTGTTCTTCTCGCAAATCTTGAATGGTCCTTCGGTGCCACTGTTCCATCGATTGGAGGACTCTTTCGCACAATTGTTGCAACTGCTCGATGTCGGCTTCGTTGTGATGTTCTTTGCACGAAGCTAGGGCTCGTCGGTACGCCGCCCTCAAGTTTTCCACCTGAGACAGGTATTCCGTTCCCAAGTAAACTGGTCGGTTCTCTTCGGAAGAGTGATACCTTCAAGAAAATACATTATCGCATGAAAACTCGCATCAGATGAGGCAATTTGATTTGAAATACATATTGATTTAGCTGCACATTTTTGTAAACAGCTTATTGTGAAATTAATTGCATTCTTTCTTTTTTTGGAAGTTTCACACACACCTTTTTGGTATCAAGATGAAGAAGTAGAAGGCCAAAACCTTTCCCAAAAACTAATCTGTCCTAAAAATATACATAAGAAGGGTGGAAGAGTCGTGTGATTCCAATCTTTTATCATTCAACATCGACAAAACAAATGTGGTCACGTTTAGATGTAACATAGGGGAAGTACTCTTGGAAAATGTTAAAATTGAAAATTTGGAAAAAAACAAATTTTTAGGGCTCTTCATTGATGAGAATCCAAAATTTGATTCCCATGTTGACTACTTATGTAAAAGACTAGCAGCAGGATTTCATGCAGTGAGAGTCGTTGCAAGAGAGTTAGACACTACTATCACAAGATCAGTTTATTTTGCACAAATTGAGTCCTATTTACGTTATGGAATTTGTTTCTGGAGAAATTGTACACAATTTCGTTTCAATATGGTATTCCCTCTACAAAAAAGTTCCATCAGATATTTATGCAAGGCTAGCTACAGGGATTCATGCTCCCCATTATTTGTGAAGCAAAAAATTCTGACCTTAGTTTGTCTTTTTATTTTGGAAACAGTGTGTCTTATCCACAAAAAATATAAAAATACCACCTCAACTTATACTATACGTCTGTCTTGCTTCATTTCCCTTCCAACACCTACTCTAGCCCTTACACAAAATTCTATTATTTTCGATAGCAAGAAGTAATTTAATCACCTTCCCATTAATTTATGGCGAATATATAATGAAAAGAAATTCAGAAAGAAAGTAAAAGAATTCCTTGTTGGGAGGCCCTATTATAGACGAATTCTACTAAAGCTCTAACGAGTAATTGGCATGTAGCTTTGTGTAAACAAGTTATTGAAATCAACACAAAATGGCTATGAATGTTCATTACGTAGCATTATATATTTACATTTACTCAATATTCATATATTCATGTACTTATATTTGTATCTGTTCAGCTGGGCTTAATATTGTTCTGTCCATATACTCTGCTCTTGTCTCTAAGTTAATATTTGTTAATTGTCCCATATTCACGTTTTACTTTTCTAGACTTTGCCAATAAGATGTTCAGATCTTGGGTAATAAAGCATATTTTGATTTGATTTGATTTACCCGTTTGAATTCAATCACTTTATATTGTAACAAAGAATAAGTGATACCATAAGAACAGGGGTTCCCCAAGGAACCGTTCTTGGTCCAATACTTTTTTAAGCCTACATAAATTCTCTACTCTTTTTGAAAGTAAAAGCAGAATTATATCATACGCTGATAATACGGTTATTATTTTAAACGAAAATACATGGTCTGAAACCAAAAATTCTATCCAGTCAAGCATGGAAAAAATTCAGAAATGGTTGAATATGTATCATCTTTCATTACACGTTACTAAAACCGACTATCTTGCTTTCTATATAACATCAGCAAACGGACCTAATTTCTCTAATATTAAAGTTCCAGATATGAGGGAGGAAATCAAAGAAATAAATGAGGTCAAGTATTAGGGCATAATTATTGACAATAATTCAAAATGGAACAATCATGTTGATTATCTGACAAAAAAAAGTAAGGAAGCTAATACATAAATTTTACCAGCTAAAGTTTCTATCGAAAAATATACTCATAATAATTTACAAATCTCTAGGTGGGTCACTTTTTCGTTATGGTATCCTTGCGAAAACTGAACGTAAAACAGAACTATATTCTGAAAACAATCTTGAAAAAATTTCATATCACACTAATCTTGTATATTCAGAAGATCTTAGTAATATTCGAACATTATACTTCCATAGTTTATGTATGTATGCATTCAAAATCAAAACATTCCATAATTATGTTCCCACAGTTTATATTACTAGAAGTACCACAAACGAGTTGCTATCCACTCCAAAATTCAATAAAAATAATTGTCATCGCTTTTCAACTTACACACTACCTAAAAAGTTTGCAATATTCTACCACTAAGGAAAAAACGTATTAAAAATTATAAAACCTTCTCTATAGAATGAAAAAAAAAACTTCTAAAATTACTTTGAATTTATCAAAATATAAGAACACCAATAGATACACTGATAGTTTCCTAACTATCTGTACACAATGTAATTAGTATTACTTTGTAGCATAACAAAAGTGTTAAGTCACTTAGATGTTATTTCATACACAATCTTTACTTTATGTAATGCAATTACTATCTTTATATCTGTCTCTTTGTTGGTGTTTTATTCTTATTATCTGTATTTTTGTGTATCAATTAAATAAATAAATAAATAAAATGAATATACTCTTATTATCTTTCGTAAAATATAAAACACCAAAATGCATGTGAATCTTTGAAGAATGTTACCTTTTATCAACTTTCAGTAACGATCTTAATGTCAAATATGGCAAAGCCACTTGGAATAAATATAGTTTAAAAAACTAAAAAACACGCTTTCAAAGAACATCAAACTAAAAAGTTGAAAATATTTTTTTTAAATAAGCTTAAAACAGTAACGAACGAAACATACTTGTATTATTGTGAAAAAAGCCACAGGCGCTAGATATACAAAAAATATGGCACAAAGCGCCCACGCTTTTTTCACATTAATACTACTATTTTTCGTTCGTTATTGTTTTAAGCTTATTTAAAAAAATTATTTTTAACTTTTCAGTTCGATGTTCTTCAAAAGCGTGTTTTTTAGTTTTTTAAACTATATTTATTTTTCATTTTTTAGTTTCGTATGCCATAAAAGCGTGTTTTAGTCTTTTTAAACTATATTTATTTTATCTAAACTTTGATATCAATCAGCCGTATATTGTTTAGAAAAATGACCGTTGATATTTTCTGATTCCGGAGAGGGAGCCTGAAAATCAGCTACAAAGCCCAAGGCAGCAGGCGCGCAAAGGAGGGTTACAAATAAGGCAACAGGCGACGTGTTGATAAAAAAAAATAGTTTTTTCAAATGAAGAAATACATGTAAAGTGAGTTCGAACTATATCAAGGTTACGTACAGCGCCATCTGCCCGCGAATAGATCAAGCAATAATGTCAATATATCAAGGAGGTTATGTACAGCGCCATCTGCCCGCGAATAGATCAAGCACTAATGTCGATAAATCAGTCAAGTACAGATCCCGAACTTGAGAGTTACAAACAAACATATATACATACATACATACAGACGAAGCTAATGATAGCATGTTAATTAAAATAACGTTAAAAATAACTGCTTCGATGTTTCAAGATATTGGATAAGCAACAATCAACTTTACTATTCACAGGGGCAAAAAGTTCTTATCCATTAAAAATAACTGTCAAGAGATACTTAAAAATATCTGATAAAGAAAGAAAAAGTTTCAGTTTCAGTTGATACGTCAAGAAGAGTACTTGGACCACGCCACTGAAGATGACTGTCGCAATTGTAGTTGAAACGTTTGGAGGTTATAACCAAAGAAGACCACGGCAAAAACCCGGAAACCCACCAAAACATTGACGCCAGCCGCGAAAGCCTACATTCCTATACCAAGAAACAAAGTTTATTTTCTGAGAGCTCAAATGTCACAGACGAGACCACAACATCGTTAATTTTAACTACAGGCATACCAAATCGATAAGGAAATAAATGAAACCATCTTCTAGTACAGTCAGCCAGGAGAGAAAATATTAAAATAGCCATTGAAGCGACACCTAGGTATGAGTAGTAGGCAACCTACCTGTTGAGTGAGTTTGACTTTTCCAAAGTGACTCGGATCTCGTCCAAGTCATTCCTCAGCTTGATACAAGTCTGGCAAACGTCACTCCAACTCCTGAGAGCGACATCCGAGTCTGCGACGGGCACCGCGAAATACTTCTGCACCTCCAGCACTTTGGACGCCAACTCGTTCAAATACCCCAAGACCTCTTCCAGTTCTGGCTGACCGAGCAAAGCGAAACATTGCTGACCAAACTTGTCGACCATACAACTGAACTCTGCTTCTAAACTTTGGTTTATTTGTATCAGAGACTGATCCTCAATGAGGGACCAGTACTTCTCGTTTTCTAACCAGCTACTAAAACTACTTTTATCTTCATTGTACTCATCAGGGGTTACGTATTGACCGCTCAGAACGGCGATCCTCGCGTCGATCAGAGCTTTGTGTGCCACGATCTCTGCGTATTCGTGCAACAAGCTAGTTGGCGAACGATTATTCCTATCCAATTCCAACCGACACGTCCAGTTTTCTTTGAGCAGTTTGTTCAGGCAGTTTTGGTAAAGCTCTGTTAGTTCGGTGATGCTGGCGTTGACATCTTTATATAGGCAGTCTCCCACGGAATCTGACCACAGTTCCAGGGCGGCTCGTTCCGAAGCAAAAAAGCTGAAGAAAAATGCGTGATCAGCATTAACGTTGGTATGGAAGACTTGAGCGGCCCTCAGTAAAACGTGATTGATTTCTGAACGGATTAGCTCGGCGTTGACGAACTCTCTGGCAGTTTTACTGAATTCATTGACAGTCTCGTCGGTCAACGAACCCAATCTGCACGTATTATCGGAAGCTAGGTTCAGCGCCTCTGAAGCCAGAGTTTCCGCTAGTTGTGGTAACTTTGCCGTTTTGTAATTGACCAGTAGATTATCTAAACTTTGTTTTTCTTCGCAGAGCACTTTCAATGAAGGCCCTTTCGCGGTTACGAAGTTCTTGCATGACCTGAATCCCTGGGAAGCCGACAGAAGACATTTCGCCAATATTTTAGACAAATACTCCGCGCTCGTCCGACACGGGAGAGGTTTTTCGTTCGCTCCGTTGATTTTGTTTTGTAACGCTATTATCAGGTAAGCAGTCTCTCTCAGTTCTTTACCGATTAACCTTTCGCACACGGCTTCTCCAGTTACAGGAGACAGTAAAGCTTCCTGGATCCGGCTGACTAAAATATTCTCGTAGGCTACTTTTTCCGCCAGCATCTGCAAACGAGCGGAGCTATCCCACGTTTTGTTTTCTCGTAACAGTCTTTTCTTCTCCGCTAAACTCGTGAGTTTTTCCAGCAACAGCATCTGCAACTGTTTAACCACTGCACCTGCCGAACTGTTGATGACTTCTATTTCGGCGGCGGGGACTGAACAGTCTCTCCTATCCAGAATATCCAGGAGTTCATTCAACGAATTCTCGAGCGAAATAAGTCTATCTAGACTAGGCGATGACGCTCTCTTTCTGTTATTAGTTTTCAGTATTCCGACACTTTGCAAACATTCATTGACTTTAATTTTAGCAGTAGACAATAAATATTCGACATCAACGTTATTTCTACTTTCAGATGGACAATCTTCCTTCAATTTGGTTAAATCCGATAAGCTTCCGTGTAAAGTATTCAAAGATTCATTGGATCCATTTACGTTGGTGACTTTCGATTCCAAAGAACTCAATCGCATCAACAGCTTCATTGGTTCTGAGGTAGTGGCGCTGTCTAAACTTTTACGCCTCAAACGTCTGAGAGATTTGTCATCGATTGGAGAACCCCTTTCACTGCTTCGATCCCTTTTATACCGTCGCTTATTTTTGCCTCTTTCAAGAGCTATTATTTTGGCTTCCAATTCTGTGACTTTATCCTCGACTTCTTTATTTATGGAGACACTCTCACGACCTATGAAAAATAAAACATCCGTTAGTCAAATTCATCAAGACCGATGCTTCAGTTACTGAAGTATACACATGAATTATCGTTTGTATCTGCATTGGCTACAATTCCAAACAAAGTGAAAAATATATAATATTCTTGTTCGAAGATACATTATAAATCTCCAACACTACTCAAATAGACCCATGTTGACTTCACACAAAAGCACAATCAATACCTTCTAAGATTTTAGAATCACATTTTAATTTTCATGAAAACATCTCATTGAATCCTCGTTATAAAAATTCAATCGCCATCTGCGATATGGTATTCTTGACTGACACACAACTTGGCAAATCTAGCTATGTCTCTGAAAGTTGGATGCGCAGTACATCAGCCGCCAGAGTGAGGCGAGAGCTCGTTAACATCGGGGAACTTGTGTAGCGAACATCGAGGAACTCGTGTGGAGAACATCGAGGAACTCATGTAGCGAACATCGAGGAACTCGTGTAGTGAATAATCGAGTAAATCGTGTTTAGAACATCGTGTGTGTGAACGGCGAGCTATTTTTTGTCTTTGAAAATGAAAATTTCAACGATGTCATGCAATATTGCGGCGACTTTTTTGAACAGTTTCATGTCTAATGAACCCAAGATATACTTCATCTTGGACGATCTGATCGGAACAGGAATATGGGGATGACGTTTCAGAGCATGCAGATAATAATCTGTACAAAATCGAAACAATTCCTGGTGAAAACAATGGATCAACAGTAGGAAAAAAAATCATATTATAATCTTTAGGCAAACAATCTTCGAAAATAGTATAAGAATTGAATCTATGTATATAGTGGTATGTTATTATCAATATTGCAAGCAATTTTGTAGATTATCTACCTGGTGGCTGTACCAAAAGTTGGCACATAACAGGTTACAGATAGCAGAGTGACAGGTGACTGATGGCATAGTGACAGGTGACTTATGACAGTGTCTTGAAGTGATACCAAACTCTGTACATTATCAGTTGGAGACTGTAGAATTTGCAAAATTTGTCTCCAAAAGGAAACAACTGGTTTTTGAAACTGAAACTAGTATTCTCTACCCATTATACAAAAAATGTATTGAGAAATAGTTATTAATAATTATTTCTCGATGTACCTGATGCTCAATACCTTCTTTAGAGCCAAAAATAACAAATTATTGTGTGGAATTGTATTACTCCCTAAATCAAACTCTGAGTTTAGTGCAAATTCTCAAATAACAAAAAATTTATTGACATGTAAAATTCAAAGTGAAACATACGAATCTGAAAATCTTTTTTGATTTTCATGAGAATTTGGAACAATATTGACACATATATAACAACATTTTTTGCATAGTGTATATCTATATCAATTCTTCTACTCTGAATTCATGATACAGTTTTTCCAAGTAGAATACTCGTCTTACAATTCAAATTATGAGCATCACTAAAGAGAACAGTAGAACAGTACCCGTCTTACCTTTGAGCGACAAGGATCTCCTTTTATCTTTTGATTCGGTCTTGGCTTTGGTTTTGAGTTGTTTCTCAGTAGCAGTCAACTTCGCAGTGAGGTGGTCCAATCTTTGTACTAGTAACTTAATCTCGCTCTCGCTCTCTTTTTTCAATATACTTATGGTATTGATCAAGTTATGATTAGCTAACTCGAAAATATCACAGTTCTGTTCGGATTCTCTTAATGCCCGTCTCACTGCTCTGATCTCGACTATCGCTCTCTCGAAGCGAGATTTGAGGTCCAGACAGTATTCCTTGAGTTCATTTTGATCCATTTCGTCAATATCCAAATCCAAGTCAATGTTGATCAATTCGGATACCGAATCAGCATTGAACATTTTATTTTTGAAGCAAAATTTTCCTTCCAACTCTTGAATTTTCTTGAAAAGTTTGTCATTTTCATTTCTTTCTTTCTGCAGCCTGTCATTGGAGCCATCTAATTCTTCTTGTAAGTTCATCAGCATGCGCTGTTTAGTATGAAGGTCTTTGGATAAAATGTTACATTTCTCTTCGTATATTCGAGAAGATTCTTCGAATTCAGACAGTCTTCTTTGTAACGCTCTTTGTTCTTTCAAGAAATTTATTTCGATTTGTGAGTTTCTTTGGTTTAATTCTTTTTCGGTTTTTTCAAAATTCAATAACATCTCCTTGGCTCGTTGCTCTCTGATCGTTGCATCAGATTGAAATTTTTTCAACCTATAATAATAAAATTGTTAGATTAATTGTAGGGTATTTAGGACCTATAATGATAGAGCAAGAGGTCACAAAATTGTACATACGACTATTTGAAAACACATAGAGATGAGATTCAGATCAAGAAATTAGTTTACGAAGTTTTAAAATGCGCACAACACATTTATATGTAATTTCAAGGGCAGCGCGTGCCTAGACAAGCGAGAGAGTGTTAGTTAGGTACCTATTCAGTTCTAGTAAACTCAATCATAGACAGTAACGCCATCTCTTGGCAACAAGCGGAAATACCCTTTTGTTTCTGTTGAGAACAATATCATCTTCCACGCGCTTCGAGTCTTTGACTAGAACCTTCCTAATTCGATATAAAATAAGTGCGTCGGCGCAACGTGAGTCTGTTGAGTCGAGTGATCGAAGCGATACGGTCGGAGAAGGATTCTAGTTGTACTGCGAAGTAGTGATTGTGAAGTCTCGTGACTGTGAAGGTATTGTGCATTTGTTTGTGTTGTGCGCGTGCGATAATAATAATAATAATAATATTTATCCATCCTTAAAGACGTTGACAAACGTATAAGATAGGTCAGTATTAAGCACATGAAAATCACATCAAACGATAAAATTGTAGATCCGTAGATAAAAATAATACAATAAAAATGTATACAATAAAAGACAGAATTACAAAAATTAAAACAATTGTAGTTATATAAATTGAATATGTCATGCCAAAGCCGCATGAACCCATTCAGTCGAGATGGTCCGAGAGAAGTTCACCAATACTATAGTAGGCCTTAGAAAGAAGCAATGTTTTAACTGCTTTTTTAAATGCTACAGTGTTCATCTGTTTGAAATGATCTGGTAACCGATCAAATATATCCCATATATTTGAGAGAATGTTCGAATTTTATAGTTTTATGTTTAGGAATGCTCAACTCCTCTGCATATCGAGTTGGGTAGCTATGATAGAATGAGTTCTTAGTACAGTCTGTTATACATTCGCGAACATATAAAAGTATTTTAAAGATGTAGATGCAGGGAAAGGTTAAAATTTGATGACTAATGAAAAATGTCTTGCATGATTTCCTCCAAGGGATGCCTAGTAATTTCCTAATAACTTTTTTTTGAGCAATGAAAACCCTATCTTTGTCAACACTGTTTCGCCGTAGGATCACATTATAACTTAGATGGCTATAGATTAGACTGTAATATACATCTAAAATGGCGCGTAAAGGCATACAATTCTTAATTCTTGAGATTACATAATACCATTGATTGGTTTTTTTACATACAACTGTGATATGGTCAGACCACTTCAAACAGTTGTCTACATGAACGCCAAGGAATTTTGTACAGCTTGTGCATACCAGTGCCATTCCATTGATTAGTAAGGCAAGCGATTGCTTTTTCAGATCGTTTTTTAAATTATAATAGATATATTTTGTTTTGGTCAAGTTTACAATCAGATTGTTTCATTTTACACCAATTTAAGAACAGTGATATCAATTCCTCTGTTTTTGATTTTAATTCTGATTCCAATTTTAATTTTAATTTGTTGTGTATACTTCCATAATTGTTACAATTTTGGCATGCGTATGTTCTGTTAGAGCGACCATATTTTTAAATACCGAAAATATCATATAAAGAGGAAAGGTGCATAACTATTGGAAAAATATTCCATTGATTGTAATGCTCATAAAGTGGACCAAAATCATCCCCCTGCGAACATGTCATTGATATAAAATATAATTACCTGGCAATTTCCTCTTCCAAAAACCGCACATCGTCTTCAGCCTTATAAAGTTTTTTCTGAAGGTCGTTGATTTCTTCTTCTTGCTTGTTGTTCAGCAACATATGAATCTGTACATTGTCAGGGTCTTTGGCACAATCTAATTCATCTGTGGACGTACTGTCGAGAGTGGACTGTCTAGATTGATTCCTTGGCAGTCGCGGTCTCAATCTTGCTCTCTCTTTAACTTTCGATAGCGATAATTTCGTAAGAGGTGGCGAAGGCGGCAACTCGCTCCAATCTTCTGATCCTCTTCGGCCTGAACCAAAATAAATTTAAATTATAACATCAAAATGTGGTAGAAACGCTCATTAATACAATTAAAGAATCAGCGGTTTGGGATTTTTTGGCCATCCAACGATGACCTTGGATTTGACCTTGTCCATAACCTTGCCTACTACTTGAAGGTCAATGTCAGTTTTTGGAAAGTAAGAAAGAAAAGTATGTCCGAGTATGACCTTGAGTTGAAGATCATTTGAAGGTTGAATATACTGAATAGAAAGAAATAGAGATTGAATGAGATGTTCAAATTTCTCTCTTGATTACTCGAGGGTCCTTAGATTTGATATTGATGAGTGTTTGAAGATCAAACATTCAAGGTACCTGGGGCTTTACTGGTTATCCAATGGTGGCCTTCAATTTGACCGTGACCTTGCCAAGTATCTTCAGTTATAAAAACTTTCTTGAACGAAACCCATATTTTCGATCCTAAAAACAGTATTAGCGAAAAATCGGGTATGGTCCTAATCAGCTCCTGTTCTGCCTATCCCTTAGCTTTTTGAGTTTACAGTGTAGATAGCTATGTCTACTGTCTAGGTCCACACTCAACCTTGTCTTAAGTCAACATCATACTTCTTGGTTGATGTTACGAACTTAGTGTGGATGATGATCCCTCTTCCAAGCAAAAGTGGATCAATATTCTTACAAACAGCAAAGTTGCACTTGGGGCATTTATAAATCCAAAAGAGATATAGAGACTGGCTTGGAAGTGCTGTGAAGAAGTAAAGAAACTAACAGACCAGAAATCAGCTCAATATATTGGACCAGAACCAGTTGTGGGAGTACCAAAAATTCCGACAAGGGACCAGATCACAACAGGCAGAGAGATTTGGAAGGAATGAACAAGACAAAAGGCTCCCAAGCATCAAAAAAACAAATAAGCTGTGATTTACTGAACCAGAGTGTGACCAGATCACAACAAGGAGTATTTCATTGTTTTCTGGAGACTTGGAAAGAATGAGCAGGCTCCCAAGTATCAAAAAACAAACAAGCTATGGTTTACTGAATCAGAATGTATCAGTTTTCACTTGAAGTGAATACAGGTCAATTAATTGAAAAAAAAATGCAAAAAAGCCATACTAACCTCCTTCAGACGCTGTTCTATACTCCTCGTCACTGGAAGCCAAAAGAGAACGAGGAGTAGAAGGAGAAATAGGGCTATCGGTAGCAGCTGGACTAACTTGAGTCGCCTTTTTCAAAGCTTGCAACCAATTCGTCCTGATCCCCTGCGTAACAGCACTCAGCGTTAAGGTTGGACCACCCCATTGAATTTCGAATCCGTATTTCGTTTCCGTCGGGACCTCTACGCAATTGATAACAGTAGAAAGTTCGACGGTGTATTCGGGAGTACCTTGTTCGTCTTGGTTCGGGTAAACTTGAAGCGTCGGCCAGTTGAGGACAATCCATCGTCGCACCCAATCGGAATCGGACGTTTTCATAAACAGCCATCCCTGAAAAAACTGTTTCTTCATTGATTGTTCTCACTGAAGTTTCACCAGAGATCATATAAATTGGAAACGTTCAGTGTTATAGAGAAGTCTTTGAAAGTCAAAGTTTATTCTTAAGAAACCGCGATAATCACGACAATCCTGTACTAGTGACCAGTGTATATGAGCTGGCAGAACGTGTCTGAAAAATTGGATTGCAAGCTTCAAAAGAGGAGTATTTTCCATTGACAGGAAGTAAGATCGGACGGTCTTCTTCATTTTCCTTGGTCATTGACATTGTCTCTGCTGCCTACATTATTGACGGTCTTATTATTGTTCTGTACATTTTTATTTTAATGTTACCTGAGATTTACCTAATTTTCAGTAGTTCCCTATTTGCCTGTTGCTTTTTTGGTTTTATAATTCTCTCTTCAAACTTCATTTCCCTACTTCCATCTTTAGCTATTGTGACCCCAAAGTTTATATTTCTCCACCTCCTCAAAAGAGTACTCCCCAATCTCAATTTCGTATCTTATCAGCCATTTTACAACTGTCGTGAATTTCATTTTCTCTCTGTTTGTCACCATATCCAATTTGCTTACCTCTGCCACTACCCCTTCCAACATATTTCTCATCATGTCTCTTCTCTTTGCTAGAATCACCAATTCATCTGCATAGTCTATTAGTTGTTCACCTCTTGTTCTTACTGTTCCATTGTCTATCTTTCTTGTTGCATATTGAAGTGCTATGTTGAAAATCATTGTTGAAATTGTGTATCTTTGCCTTAGCCCTTCATTTATTTTGAATTATTCTGTTTTTCCATAACTTTTCATCACGCTTACTCTAGTTTTCTGGAGAACGGAATATAAGATTACTATGGTCTACAACAGAGGTCTCCAAACTACGGCCCGCGGGCCAAATCCGGCCCGCCAGTTTCATCAATCCGGCCCGCGACAGCCAATGATTTACTGTCATCAATCTGGCCCGCGATAGCCAATGATTACCTAATTGTTGTTACTATTGCTGTGATAAGTTGAAGAAGAAAACACAGAATGATAATTACTCGGTTTTATTTACTTGCAAGGTAAAACTTAACGACCGAAATGATGACAAAGAAAACTTAAGTTAAGTATCTAAGGTTAAGCATATTAATAACTAACAAATAATTGAAATGAATCACAGTAAAACAAAAACACTAATGACATTTATGTAATTGTGATTTTCCACCGACAATACTTTGTAGTTGTGGATCAATTTTACTTGTACCAATTATCAAAAGAGATT